ATGTCAAGTAAAATTAACCTTAAATTAAGAAATAAATTATGCTAATTAAACAATCAATTAAATACCCCTACAACTAATGAAAATTCTTTCTAATAGTTCACATTTTATGAATATGGTAATTATGTCTTAGATATGACTAATCAGATTCAAGAATTAAAGATGTAAGATAGACTTTGAAATCAGATGATTAATGGATATATCTTTCAGTAAGCTATTGCTAACTAACTAATCAGTTGTTAAGTTTAAGCCTGAGCTCCATAAAATCTAAACAAGCCACTAAAAATATCATTTTTAGGGTTAATTTTCTTATTTTGCTCGTAATTAACTTTGTACTGAAATATCTCGTACACCTGCGCATATGATTCCCAACTTGTTCTATCCTCCCCAGAATGAAGTGACGACTACCAGCTACCGGCCAACTCCTATAAAAGTGTGTGTGTGCAATTACAAAAGTGTCAAGTCACTACTGTTTAAAGTTAATTACCCCAAAATGAACCAAATATTTTATATATGTCAAGTAAAATTAACCTTAAATTAAGAAATAAATTATGCTAATTTAACAATCAATTAAATACCCCTACAACTAATGAAAATTCTTTCTAAGTATACCAATAGTTCACATTTTATGAATATGGTAATTATGTCTTACGTATGACTAATCAGATTCAAGAATTAAAGATATAAGAGAGACCCTGAAATTAGATAATTAATGGATATATATCTCAGTAAGCTATTGCTAACTGACTAATCAGTTGTTGAATTTAAGCCAGAGCACTATAAAATCCAAACAATCCACTAAAAATACCATTTTTAGGGTTTATTTTCTTATTTTTCTCGTAATTAACGTTGTACTGAAAAATCTCGTACACCTGCACATATGATTCTCAACTTGTTCTAACCTCCCCAGAATGAAGTGACGACTACCAGCTGCCGGCCAACTCCTATAAAAGTGTGTGTGTGCAATTACAAAAGTGTCAAGTCACTACTGTTTAAAGTTAATTACCCCAAAATGAACCAAATATTTTAAATATGTCAAGTAAAATTAACCTTAAATTAAGAAATAAATTATGCTAATTAAACAATCAATTAAATACCCCTACAACTAAGGAAAATTCTTTCTAAGTATACCAATAGTTCACATTTTATGAATATGGCAATTATGTCTTACGTATGACTAATCAGATTCAAGAATTAAAGATATAAGAGAGACCCTGAAATCAGATAATTAATGGATATATCTCTCAGTAAGCTATTGCTAACTGACTAATCAGTTGTTGAATTTAAGCCAGAGCACCATAAAATCTAAACAAGCCACTAAAAATACCATTTTTAGGGTTAATTTCCTTATTTTTCTCGTAATTAACTTTGTACTGAAATATCTCGTACACCTGCACATATGATTCCCAACTTGTTCTAACCTCCCCAGAATGAAGTGACGACTACCAGCTGCCGGCCAACTCCTATAAAAGTGTGTGTGTGCAATTACAAAAGTGTCAAGTCACTACTGTTTATAATTACTTAGACGAAAATGAACTACATATTGTTAATAATTCAAATAAAATTACCCTGAAAACAGATTCTTCATGGATATATCTCTCAGTAACCTTTTGCTAACCAACTGATTTGCTTCCAACAGATGGTAATTTTAAGGCAAGGCACTCGCTATTTACACTTGAAATCTGTAGACATAATATAAATAAGTACATATCCTTGCCCTATATTTATCTACATTATATATAATACATAGTGACTTGTTAGTGAAGTTTCCCAGTTGTAATTGAATAACCTTTGTAATATTTCTTTTTTCGAGTGTAGGAGGAGTACATGGCAACTTGTGTGTGTGTCTATGTGTGTGGTGACACCTGGTCCAGGGGCTGGCTTTAATGACAACGTCTCCTTCTGCCCATTACCGGAATGTTCAGGCAGTACACGCAGAAATCTGGATTTGTCAAGGCTGTTTCTCAGGTATGTACAGACAATATTATTCCAATGCGTCATCGTGCATCGAAAGCTAAGAGACAAATGTTGATAGAACTTGTTTTTGCTACCTCCAAAATTGATATATTCTTTAAATTTTACCAGTTTTGTAGGGAAAACATATAAAAAAGAGACAAATTTCAAGAAAAATGGAATTACTGAAGTATATAATACATTTTGTAAACATTTATAATACATAATCATATTATAATTAAAGGTTTGCAAAACAAGTATTTGAGATACTCTAGCTCCTTTATAACATACGAATGGAACCTTGCATGTTCCAGATGTACTACTTTAATGCGAAATATCTTGAATATGTTATATAATATGGCAAATGTGATGTATCTATGTATCTATATACATATATATTTTGGCTAATGAATTAAACGCCGTCACGCGAATGTATTTAAAAGAATACAACAAAAAATAGCTCAAAGTTTTCAAAGAGAGCATTGTGTGTGTGTGTGTGTGTGTGTGCAAAAGTTTCGACACACACCTAACATCATCGCTGCACATACCACACCTTTACATCTGTATGCATAGGCATACCTGTGTGTACAGGTAGGCATGCAGCTTCGCAGACACACACACTCTCTGAGATACAGATACAAAAGCACAGCTACATATATAGATACTTTTATATAGACAGAGATAGTCTTGCTTCGTTGCTCTGAGCTGTGAGCAAAACTGGTTTTATTTATTTATTTATTTTTTGCTTAACTCGTTGCTGCTGCTCACTCCGAGCTCTGGTCTGAGCTCTGCGTTTAATGATTAGGCGCTGCGATGGGTGGAGGAGAGTTTTGGGTACCACTAACATGTTTAAGGGAATAAGATTACATGTGGAACGGAACATCACATGCAATAGCAGTGTTGCATAAATTTTATTGGAAGGAAAAGAGATGAGATAAATATATAGATTTGATACCAAATATCGTTTTCTGCCTTGGTATATACACACTTTAGTTGTTGGAATTTAGTTCTAAAATAGATGTAACTAACAAGGGTTCTACACTCGGAAGAAATTCAATTTTTACTAATTTATAATCAGTTTTTGACAAAGTTTTTGCCTTTGAAACAGCATGTTGTTGAAATTGTTGGTGAGATTGTTGTTTAATTTTTTTACAAGATTGCCTCACTTAAAAATAACAAAATTTAAGATTTGTTTCAGTAGGGCTTAGCCTTAGTTCAAACTAATATATATTTTAGTTTAATTTTAGTTTCAACTAATATATATTTTAATGCTATACTTATAACTAAAAACTATTACCATATAGTATATATAGTATAGTACAGTATATAGAATAATTTAAATTCCTAATGAATGCAGAAAATAGCAAAAGCCACGCAAATGTATGCATTTGATTTCCAAGTCAAACCTCTTTAATCATAAGCTTCTCGAAATTATTTAAAAATCTGCTTCGTTACAAAGTCTGCCTTAGAATTGATTACTTCCTAATATGTAAATAATTGTTATATTTTTTGTTCTGTGTAGGAATTAAGAGAGGGGCAAGCACGTCAACGGTCAGGTACGCATGCGCAGTACGCCTATTTAAATACTCCCTCTCCCTTGGTCATTCTCTTGCCAGCTCTGTGCTCTCTGGGAGCTTGCGCCAACCTTAACGACTTGGCTTAAACGTCATTGACCGTGGAGCGTAGGCAGGGCTTGTCTCAAAAGGGGGGATTTCCGAAAATAACAATAAAATAATCGCTTAAAACTTGCATCAGCTATAAGCTATATGTATATACTAAATATGTATATTCAATTGAATTTCTCAGGGGGGAACTGAAACCCCTTCCTCTCTCCCTAGGCAGCCACGCCACTGCCTCAGAGTTAGTGTTCTGCTCTGGCAAGCAGCAGCTTCTATGGTGGCGGCATTTCGGCAATATTCCAACTTTTCAAAGCCCACAAGAGGCTATTATATGTATATATATATAGTATATATAATATATATAAATATATACATATGTGTATGGGTACATATAAGTACAATCAATGATTATAAGTTGTACCTAGACATTTTTTATGCCTTTGAAAGGTTCCATTGAAAATTCGGGCTTAAAAAAGTTTAGAAACACAATTAAGAAAAGTCTACAAAACAATATTTATAAAATGGTATTGAAATTTGTACAAAAATAAATTGTAGAAAGGAAATTATGATATATTATAAATATTACATATAAAAATGCCTCATTTATAAAGAAATTCTCGTTGTAGAATATTTTTCAGCTACATTAAAAAAAATTGTTTTATTTCAAAGTCGAAATAAGAAATCAAAAAGGTTTAAAAATAGATTTTCTTCTCAAGATAAAGCTACAAAAACCTTTTCCTCTTAACATCAAACAAATAGAATCTATATTCAATGGAAAATCTTGATAAGGCACACAAAATCAATTTTAATGAACCCATCAATGCGATTAGACCCACTTCCGTGGACAATAGGCCGAAAATGAGTGGAACTTTCGAAAGAATTTTATTCTGAGAGGCAATTACTGTACTTCAAGCATCAAATTACAGGTTAGAGCCACTATTTTCCTTCTTTCTTTCTTATTTGTTTTATTATGGATGATTCAGTCAGTAGTTGTGTTATTTTTACTATCCCATTTTGTGAGTAATGTCAATTTCCGGTCAACAGATGCGATCTTTTTTCTCTGATGATCTCTTAATAGTTCTCAGAAGTGATATCCCGCGATTCACACATCACAGACACAAGCAAAAAATAAGGTATTGACTGATCAGAAAACTGAATCAAACAGTATATATATATATCCGTTTCAAAGGTTACTCCGTCACATTATATGCTGATCGTGCGAATGCGACGACTGTGCGCTCATTGTTTATTTTAATAATTTCACAAAAGCAAAAAAAAGAGAAAAAAAAACCGAATTAATGCTTTCCCAGTAAGCTACTAACACGGACCGCACTCTTGTTAGTATCTTACCAGGTTACCGGAAATATTACGAGCAAAAAATTAAGAAAAGATAATGCAGAGAAACAGGAGAAAAGCTTGTAATTTGCATACTTTTTTTTTGTATGTTTGGAGTCGCGCTTAGGCGCCGTTGCCGTTGATCTTCGTTCGTTGATTTGTTGTGGGCTTAATTAATGCCGATTCTGTGCGAACTGCGGAGACAAGCGACCTGTTGCCTCTCTAACTTTTATCCGTGCCCGAACGCGCTCTAGCGGATTACCTGTTAGCGACTGAGTTGGCTGCTCGGCAATCTGGCGAACTGGCCCCCAGCCCGGGCCACAAAGCTGGCTTGCTTCGCTCCAACGCCGCTCCGCCGCCGCTCACAGCTTTTAGGCCAAGTTAGGACCGAGTCTGTGTTGGAGTTTTGTTCATCAATGTGTGTGTTTTGTTTTTTAATGTTTTTGTTTTGTCTCTTCTCAGCTGAGCAATTTGCCCATTCCACTCTCTCTCTCTCTCTCTGTCTCTGTGTTGTATTGTTATTTCTAGCTCCAACTTTGCTCTGCTCAATTCTCCAACTATTATAACTTTTTTGGTTTGATCAAATAACATTTACCAAGTTTATGCCATGAATTTCCTGACTTCTTACATACTAAATATAAGAGACACACGAGAGTATGTGAATTTAAATTATGAGAATTGCAAATTATACTAATTAAATCATTTTTCCATTACTACGAAAAATCGACTAAAAAAAATTATCCATACTAAGAATATTTTTCCAGAATTAAAAACACAATTCCATTAATTTTAAGCCAAGGTACCAAAATATCGCACACCTGCGCATATGATTCCCAACTAATTCTAACATCCCCAGAATGAAGTGACGACTGCCTGCTGCCGGTCAACTCTTAAAAATGTGTGTGTGTGCAATTTAAAGTGGCAAGTCATTACTGTTTATGGTTACTTAGACTACAGTCAATTAATATATTTGAATTCTGGTGTGAAATAAGGTCTGGTTGGACTTAGTGGAGCTCATCCTATTGGAGTCGGTAATCTTCTTCAAGTTCTGCGTCAGTTGAGTGGACACTACAGGAATATGCAATATGCCGCAGCTCCACCCACAAGTCGTCGTTCTCAACCAACAACACCTCCTGGTCGGTCTGGTTGGGCCAAGGTGTATAACGATAAACATCGTTTGCGATTGGATGCAAATCAATGGATTTTGGGTAAGTTTTTTTATGAGTACACCAAACGAGAAACTTATCACGGATCATGTTTGTGTAGCTGTTTATAAATAAATATTATTGGTAGTTTATAATTTTTTCCTACATTTTAAATGATAATTAAATCAGTGCATATATGTAATTATTTGTAATTCTGTTAAAAATGCCTAAAATAAAATTTTAAAACGTTGTCAGAATAAAATTTTTGATCGCCACCTACCGGCCAAAGAGCGAACCACAAACTGCGCTTCCTGTCTATATTCAGCGCAAAAGTATGCTTTGTATTTCCGGTACGTATATCGATTCAATTGCCAGAAATAAAATTTTAAAGTCGTTAGAATGAAGTTTTCTTGAAAGCCACCTACCGGTCAAACCGCCTCCGGGTGAATTCAACGCAAAAGTGTGCACTGTATTGACATGTCAAATAGCATGTCTAAAATGTCGTTAGAATATTTTTATCTAGAAAGCCACCTACCGGTCAAGTCACAAACTGCTTCCCGTCTAGATTAAGCGATTTTTACATGTCAAATAGCATGTCTAAAAAGTCGTTAGAACATTTTTCTTGAAAGCCACCTACCGGTCAAGTCGCAAACTGTACTTCCCGTCTAGATTAAGCGCAAAAGTATGCTTTGTCTTAGCATTTCCGTCTCTTGTTAATCAATTCAGCCCAAAAGATGCAACACATTTGCGTTTAAATTTTTGTTGCATACTTTTGGGGCTTACACCAGACGGCAGTTGCTTTCTGCTGATTTCTGTTCGCCTGTTACTCAAAACCTGAAAACAGTCAATTTGCTTGCTGAGGGTTGGGAAATTGAATGGCAAATGTTTTTTTCGTAAAAATGTAAATAAATACATAAGACCTTTACAAGTTAAATGAAATCTTCGAAAATTTATTAAATTTCAACTTATTTCCTAATTTATAAACAATTACATACTTAATTTCTTTACGCTGGCAAAAACTGTACAATCTGTTATTTTATAATTAAAGTTATTGTGGTGCATGTGCATGTGCTTTAGACAGCATACACATTCCGGTGTTTTTATTTTTTTTTGTTTTCTTTTTATATTTTATACATAAAAACTGAAAATGTAAACGTTCTCTCTCTCCGGAAAACTATAATCATGGAAGGGGGGAAGGAGTTGGTTTCTGTCACATCTTAACCAATCAATTCTTTGATGGATTTCATTTCATTGATTGTTATTAAACCGAAATTGAGTAGTTTGTTTCAGTGTACGCCTGATAGGAATTTTCTAAAAAACAAGAAATTGTATTTATTAATATTCAATTATTTAACAAGAATCTAAGCAAAACCTACGCACCTGACAGATAAGCTATCGATTTTGGCAAATTAACAACATCGCGTCGGAATGTCGACAAGTTTTGCGTGAACCTAAAATAAAAAAGAATAAATTATTATTAAGTATATAATACATAATATTGGCCAGTGGATTGGACCCAGATTTGGGTTTCCTCTAGGCCAAAGTATCCTGATTTTTAATTAGCGTTTTTTTTTTAATTCCTTAAATCTTATTCTACTTCTAAAAACTCACTTTTCCTTATTTTTACTGGACACATTTCGCTCAATTCCAAACATAAGATCATCAAACCACTGCGCCATGGTCTGTTGCTTCTCCAAAGGCTGGCCGCAGATAATCCTCTCCTTAAGTGAACTGCAAATTACAATTATGTCAAGTTTATGGACTTAATTAAAAATATGTAACTACAGTTACCGATAGTAGTCTTCGTAAAGTAAAATTAGCACCAGCAAAGGACGCGACATGGACCATTGATTTCGACAATCCTCTGCCAAAACGTTGTTTAATAATGACGACATCATGCTCTGTAGCAAATCTGAATTAATCTCAACAACCTGCAAAAGAATAAAAGCCAATTAAATTTCGTTTAAGCTAAAATCCTTAGTTTTTCTATTTCAACATGGGACTCTTCACAAAGGAAGTATGGAGAATATAAACTCACCTTCAGGAACTGGGCATTTTCTTGCGTTAAGCTCCGCAGCTTTTTGTTTGGAAAAGTGGAAACTAAAATGACAGGTTTGTTTACTTTCTAAATTACTTTCATTAAAACAAATAATTACGTCCACGTTACCTTTCAGTTGAAGCTGCTTAAAGATGTATGAAACGATACTATCCAAAATTGTGCAGCAACTTATATAAATGGCTGAATCTAAACAATTATTAAAAAATAATTAATACAAATCGCAATAATTATTATAAAAATACCCACCCAACGCTGCCAGACCCTTTGTTAGACTCTTCAAGATGTACACAAAGGCAGAGGGCTCCAGGGCTGCGAGGTATGTGACATGATCTTGCGAGAGGCAATTCAATAAATTGTAATACGCCGTCGACAGTTTTGGATATTCCTATAATTATTAATAATTAATTCAGTTTTTTAAATTTTCATTCAATGCCTAAATATACTCACAATTAAATCGTTTTGCTGAATAGAGAGTATTAGCTTGGCTATTATATTAAGGACATTGTCCAATGTATCATCTCCATAGAGTTTAAAGACTCCACAATTCACATAGTTGCCGCCGAGGGAGTTTTTTAAAATCAAGAAGCATATGGCAATGCCCTTAAGTTTCATTGGATAAAGGCGATCGCGGGGCACATCCAGGTGCAGAATCCGATTGCCGTATATGCAGATAAGTTTGGAAGCCTCCCGAAATAGTAGAATACCCATGGGACTAGATACATTGCCCGCCAGCCTCTGTGTGCGACAATGTACCAGCTCAGCAAATAGTTTTAATACTGGCGTTGTTACGGCGGGATCATGGGCCCACAGTTCCACTGCCCGCAGTAATATTGGTAAATAGTCAGCATAGTACCTACAAATTATAAATTTTTATATATATTATTATGTATTACAGAAGAATAAAATAGAGTCATACGCACAGCCATTCGAATAACATGGTGTACTGAATACGAGCGTTGAGCGGCAGCGCCAAGCCACGAAGGTCTCGAGCCAGGCCAATGATGGCCTTTTTAGCCTCATCATTAGGGAAGCTATTGGTGCCCATTAGCACAGTTCTGAGAGATTCGAATTGATCTTAATTTAAGAGACAAATGTATGATTATTATTAGTAACAACGGATAAATGAGAGCTTGTTTTAAATATGATATGATATGATTTAGAAAAACTATACTCACTTGTCAGTGGCGCCAAAAAATTATAGAACCTCTCCTCGTCCTCCCCTAAATCAAACATTAACAATCGTCCCAGGGATGTGTAGAACATCGTGCGACACCGCATTTCACTCAGCGAGGAGTTCGTTCCCAGGAATGGAAAGTGTTCACTGGTGTGATGCGTTAGCATAAACTGCACTTCCTCGAGGCGTGCCAGCTTGCGCACGGAATTGAAGTGTACAGAGAGATCGGAGAGTAGCATCAGAGTCTTGGTTATAATTGGTTCCGAGCGTCCCCAGTACTTTAAATTGGTAATGCTGAAAGTTAAGACATTAGATAGAGCATTATCGAAACTCGATTAACACTTACATTTTACGATTTATAAAACTTAATAGCATTTGCTCGTCGCTAACTCCAAAGACCTCGCTCAGTCTCTTGTAGACATTCGCCTTTTGCGTCTGCTCACTGCTATGCATTTTCCGGACCTGATCTAAAAAGCTGAGTATGGCCAGCTCGAGCTTCTCGCAGCCAGCCTGCGGTAGACGGGCATCAGTCAGACTCATCAATTGTAATACTCTTATCACTAGCTCTGCGTCCATCGAATCGTGCTCATCGCTTGTCGTCACAGAAAGACGACCGACTATCGCCGAACCGATGATGTACACCAGCCACGTTAACTGCAGCTCATGCACGGTGATGTCAATAGGATTGGCATTGGGCATTTGTACCAGGTTCTCGTATTCACGGGCCTTCTGATCAAAATGCTGGACAAGGAGGCCACACGTCTTGTTGTACTCGCACCTTTCGATTACCGACAGCTGCTCAAGCTGCTGCTGCACCATGCATAAATCGTCCAGCGGATCCTCCAGATTATCCCGAACTATCATCGGAACGGCATCTATGCGGGACTCAATGTACGCCTTTATCACCTCCGGTGTGTAGGAGCCCAGCAAATGCGGATCTGGAGATTTCACATAGGGAACTGAAGCCACCATGCGTTGCCAAAGCGTAAGTAGGTAATGTACACTATTCGGTGCAAAAAGCCACAACTAAAAATGGATAAAAAGGTTGAGTGGTCTAGAATATAAAAGATTGATCATATCAAGAGCAAAGCATCCAACAGTTGACTGTTTTTGGTTCTTCTGAAATAAGAGAGGTCTTAAGAGGACCCTTTGGAGCAGAGAAGCTACTGGCTCTAGAGCGCTCTTCCTTAAACATGACGTTTGCTATCTTATTTGTTATATGGTCCAAACCGAAGCTCTTCCCCTTTATTTCTTCTAAGACAAAAGCTATCAACAATTGTTTGCTAGATCTTGAATGATTTGGAGAGTACATACATGCAGCGATTGAACCGTAAACTTGGCTATTAGTTCAATAGCTTCTGGATAACAAGGAACCGCTATAAGTTCACCCAGTTGATAATTGGATTTAAGGCGCGCCAGTAATCGGCAGAATTCGTGATAGTTATCTGGATCACTTAGGCCCTGAAAACATGATTAGTATTTGTTTTGTGTTGTTGTGTTTTTTTTATCAAGAACAAAAAAGAAAAGTATAATAAGGCATGTTAAACAAAAGAAAAGTACTCACGTGCAAGTTTGTCAGAATATCTTTGACGCCCTCAACCAAATGTGTTAAAAATTTCGTTCTTTCGGAATTGCTAAAAAGAGATCGACGCACAGATGTCATTTGAACCAAACACGATATGGAATAGCTAGCTAAACCATTTGGCAAAATCTGATATAAATCAAAAAACAGTTTAAGTGTGTTTGAATCTAGAAATGCAGGACGCCAAGCTGTGGGTATCTAAGTATAAGGACCAAATCAATAAAAAATTGCAAATAAATAAATTGCATACGTACTTGAACATTATTCATATCATCGGCCGACTCATCAGTCGAACTGCCAATAAAGTCAAAGCTTAGGCAATTTTTCGTAAGTCGTAAGACATGGGATATTAGCCTGGTAAAAAGAACAAATTATTATTATAAATGGATATTTTATAGATTCTTTTTAAGCTTTTGATAAATATAATACCCTCTTGCAAATCATCAGAATCAAGAGAGAATAATACTCACGCTTGCTGCGATTCATCCATATAATTGAGGGTCTTGCTATTGTCACGAGCAGTGACCAACAGCGAGCAGGATAACAAGAACGTATCGTAGAGCTGTTGGTCGCGATACGATGTTGCGATTTTTCTATTTTTTGAAAAAGACAAGTGCACATCTATCTCCACAATGGAATTCATTTCGCATACCAATTGTGATAGGATTTGGACACCGATTGTGCAATGCTCGACAGAGCCCTAATAAAAATTTAGGTATAAATAAGTATTTACTGAAAGACCTTAATTGTGTACATTACCTGTAAGAACTTTTTCACATCCTCCAGTAAGTTTTGAAATACCATTTCCCCCTTGAAGCTATCAAACCATCCAAATTTGGTTATTTTCGCCAGGAGAGTAACCAATGCCTGAATGACGAAGTGCTGCAAGTTGGGCCTGGTGGCCAAGTAGTTCAGGGCATAGCTTCGGATGTCGATTCGTTGTTCCAGACTCAGTCCCTGTATGAGCTTTGTGAGCGTGGACGCGGCCAGCAGCTGGGCATAGCTGGAGTCCGCTCTGTCCAAGAGGAGCTGACATTTGGGCAAGGCGTCCTGGCTGGTCACAAAGGTACCCAAGGCCTTTTCCGCTTCGGCACGAATACCAACATCCGTGGCTTCGTATAGTTGCTTGCAGAGCACCTCGAGTTGCTGTATGTCCTTAAAACGCAATACAGTATCCACAGTCAATATTTACATTCGATATTAATTGCAATGTTAATACGAACCATCACGTTGCTATAAAATGTTATGCGATATAGTGAGTAGGTGGATTTTAAGTAGTTTCTTAAAACAAGTCGCGCTTGCTTTCCTAATTTACGGGGCTTACAGAGTATGTATATTCCTTACTAACGCTACGCAATGTGGAGCGGCTCCACCAATAAATGAGTTATTGAAAGTAATGGTTTACAACAAACCATCAAGCAATCAACTTCTTTAGTTTTAAACCGTTTTCATTAATATCGGGTTAATAATGAAAACAAAACACCAAATTGTTCTTAAAACAAACGACAAGTGTGACCAAAACATAAGACTTTAAAATTCCCAGCGACATTAATGCACTTGTTGAACCATTCAAGTAAGAAATGCAGCAATTCCTGCAACATTATGTTATCGATATTTTCGTTAATTGTTCAGTTTTTATAAATCAGCTGGAATCGGTGCCCATATTATTTATGCTATAAATATATATATCAAAGCCGAGGACTATTGTTTAACTGTTTTCGTATTAATTGCATTATTTTCATACTGTAACATTTATAGGCAATTCCCACAGAGACACATCAATTTTTGACCGTCTATCACGGAGTCGGTTTAAGGAGCTTTCCAGCTCTGCAAAATTAGCGGTCCGTTCCGCATGTGTTTTACGCCGTCTTCTTGCGAAATTAAGAACGTGCCCTTAATTCTGACATTAAAATAAATAATATGCAACAGGAAAATGTATAGAAATAAATAAATAATTTAAATATTACAAAATATAATTAAAGATAATTAACATAAATAACCAATCAAAATTGCTATAGTAGATAAACAAAAAATGATCAGCCGTTTAATCAAATTTATGAGACTTATTCGGCTGGAAATCATCTGTTTTAGACGGTAAACGGTGAATTAAAAACAAAATCTCCGATTTTTTAAATAATCCAAGCCTATTCTCGAGATATACGTTTCGGAAAACCATATGAGCTAGAGCTTTAATAATAAATTTACATTCCCTATATAGTACTTACAAAAATATAAATTTTAAAAGATTTTTGCAAATCTTTGATTTCCAAGAAGACAATGTGAATTCCTTTGTATACCACTGCAGTTTTCAATTGAATCGGGAATGAATTTTAAATCTCTCATAACTAAGCCAAAAATCTATTAATTTTAATTCGGAAAACTGTTCTGAGCTAGTTTTTTTATGTTAATAAATCTGCATACTTAAATTAAAATTTTTAAAAATTAACTTTTTTTCTGCGTTTTTGAACATTATTAACGTTAACGTTTGCAAAACTTGAAAAAATTTTCCTTCCGAACATGGCTAGATCAACTCGGCTATTGTTGCTGATCAAGATTATATAGAGTCGGAAATGATTATTTCACAGGTTGCAAGCTTTTATGAAATATAATTCCGTAGGTGCATAAAAAAAGCAATACTATTCTTGTTTTGACCTCTTTAGGTCACATCCTAGTTTCTCCTTGACCTTCTAAATAGCCTTATATCTAGAGTTTTAAATGATATCTTGGTCACTCAGATTACATTCCCAAAGAAATCGTACTCCAGAGAACTTGTCTTTGCAAAGGGAAAACCAGTTGTAACTATTATTTATTTTGTATTTTTTATTTGTCTAGACTGTTTTAGATTTAATTTTATTGGATTTTTTGTTCAGAAAGGCATGCTAAAATAATGACCGTGATCGGGGGCCACTCGCAACCTCTATAAAAACCTTGGGGGTCCGGAATTGAATGTCCCGGAATGTTGTTGTTGGGGATGGTGTGATGTTGGCGATGGCTGCCCCTGCCGCACGATTTCAAATGGCGAATTTGAACGTTGCATAAAGTGATGATAGTTATTCTGTGGCAGTTGATGCTAGAAATATAATAACAAAATAATAATTACACTGGAAAATCCAATATATAATTTACTAACCTGTATATTTCGTAATGTCATAGCACTAGCAGCATTTCCAATTATATGTGGGCTTGGCCCATCGCCCAAATCTAATTGCAAACTCTCGGGCATGTCGTTACTATTGGCAACTGCACCGCGTCCATGCCCATGACCATTGCCGTTGCCGCGTACACTGCTTCCGTTGCCGCCACCGCCGCCGCTGCCGCCACCACCTCCACCGCCGCTTGTCAAATGTAGCTGCCCCAATGAGGCTGTTGCCATCGCCACATCCGGCATCATTTCGGAAAGATGACTATTACCCGTGTCCAGGCCACAAGCACCGCCGCCGCCGCCTTCAGCGCCCATGCCCATGTCCAACCCCAGACCATTGCCGCCATGTGGAAACCGAAAGTCTCCCTCGGTAATCAAGGCGGGCAGGTCGTTGCGTTGATGATGATGCACCGTTGACGACAGCCGCGCATAGCTGCACTGCAGAGCCGCTGGCCCCGAGGTGGATCCAAAAATACTGGCCACGCCAATTAGACCGTTTGAGTGGTGACGTGGGAAGGTGAGATTCCGGCTATAGCACGGGTGAGCGGCAATGTCTGTGCCGCACGACGATATGGATGAGCCCATCGATGAGGAGGATAAAAATGCGGCGGAAGGCGCCACGACGTTGGTGTGCCGCGGAATTGACCCCGTGGCCGCTGGCGATGGCGGCGGACTCTGATCCTCGTCCTCCAGCAAACAGTCCTCGGTTTGAGTGGTCGAGGCCACAACGCCGCCGCAGGTCTCCTCCGCTGAATGCGTCTCACCGCCACCCCTGCCCTCGTTGGCCTGAAGTAGTGAGTGTTCCAATATATCGGACACCTCATCCGGCAGATTGAACTCACGGACAACCCGCAGACGGATTTGCCGATCGATTTCATGCTTCGACGACAGCGGCAGCAGCAAGGCTCTCTGGCACATAGGCGACTGGCGCAGCTTGTGCTCCCGCTTGCGCATTGCCAGCAGGGTTTGGTTATCCGGCGGCGGTATAGCAGCTGCTCCGCCTCCGCCTCGCAACATTATATCCAGGTGGCCGTCGCCAGTACTTCTTCGACTTTCGGCAGCGCTGAGATCACTGTTCACCTTTGACTTCATATGCGACACCATATACAGTGTGTCCGGGATATCAGGGGGATGTCGGGATCGTCGCATCCGCATTAGTTCCGCCTGGTGATGGGAGGAGGTCATGCGATCCTGGAGTAGCGCCTTCACCTCCTCAAAATACGGCATGAAAAGACGCGGCCGCACGTATAATCCCTGATTCTTGCCGCCACGTATCCAGGCATTAATGCGTAAATTCTCCCTGTCGTCGCCAATCATGTGAGATGGCGGGGTGCTCACCAGTCCTCGGCGAATGGCCTGGCAGAGGACCTCGCAGTGCGGCGGCAGGACATGATCCATGCGCACCAAGGGTAATAGTTCTGAAAGTATTTCCCGCAACTCAACGTCACTGAGGTCGCGCTTTTTAACGCCCTTGCGGGCCACCGAGTGGGCGGTGTGCGACAACAGGTTGGGCTCACGATCCTCCATGCGACGAATGAGTTCCTGTTCGCCCCATTTCAGGACAGCCTGCAGCACCTCCAGTTCGGATGCTTGCAGAAAGTTGCTGTGCAAAATGTGAATAAGCTGAGCCTTGTCCAACTGATGCAGCACCGGCGAAGCGCTCACCGCGGAAAACTCCTCACGCAAATATTGACAGGCCTGGCGAAAGACCCAGGCCGATCCATGCGGCTGGCATCCCCACTTGAGGACCGTCGGCAGCGTTTCAATCGATAGCCACTCGAGGATCAGGTCCTCACAGCCCTGAGCCAATATGTCAAGCTCCAGGAACCGTCCAATTTGATAGAGTTCCATGGCCTCCTCCAGCGTTGTGGGTCGCACACGTCCTGTGTTTGTCAGGGCATGCACTTCGCCCAGGGATCCCGCCGATGTCCCAGATCCGACGCCACGCAATATCAAGCTCAAATCTACCGAATCGAGATAAATGGCTTGCAGCAATACTCGGGCATACCGCTTGGGTATAACCGTTTCGTCCAACACAATCCGTGTGGGCACGTGCAGCGAACGCTCCACGTACTCGTCAATATTCCGTGTGCGACGCGCAATTAAATTGCGGAAGAACGGCGAGCGGGCGCTCAGCACCGCTTTATGGCATGGCAGCTCAATCTTTGGCCGAAACCCGTACTCCGATGTTCCAGAGTCTTGCCGCAGATAATCGTTGGATCCATCCGCTGTGAAAACAAGTGCCGCATCCGCATAGTCACCTGTTTCCAACAGATAGCGCAGATCATGCTCCAGCGGATTTGGCGTCCCAAAATCCTTCCCCAGCTGACGCAAGAGTGTGACATCAATGTTCGGATCGTGCGGACAAAGGTCACCGGTGTATAGGTAGCGCAATAACGACGAAAACAGTTGCACATCTATGGGCGAAGTAGGTAACTCAAGACAGATACGCGCTCCGAAGCCCGGACATCCGGCCAGCAGGTCTCGAAAATACACACAACGTGCTGATAATATCGAACGATGAACTGAGAATATCGTTCCGCGAAACACAAGATCACAATCCGTACACAATGTTTGGTCATAGAGAGCGGCCAGATCCTGCTTGTACGTTGTGGCCGGTGGGCGTGCCAGCTCAGCTTGAACCTATAAGACAGAAATATATATAAAAATCCAAGGTAAACATATGAAAAATATAGGTTTTGCTAACCGACAAGTCCCTCAGAGCTGACAAGGCTTCGAACTCCTCGCAGAGAGCGGCCAGTTCGATGGGTGCCCAATCAGACACGAAATCTCGTAATACGCGCGCATGATCACAAGCCTTTGATGAGCGTCTACGACGTATGAATTTTCGCTTGAGTGTGGCAAAGCCCGTAGCCCGCTTCCGCCTTTGATCGCGATGATGATAATGTTGTGCTGCTCCGCCTGCCCCACCGCTGATGACAATTCCAGGCGTTCCGCCCAAGCTACCGCTGCCAGTTGTCATTGCCACAGCGCCCGCTGTCGACATCCCGGCCATGCTCATGGGCAGGACGACCGCTGATGCATTTCCATTCGGATTGTTGCTAGAATTATTATTTGCTACGTTTCCTCCTCCGGCTCCGCCGCCACCTGATGCGAGCGTGGGATAGCTGCTGCTTGAACTGTTGGCTCCCATCTTAATATTATTATGTGTGCAATAAATACTAAATCAGATGCTGTGTTTCACATAAGGATCACATCTTGTCCTCAGATGCACGTATGTTTAGAATGTAATGGCATGAGGCTTTCCTCTGGATAGCCTTGCGTAAGTAGTAGTCATCAAGTGTTTTCCTTTTTGTTTTAATGCAACCAGATTCTGAAATATATGTATATGTTATATGTACATACAAATTATTAAATTGTTATTTAACCCATCAAGACTACAATATGTTATGAAAATATTGATATTAAATTTAAGTAAGATAGCATAGACTCCAAAGAAAAAGAATTAAGATATAACAAATCATATAGGTTTGATCAAATTAGGATTATCTTTTTTTCCTTGCAAGAAAACCTAAACTAACCTGAATATTTTTTACTTTGACTATATGACTTAAGATTCATATATAATTCCAATTGGTTTCTTATTGCAAATCAAGCTGTATAGGAACTCCAATAACATTCCAATTTGAATTAATAAAAGGATTTAAAAGCTTTAAACTAAACTCTTACATATGTAAGCACTACATATGTTGTATATGAATGTCCATATATGTCTGAGAAACCTGGTATCTCATAGTCTAATAGTTGCAATGCATTTTTACCTTTCGATTAATTATATATAACTGATCATTTTAAAGAGCAATCCCGAAAATATAAAATTATATACATACATATGTATTCATGCACAAACCTGTGCTTCCCAAATGCAGCTGTCACTGTACATTCAGTCTTCGGAATCCCAATATACACGATGTGTGATGAATGATGAAAGGGCAGACCAACTTGGATAATTCAATTAATGGAACTCTACTATTTAATATTACATTTATGGGTGCCTGTCGATTGCATTTCCCGACACATAGAATTCTGGAAACCTAAAACAGAGATGTTTTAAAGAATATATTTATGTATATACATATATAGATGTAAAGAATTCACTTACCGACAGGCCAAATAACGCAATGCACAAGTGCCACCATCATATTTTGGAGATTCTATGACCATCGTCTACCTTGACCCACATATAATTATGCATACATATATTATACATAGAGAGGTCTACTATGAAGACAAATATTAAGCCATCGTGTATATGAAAGTTTTCATCTGCATCGTGTCACAGAAATCACTTGCAATTATTTCAGAGATTACAACGACAACAGCAGCAGTTGTTTTACGTTAAAAACTGTTTCTAAGCTGGCTTTTGTCCGAAACACACTGAAAATATTTTGCACCTTTCTTTTCTTTTTTAATTTTCACACCAAAATAATAATCTCAGGTCATTTTTGTGACACTCTCCAGTTACACACATACATGCACGTCAATTGCAAGGGTGAAATGTTTTATGCAAAACAGTTATAAATACACTTGTCAATACGTTCATACTGGGTTAACATATATATATATACGTAGTTTTGTTTTAGCTTTTGTTAATGTAATGACAACTCGTATGGACTTTTATATTCTTCATTATATTGTTAATGCGCATATGTACATATATACATATTTCAACATAAGTGCCCACACACCAATATATATGTATGTACATTTATATGCATACATACTAATGTGTATCCGGATTTATGTGCACTGATGAAAAACATATGTATGGCTTAAGATTGAACAACTGAAAACGTATACACATACGCACGTAAGCTCAGCACTTCAGTCCAATTTTTTAATTCTATTTAATTGCAAGCCAGGCCACAATGAATTTTTCTTCACCACTCCATGTATGTATATTTATACCTACACACTTTTTCTCAACTTTGACTTTTTACAATAGGGAATTTCACATATAAAATGCTCAAATTCTATTGTTTTCACTGTTTTGACGTTTAAATGATACATTTACGTGTTGATTAATTCATATTTTATAATGGCCTTACATCAATTTATAATGTTGATTGTTTTATTTACATGACAATATTAAAATACGTTCGGAAAATTAATGTGCCCGTGCCTAGTATTTCGTCGAAGACACACGAATAAAAATACCAAGTGTGCTGGTTTTATTATACCAATACGAGTCATAAAAATATACTAAAAGATTCGTTGGCTTCAATCGATAAGTTATTGTGGTACATGCGCGTGAGCGTAGAATGCACAATAATCGTTCTCACTGGCACTAGCTTGGGCTTTGTACCAAGCAAAGAACTGTTTTTTTTTTTTTGGAAGCATTAAAATAATTAAAAAAATAGATGTAGCTTAAAAAAATATTGTAAAAGGGTTGGATAAAACAGCGGTGACAATACCATAATTACATAAAAATTTGATAGAACTAAGGGCATTTTAAGTATTTTTTCCTATGAAGGGCTAAGAATCGGTATTTATCGAGTACGGCCTATAAAGTACATCGATTCTAAAGAGTGGCGCCAAAATGTACCCATAGCAGAATTTAAAACAACATTTTTATAACAATTTTTTATGAATATTCTTGTGGGACAGCAAAAATAACACATATTTCTAATGTTCTTTGCTTTCGATAGCATGTTAAAAGTACTGTCGAGTCCTCGTTATTTGTTATCATAGTACAGCGACCTCAATAATGTGAAATAGCTCATTGACGTACTTAAAATCTAAAAAAGAAAACTATATGTTTTAAATTTGATTTCTATCAAATAGGCGTAGAGTATTTCATACACACCGCTGTAAAACTTTGTAAAGATAGAGTGGAAAATTTATAAGCTGTTATCTTGACGGGTTGTTGACTGCAGAGTATCATAAACCTTAAATGATTTTGGATTTGCTTGCTCGTCACTGTATACACATGGTTGCAATGCTCGGAACTTTCCCATTGGCATCCATAGAGAACATTCGCTGTAAAAGTCGACTAGTGTTTTTATTAATAATTAATTATACAAATAGGCAGTCACTTTATGTTCCTTACATGTTTCAATAAGGCATCTCCGTTTTCGCAAAGGACATACAATTGAGAGATCGCAGAGGATATGTACACTATGAATTTAACATAATCTCCGATAAACATATTTTTGCCCTGCACAGGTAAGAGGCAAAACTTTTTAATATAATTAAAACTAATTTTAGTTTATGTACTTACAGTTATTATCTGAAAGCCAACCATGCAAATTAGAATGGATGAAATCATAAGATTGACTAACAGAATTGGATTAAAAAAGTCTTCTAAGCGCTGAGCGAACCTAAAAAAAGTGATAAATGTTAAATTATAACAAAAGCTGGGAACATATAATATAAAATCGTATTACTACTAGTTACCTTATAATTTTATTATGCTTGTCTATGATTCGTTTTAAACGGTTCAGCTGCACACGTTGTGTGTAGTCCCAAGTATCACCGCCTCTTGCGTTAACTTTGACTTCAGTAAATAATTTGTTGATATTTTCGTGTAGTAAACGGAATTGACCACAGGTGTATGTTATAAAAAACCCAAAAATTGAATCTTCTGCAAACAGAGTGGTCACTACACAAATTCCTGCGTACGATGTAAACATGTAAGTTAGTACGTAACGAGTCCAACTACTATAGGGATCGTATGGAAAGACCATTTTGTAAGGAAATGGTTTCTCGTGTGAATCAAGCCCAAAGGTAAAAAATAGCTCAATCAAAGGTAAAACGCAGTACATAATTATGAGGCAAGAGAGCAATCCTGTCATTATGTAAAACGTGTTCATTCGCTTGCGACATTCAGCCACAATCGAATTGTTCAAGCTTCTGTAGAAGAGAACAAAATGTGGAATTAGTAAATCGATTAAATATGCGTTAAACTTATAAGCCAGGCACACTAACATGTCCAGATTGACTCGTCTGAAGATGCTGATTAAAGAAAAATACTTACTCTGGCATCCATATTTCCAAAGCAAATTTCTCAATGAGCTTTCGAAACTTTCTTTGGTTAAGCCTCAAATGAAGAAGGCGGACAAAATTAAGAACTCCCATAAATGTGGTGCAACAGTTTTCCGTTGTTATTATGATATCCGATAAGTTTTTAAACAAAAAAGCTGATTGGTAACAAATTGTAACGCCCACAGATATTATAACGTACCAAGCCCATGCCGTATAAGCTATACCAAAAATTGAGCTATTTAAATTTGATTTATAACCATTTGTTGCCGTCGATGGCGGTAATGGCCAAGATCCATTAAGCTTTAGCCAAGTGCACTGAACAGGCATACGAAGACTTAAATGACTGTCCCTATGCCGGTATTTATAAAACATGGTATTGTCTTGGAAATTATCAGGATTCAATATTTTACCTGAACTGCCATCAGTTTTATACTTTTCCATTATATCAAACAATTCGGAAATATGAAAGAGAATTTATTATAAACAAAAAATTACCCAGTTTAATGAGCTTAATTTGAGTCCACAGTAAGTATTTTAATAAGGGGGTGCGCACGACCCGCCCTGTGGGACCATCTTACCCTTACCACTATTACCATATTAATGGCACAGCCATTAAAGCAATCACTTATTTGTTGGAAAGTTTCTCTTCTGATCAATCCCATTTCTCCGTTTAAAAAATATAATTAAAGAAAAAATAGATATTTAAATTCGATCAGATACGGGTTTGACAACTGAAACCTTTTATTTTTCAACAAATTTAAATAATTATATAAATAATAATAAATAAATAAATATAAAATATTTATATATCCGTCCTGAGACCCCAGTAACTATTACTTCATGAATAATTTTTAAAATTACAGGGAACGTTATAGGTCGAGAGCTTTTAAACTAGTGTTTTTTTTTGCTTTGGCCAATTGGTTGGCCATTTACCTCTAGCTCATAATTAACTATAAATAGACCATCTATAGAGAGGCTAAAGGAAGATTTATACGATCCATAGAATTTCAAAACATATGGGATACAAAGAATTAAAGTTTTAGCACGACATAAAACTCTGGACAGCCTCCAAAGTTGACTCAGCCGCAGTGAATTCTATAGAAATAAGGCATAATGAACCATCCCTTAGGTACTAAGTGGATGGAGGCTGAAATTCTGAGGCGATATGTATTGCTATATGATATTTTAAATCTTTTTTTCTTTTTTGTTTACTCGAACCTAAAAAGCTTTTTTGAATTCAAAAGTAAGACATTCAATATTTAGTCAGTTTTACCGTTGAGATATTTGTAAGAAATAGTTACGGTACTTACGCTATTGCTCGTTTCTTATCGATATTGTATCGATATAAACATTTTACACCATAATGTATGTCTCCATTATCACTTTTTGTGTTGAGCAAACAGCTGTTGATTGTTTTGGGTTTTTTATAATACAGTAAAAAAAGTTTAAAATTAAATTAAAATTATTCATTCCAGGGAGTCTATTCATTCCGGAATTTAATTATTGACGTAAAGTTTTTTCATTCCGTTTATAATTTGCTTTCTAATCTGCATTCCCATACCGCGCTATCTAAAACATATTGAAGACCAGATGAGAATTGTCGCATTACCGCGAAATAATGACCAGTGCGAAGTGCCCCGATTGCATATCGATGTATCGATACGAATTAAATACACCGATACTATTTTCTTACACCCCAATTTGTTTCTAGGTGTTGGCTGCCAATTGTAGAGTGCAAATGAAAAGTTACGGATTGGTTTTCGTTACAATTTTCAGTTACATGTGTATTAAAATCTGAATCTATCGACGGAAATTTGGTTTTTCTTGTTAAAGTTGACGTTGCGTGTAAGTAACACATTTTCCGGAAAATCTGTATTGCGAATAACAAATTAAAGAAAACGACTGGATGTGTGTGTATGTGATATATTAAAATATTTTTCTCATGCCGTATGTATACAGATGCAACGAAATCTTTTATGCATTGATACTTATGTACATCTGACGGGGCCTCGGGAATCGTTTCTTTGCGCTACGTTTATTAGAAAACACGGGAAAATGTTTTACTCTTCGGTCTTTTTTTTTAAAAGTTCAACATTTAAAATTGATTATTTTTTGCTATATATTTCTTTCTTGCTCTTTGTCATGTGGGCTTACGCTACCGACCTTGGTGTGAATGGGACAAATAATCATCGCAACTGCTGTTGGGGACTTCCGACCTGCTTTTGCTGCCGTGTTCTCAATTGCGCACGGCTCGTATCACTGGCTGTGCTACTTACTCCAATCAGTTCAGCATTATACGCAGCGGTGGTGGTGCAAAAATTGCGATTTTGGTGTACAAAAAAGCAAAAGAAGAATATCCAACCAACAGAAGCAAGAAAGCAATCGAAAGGACGGGCAACATAAAGTAAAATTTGTATTTCTATCTTGTAATACTCAAGATACACTGTTTTTTTTTGTAATTAGTGCTGTTTCTCGACGCACGACACTCTTTTAACAACATACAAAGTTGATCGAAAGGATTTCGAACACAACAGTTTTCATAGTCGTATTTGAGACACATACTAAAGAGCAAGCGGAGGAGCAGAGGCAGGAGCAGGAGCAGAAGCAGGTGACTTGACTGCATTAAAACAAGGTTGGTTAAACTAACTAAAGCAAAAACCTAGGAGATCTGATCAGCGGCACACATACACATTTTTTTTTTTTTTTTTTTTTTTTCGCCAACCTTCAGAAAAGCCCGATAGATAGATAGTTGAAGAAATATGCGAACAAAATATAATTAACAAAGCAAAAAAGGGATATAAAATACAGAGAGCGCACATTTATACGTACATCTACATCTACATCAACAGCTCCAACTGTGCGGCAACGGCGTTAACAACAAATTTAATCGGAAGTGGAGGATAAATACAGCAACATCAACTACAATTGAAACAGCAAAAACAAAAGATCACCGGTCTAAAGAAACGCAGGATTAAAATGTGTGAATAAGTGTAATAACCGAATGAAAAATAATACCGAGTTAATAATTTAACAAACCAACTAGAGACGACTGTGCACAAAATAATAGAATCGTTGTATGTAAGCATCTCATCCTACAAAGCTACATATTTATTAAAATAAGCTTCGACCTTCCTACAAATTCAACAAGAACAACAACTCGTAAGTACTTTCTTCATTATTTTAACTGAGTCAAAAATAAACGATTGTTTACCTTTCCCTTGCCTTTAGCGCTTTCTGCTACACCTGCTGCACTGCATCTGTAAAACGAACGCGTGAGAGTATACACAGGACTTGGAAACGCACGCCGGTCGCCGTGTACATACATACATAAACGAATCGAGGAAAAGAGAATACCAATAATAACATCTAACGAAAGATGAATGAACTAGACAGTCTTAGGCAGGAAGCCGAATCCCTCAAAAATGCTATCCGGGACGCTAGAAAGGCCGCCTGCGACACATCCTTGTTGCAAGCAGCCTCCTCGCTGGAACCCATCGGACGCATACAGATGCGCACCCGGCGTACATTACGCGGACATTTGGCGAAGATCTATGCCATGCATTGGGGCAACGACTCTAGAAATCTCGTTTCCGCCTCACAGGACGGTAAGCTAATTGTGTGGGACTCGCATACTACGAACAAAGTCCACGCCATTCCACTGAGATCCTCATGGGTGATGACCTGTGCGTATGCCCCGTCTGGCAGCTATGTGGCCTGCGGCGGCCTCGATAATATGTGTTCAATTTACAACCTAAAAACGCGCGAAGGTAATGTCCGTGTGTCCCGAGAGCTGCCGGGTCATGGTGGCTATCTATCATGCTGCCGTTTCCTCGACGACAATCAGATCGTGACCAGCTCCGGCGATATGTCGTGCGGGCTGTGGGATATCGAGACGGGCTTGCAAGTCACCTCCTTTTTGGGTCACACTGGAGACGTTATGGCCCTGTCATTGGCACCCCAATGCAAAACCTTTGTGTCCGGCGCCTGCGATGCCTCCGCCAAGCTCTGGGACATCCGAGAGGGAGTTTGCAAGCAAACCTTCCCAGGTCACGAGTCGGATATCAATGCAGTTACCTTTTTCCCCAATGGACAAGCATTTGCAACCGGATCAGACGACGCCACCTGTCGACTCTTCGACATTCGGGCCGATCAAGAGCTGGCCATGTACTCCCACGACAACATCATCTGTGGCATCACCTCTGTGGCATTTTCAAAGAGCGGGCGCCTGTTACTAGCAGGATACGACGACTTCAACTGCAACGTGTGGGACACGATGAAGGCGGAGCGGTCTGGCATACTTGCCGGTCACGACAACCGTGTATCGTGTCTGGGCGTTACCGAGAACGGTATGGCGGTGGCAACAGGATCGTGGGACTCTTTCCTGCGCGTATGGAACTAAAAACAAAGAGAAGAACTTCAAACTTCATTAAAAAAAAAGTAAAAAGGGTGGGGGTGGGGTCAACGGTTGCGCAGTCTGCGGCGATAGTGTTACTGCACCATTCATCCATCTTACATTGTGATCTGATGTAAATGGCATGTGAATGGTGTTGCCACCTTCCCGTGCGTGGTTTATATAAAATGATGACGGACGAAGACGAAGACGACGTTTTGAATATGTGGGTGTGGGCGCAGCTAGTTGACTAGAACGTAGACCACAACAACAAAGAACTTTATATACAACATTATTTATATTGCTATATACTTATTAACTAAAATTATACAAAAGAAGGAAAAAAAAACAAAAGTGCAGACATACGCAGCAACATACATACAAATAGACATACACACATGCAAACAAACGCACACACACACACAAAAACACACGCATACAAGAATATTATTAGTGTAAATGGGAAATTCAAGCAAAAAACAAAACGAAAGTAAGAGAAGAGAGAAGAGTAAAGAAAAGGATGCGCCCGCTGATATTCAGTCAGTTGTGTAGTAGTCAGAATTCCGGGTACAACAGCTACAGTTTAAAAACGTACGTAATGTAAACTTAGTTCAAATCGTGTATTTGAGTGCAGTGCCAGTGCTAACGAACGCACGCACGCACGCATGCCTGATGAAACCTTGAACAATGTAAGAGAAAACAACGGTAAATGATACATACATAGGTATGTACATATGTATGTGTGACACATAAATACATTGTCTTCTGCGTATAATACATTAACTTCAGAAAAAATGGGATCCTGATTAAGCGAAGTCAAAGAAGTAAAATAAAGTAAAAGCATTTAAAAAGAAAAAGAAAATAAGAAAGAAGGAAAGAGAGAAGAAAACATCACGGCGGCGAACCTAAAAGAAAATTAAAACAATTGAGCATAATAAACTTTAAAAATCAAGTAAACAAAAGAAAAAAAGAAAAAGAAAAGTAAACAAAACAAAACACTATACAACATTTTTGTCTTATTATGTTTAAGTCCCTAATTTATATACAAACAAACAAAAAATAAGAATGATTTAAATAACAAACTATGCATTAGTAAAAAAAAACCAAGTGGAAAACTATACATAATATGATGGCCATATAAGCTATAACAATAAATTTAAAAAAAAACACCTTTAAATCTTATAATACATTTATAAATGTTTAACAAAATCTTAACATATACATTCATAGAAAAGCGGCATTAAGGGGCATCAAAATAAAACCATACTTACTGCAATGAAAAACAGCGTTTGAACAAAAATACATCCTCCCCCTCACTTCACCTCACCACAACTCAACTCGACTCACCTCACCGCAACCCATTAAAGCAGAGTTACATTTTTCAATTGTTCAATTCAATTTTTTGAGGTTTGTATATGTACGAGAGGTTTGAGGATGCTAAAATCGAATGTTTTATACGAAATGCTTGAAAAGTGAAAGTTTATTGTTTTCGGTTGTCATACGAATCTACACACTAACTCCCAGTTTCTTCTGTTTTTTTTTTTTTTTTTAAATCAATTGAAATACCAAAATGTATGTATATGCAGAGATTGATTGATTCCAGTATTCTGAAATCCTATTCTATGATTTGGAAGTTGTTGCATAGTTTTCAACACACACGCACACACACGCGCAAAAAAAAGCTCTTGGTCCGATAGATAAACTCCGATTTAAAGTAATAGTTTTTTAAGCACCGAGGAATTAGGAAACTTAAACCAAAACCAAAAATACAATCCTTATCAACATTTGAAGTGCACAAGAAACGAGAGAAAGAGTGGAAGCATTGTGTATTTTTATTAACTTTTAATTCTAAACAAATATTGTACGCAATATCCTTATGTATATGTATGACTATTGGTGTGTTTGATACAACTGCAATTATTTGAGCTGTGCTTTTTAATAAGTACGTATTATATATTATGTAAACCCCCCTTTTCCCCTAACAACAACAACAACAACGCACACTACTCTTCAGACTCCCCAATACCTACCCCAAACCCCACGTCATGATTTATGTAATTCAAGCAGCATGTTTTCAACTACTTAAAATACGATATGGTTCTGTCTGTCACAGCCTTAGTGGATTATACCGATTATACAGCATAGCATTGGTTGGTTCGAAATCTTCAAAATCGAAACTACAAATCTACAAAAATCTTCGAAATATGTTAATATCACAACCCCTCTGTATGTATGTGTGTTACCATGTAAATTTAATACTGTCCACATTATGTTAATATGTATACGCCACAAGATCGATCATATATATGCGAATATATTGTAATTTAGTTACTCTTTTATTTCGTCTGCCTAAATTTAAAGCATTTTATAAAGCGGTACATCTTTGTAATTAGTTATTTGTATTACAAAGTAAACCAACTTAAAACAAAATGAAAAGCTGTCAACAACAACAAATTGAAAAATCTAATTAAATAAATGATGTTCATGTAAGATTAACATTAACATAAACAACAACATACAACCTACAACCCATACATATTAAAATAAAAAACGAAAAATGAAAATTAAACATTACTAACATTAATTTATAATTTGTGTCATAGCCGTCAACTCAGCGTTATACCTAGAATATATAATAAAGAAAATTGTGTTAAGCAAATGCTATATCATTTAATGTATGTGCGTCGTGTGCCCATGCCGAAAATATTGATTAAGACATTTGGTCGGTTAGGAATAACGGGTTAATAAAACTGGCATGTTAATAGTCATACATTTAAATGCAATCTAATTAAATTATTATATTTTTTTTTTAATCTTTTCAATTTAGTCCTTGGTACTATTATCAGTCCTTTGCCATTCCATGTCCATTTTAAATTGAAAAGGATGTCGATATTTTGGAAACTAGTATTCTCTTTATTTGAAATATGTAATTGATAGGATTTCCTATTTTGTAATACTTTTTCTTTTTAATTAATAAGCATTTCAACAGTTTATATTATGCACAACTTATCCGACTATTTATTTAAATTTTGTTTTCGAATAGTTTTAAAAACTAAAACCCGTTTTTGCCAATACTTTTAATAGAACGTTGAAATAAGACACTTGAGGTGTTTTTTTTAGCTTTGCTGATAAAATTAGAAGAGGTTAGGTAGTACGTTTTTTGGTACTGCTGTCATAGGAATCTCTTACTATAAGTTCCAATAGCTTTAGCTTTTGGTAAGCATTCAAATTTAATGGTTTTAAATGGGTGAAAATAAGTTCTAGCATTCAGATAATTGCTTGAGTTAAACTAGTCACATCCCATATCTGCTGATGAAAACCAGGTTTGTATTCAAAGATAGTTAAACATTAGACCATTGTTTTTGGTCACAAGTCATTTACGCAATAATATTGGAGATAAATGACTCATACTTGGCGCATACTGTAGTGCATCTTCCTCTAATGAAAACAGCCCTAAATATCATGAGTCAAATGTGCGTCATCCTTCAGCATTATTTGGTGTGCTTTCTTGTGATTCTCAGAGTGTTGAAGATATTCTACTTTTTACAATTTAGCTTATTAAATAAAGGAACAACAGTCGTTAACATATCTTCCGGTGAAATTAAATAATTGCATACTTTTTAGTGTCGTTTTTTTGGCTGAAATTAAAATATGCTCTGTATTATATTTTAAATTATGTGCATATATGTTCCTTAAAAATTTAGCTATTAAAATGAATTTTATAAAGGTAAAGTATCTTACAAAGCAAAACCTTAAGCAATATAAACTTCCAAGATCCATGTCTATAAGCTGTCTTAATCTTCTCATTGGTTAACGCTTGTCAGGAACTAGCAAATTCGTAAAAAGCTTTATTCCTAGATTTCTAATGAAATTAAATATATTTTTAACTATCTTGTGCTTAAATATTGTCTAATTCTTATACGTAATGGATAATGAACGCGGGAGATTTGAAACCAGAACGTTGTTGCTCTTATAAGGACATTTACGACATCGATGCTGGGGATAGTGTTTTGCAACATGTTCCTGGCAACATTTCCTTGTGGATTTCGCTATACGCAATTTCGATTTCCTTAAAATGTGCTTCTGTCCACACTGGACTGTAGATTTTGTCCTCAAAGTAGTAAAGGATGTCCTTTTCGATAAACCCAGCTTTGTGTAATCGATAAATGCGGAGTCCGCGCTCCTTCTTTGAATCTTGAGCCCAAAGGTAAACTTTATTTTAACTTACTGGAGAAAAAACTATTGGCCTGAAAAAAAAATACGCATAATTTGTATTTAAGTGTGTGAATATATTATTTATTTATTTATAATTGAACAATAATTATAATTATATACTGCGCATATAATTGTATATAATTGATAGCATTTGTAATAGGTATTTAATTTGATTTCATTTGTTTAGGGAATTACATATGTATGTATATTGAACTTTCGATTACGAATAACAAACAATTTTTTATAAACTCGACAAACATCAAAGAATCGTTTAGCAAGACTATGAATTAATTTTACTATGAATTATATTACGTTAATATATTTAATCTTCCTTGGATAGGCTACCCAAGTCGCTCAGAAAGATCTCGGGAGATAGGACATGTGAGGATCCGACCAAGACCTCCCAGTTGCGAACCGCATTGGTTACTTCATATGCGCACCTCATCTCCGACATGCTGACGCCGCCCACAATGAACACAATGAGTCTGGGGACGTTCTTCACCTGCGCCTGGGCCTTGTCCTTGTGCCAGTGGCCATACCGAGCACTGGCAGGTGCCTGATGGTAGTTGGTGTTTTGGGCACGGCCCTCGAGGAAGGGGAAATGACGCAGATCCAACTTATCCTCTATGCAATCCTCCATGATGTCCTTGATGACAGGTGTCCAGCGAGACATTTGGTAGGTGCTCTCGGTGATTCGTTCTTTTCGCGGCACGGAGTAGATCTTCTTGCGGGACTATTTCAATGGTTTAATAGTAAATCTCATGAACAAGTTAAATTATTAATAGAAACTTACATCGGCAATGACATTGATTCCCAAATAATTCAGATTTCGAACCATGTCCTGATCCTTGGGCGACAACTGCGCATGGGTGAATAGTTTGGTCAAGTTCTCCTCCGATATTCCATTCTTGATCATCACATAAAGCGCAATTATGCGAACTTTATCATAATTGGAGACATTCTGTATGAAAATACTTGCGTATACAAATTGACAAATATGTTAAGGATATGACTGCGCCTTACCGCATCTAACAAAATGGGAACAATGTTACGCATATGATCCTTAATCTTCTCCCCTTCGGCATCGGTTCCCATCGCTAAATCCTGTTCAACTCGGCAAAGTTTGTCGACATAGTTCTGGTAGGACTTCATACAGTCCTCGGCCAAATGCAAATGGGTCGAGTACTTGGACAGTTCCTTTTGATACTGCGGCATCTTTTTAATCATTTGCGATAAGTCGCGCATTGAAGACTTATCGGCTATAATAAAATTGGGATATATATTTGATTTATAGAGGTGTCAAATAATATCTGATTGGACTTACTGGAGCTCATCCTCTTGGAGTCGGTAAACTTTTTCAAGTTCTGCGTCACTTGAGTGGACACTACAGCAATATGCTCGTGGCGCAGCTCCACCCACAAGTCATCGTTCTCATCCAACAACACCTCCTTATCGGGCTGGTTGGGCCCAGGTGTATACCGATAGACGTCGTTTACGATTGGAAGCAAATCATAGGCCATGGCCTGCAGTGTCAGTTCATGCAAGAGCGGCGAGACACAATCGAAGCCACGATCCAGGATTAATAGCTGTGAACGGGACTTCTCCGGTCCCTCGCCCATGGTTGGTTCGTCGGCCTTGTAGGCGTCCAGCTTCTGCTGCACGGATGCAGCCAAATCAATGTTCCGATCCCAGTCACAGCGGTAGCGCACGTTCGGGTATTCCCCCAGAGTAGCGCATAGAGTTGCGATCTGCTCCGCGATGCGTTCAATATGCTTGCTTCGGATGGAAGCGAATGCCGGCGAATACAGGCACTGGAACGTGTCCGGCGAGTCCAGCGAGAACACCTAGACACAAAGGAGTTATGCAGGTAAATATTACCAATCCCAATTAACTCTTCATGGTACTCTGCACTCGTAGAGCATCTTTATCTATGCCTCTACAGGAATATCCCTATCTCGCGATGTATTTTACGAAAATATTTTAAGAAACGCCTACCTAAAAATATAAAATATAACTATCTTCGCATGCCGAAGAGTATCCATACTTGCTGTATCCGCCTTCACATCTTGTGCAGCTATGGCAAAAGGTGATTTAATGAATATGCTCAAAATATGGTTACAACAAAACAACTCGAAACTTTTACCCTCGGAAAACCTTTTATCATTTAAAAACGATTTGTTTTCATGTATACAATTTCAATACATTAAATTGAACACTGCAAAATAAGTATAGCAAAACTTAAGGAGATTGTGTGTGAGAGCCTAATATAAAATTTAATAACCTAGCCCGATATAGAAAAAAAAGAGTCCAGTTAATAAGTTAAAACGTTCAGTTACCGTCAGAAAGTAATGCTTTAGTTATTTTACCTTCTTTTTGTACTAACAGTATTGAATTCTAATATATTTTTAGAAACAATATTGCATTTATTCATGTTTCCTGTAAGCTTAGTGAAAGAAAATTTTGGCGCACCTGGCATTCGTAAGGAAGAAATGCAATATTAATCTCCTTTAGAGTTTTGATCTTTCTTGCAGCGCACGATTTACACAAATCGTTGAATAATTCCTCTGGGCAAACTATAATTATATTCAAATTTAAAAAGAGTGAAATTTAAATTGAATATAAGTACAATAGCTCATTGATTTGATATAGTTAATTTTAACATGATGAAGGAAATCAAGAATGCATTTATGCTGGAAACCCCTGTCATTATTTCTGTAGAAGGAGGAGTAGATCAGCGAAAAAAATACATAGTATTTACATAGTTATATTTAAATTGAAAATGGTTAAAATGTAATAACTGACTGAACGAATATTGAATGTAATAGACCGGAAAAGGAAATGGGCGACTGAAATCTCATACCCTCAGTGAAAAAGACGTGCGCGTATCGGTAGGTTGGGCGAGCGGGGTTCTCAAAATCCCGAATCAAAGAACGAACCGACTCATCCGATGGGGTTATCAAATAAATAGCATCCATAGTTGGCAATGGCTCACGCTTCTTGTTAATATCTTCCACCACTGTAAAATTTGTAATATAATTTTGGATTTTTAATCTGCAGATCTGAAAAAAAGAAGACTTACAGGTGATTCCCTCGGCACTTATCTCATGCATTTTGGTGCAAGCCGAGACCATGCGCATACCCAGCTTGTCTACTACCAGGACACGCCATTCCATTCCACCGGCGCCAGCCTTGGGAGCTGACGTGACTTGTTTTTTCGGAGCTGGAGGCTTGTACTTGACCACCTCGTTCATGATCTCTAAAACAATACAGTATATGTGCATATAGAGGTTTAATTTCCTTTTTCCCCTTGCAAGTTTAAGATGCTAAATAAAACAAAACTAATAAATATTTATTAAGCTTATTTGGTGAGCAGATAAAAAATGTTCAATCTCAGAATAATTCTGTGGTGACTTTTCATGGACAACATTCTTGTATGTATGTTTTGATTGTAGAAATAAAACATGCGTATTGCTAAATAAAATATACATACATACATACAAAAATATGTAAATAAAAGCTGCGAGTTGTGCCGCCAAAAAAATGAGTCTGTATTAACTTTTGTTAAATAAATACACACAATGGGTTTTCAAGGTCGATTACAAAAAGAAAATGCTTATTCTACGTTTTCGACTAATTTGTTTATTGTTCAATTATTATTAATGATGAAAAACTTATTTTAAAGATGATTTTAATTTAACCAACTTAAAGTAAATAATTTTATTTGTAAACGAATGAAAAAAAAATATGTATATAGCTTATTCTTATTTATCATATAAAGGAAGCTTGTAAGACTTCAGAAATTAATATAAAATACGGATTTGATTTCCGGGAAAATCAATCGGATGCCATGCCCTTGCCAGTCTTGTAATATCAACTTTATTGCGACGAATATTGGCAAAACGAATAGTTTTTTCACCTAAATCACACTTACTTTGACCAACTAATACTTTCAAAGCCATTTTTAATTGAATATTTTGTTAACCACAACAGGAATATGAATGGGAAAAGCTTAAATAATGTTTTGGTATATTTCTTCCTTTTAATGTCAACTGCTTTTTAATGCTCGCAAAATCGATGACCTACTCGATTCATCGATGCCAATAACATCGACTATTCGACTTATTTAATCGCTCAGATTACATCACGGGGGACGGCATTTGACATTAATCCCCAATTAACTTTCATTGAAATTTTTACTATACATCTTTATTTATTTATTTTTTATTTCCTAATGTTTATATTTTTAATTAATTGAATCTCTCTTGAACGAATTTCTTGGAACAATATTTAAAAAATGAAAACTTAACAGAACGGTGGACGGTGGATGCGCCACTTGAGAATATGTTGTAATATCGTTTCATTCGTTTCAGAATTTCTATCGGTACTATCGAATAATTCCTGGCAATGAAAGACCTTTAACCTGCTAAAAACACCAAAGTCACTATTAAATGTGGTAAATAAAATCCAACTGCGATTAAAACTCAACGAGGTCAGTGTGCTGGTGCTGCTCTGTGTTACAAATATACCTGTTACTTTCTCATTTGCATTCATTTAGTATTTTTTCTTGTGGTGCTATACATACATACACATATTTACATATAAATATATGTGCATATAAATATATTTATGTATGTATATTGCAATCCGAGGTGCACAATTGTGTAAATTGTAACGATATATAGCCAACTAAAAGATTTGGTATTTAATGTAATCGTGATATACCTATGTACATTCATACATATATACATATGCCTTTTTCTATAACATATCGTTTGTAATTTATTTACCATCTGTTAGGACACCGCCTCTTCCGAACGGACAAACATATATATATGTATTTCGTTTCATGTATACTTCCATCCGTTAAAATGTATGTATATGTATATATTCCTGACATGACGACGATAATAAATTCCAGTTCATCTAAACTTGCAGTTTTTAGCTCTCCCCGCAAAGTATAAAAAAAGGAACAACAAAATGGAATCGAACGTTGGAGAGGATTTGACACAAAGTCTGTGGATGCGGAAAATGTGTTAAAAAATGAAGAATCTTCGTTTCTGGCAAACATACTACGGGAAATTCTCTACAGTCCCATGAACTTGGCTCTTTTAGCCATTATCTGCTTCTTGGTTTATAAAATTGTTCGGGATCGCACAGAAGTACCGAGTGTCGGTGCCCCAAAACCATCTGAGCCGGAGCTACCAAAAATACGGCGAGATTTTACGGTTAAAGAACTCCGGCAATACGATGGAAATCAGCCTGATGGTCGCGTTCTGGTGGCAGTCAACGGCAATATTTACGATGTTAGCAAAGGAAAGCGATTTTATGGTCCAGGTGAGTTTTTAATTAGAAATCAAGTCGAAAGAAGCATTTAAAGCATTTATTGAAATTAATTTCGTCTCGATAAGGTTTTGTTCAGAACCAAGGTCAGTTCCGTATTCAGGACACATTTTTAGAGGTCATAATGTACTAGTTATCGTTATCTACAATGGTTTTCGCTTATCAAAATAATCAAAAGAATTGTAAAATAAATAGTAACAAAGGAAGGATCTGACGAAATTCGCACGTTTTTTTTTTTGTTATCTCTAGAAACTGATAAATGACACATTTTCTGATAGTTTAAAACTTCACTATTACTTTTTATAAATAGCGCGGCTTTATCATTCGAAATATCTGTAGTGTAAAATGTTCTGATTTTTTAAAACAGTCTTTTTTAAATGTTAACTTTTAATTTAAATCGTAAAACTTATTAAATGTACATATAATAACCCAAAAATCGAATACTCTTAAAGGTGGTCCATACGCTACGTTCGCTGGAAAAGATGCCTCTCGCAATTTGGCCACATTTAGCGTAAACTCCAACGATAAGGATGAGTACGACGACCTGAGCGATTTAACTGCTGTGGAGATGGACTCTGTAAGGGAATGGGAAATGCAATTCAAAGGTAGCGAAATGTTAATAATATACATGTTTATCATTATTAATATGCTTTCTTTTTTGATCACCAAGAAAAATATGAACTAGTGGGCAAGCTATTGCGAAAGGGTGAGCAACCAACTAACTACGATGATGATGAGGACGACGATAATGCCGCAAACGTAGAGGACGCCACTACTCCCGCTACTGATATTTTAAACGATCAAAACGAAGGTGCGCGAAAACGTCAGCCTGACAGGTCAAAAACGGAGGCTAATGGTCCTAATGCGAGCACAACTAAGGCGGAGAATGAATCTACCGATTGTTAGCACGCCCATATACATGCATCTTTTTTTTTTTGTTTTGTTAGAAAAACATACATACGTCTAAAACGTCTAAAAAACAATACATATAACCTGCAGCATTTCTTCAGACTATTTTATAAATGCTGTGTCTGCTCCTCTTTTTGGTAAATTGAAAAATAACTTGAGCGATAAAAGACATTATTAAATTTATGTGTATCACCAAAACAGAAAATCGTTATTTAAGAAAAAAAGAATCACATACACATATACGAGGGCTTTCTATGATAATTGTATTTAGTTTGCAGCCTTGAAACAGCTATTGTTGTTACTACCATTTTTCACGTTGTGGCTAAAATTGTTCCACAAGAATAATTGTATATTCATCTAAAAAACGGAAATTGTAAAGTTTTTTAAAGGAGAAGGCAAATTTGTGTGAGGGTATGAAATACTTCAAATAAAAGTGAATAACTCTAGTCGTTAGTTCATATATTTTTTGTTTTTCAAGAGGATGAGGCGCAGTTGGTGGGTGTTGTTTGAAAACCCCAATTAAAATAATAAATCTCTATGTTACGGAAATAGTAAAACGAATTGGTTTATTTTCAAAGCTTTTCTTAATTCCAAGATTATTTTCAAATCTGCAACTGTCAACGTTCCATATTCCATTGTTCCGATAAAAAATCATGGTATATTTTAAAGATCTATGCGCGGTCACACTTGCCCTCTTGATTACGAACATATAAAGTGTATTTTTTTAAGTGGGATATATAAGAATATGGATCGTCCCTTTAATTTGTTGTTTTACAATGCCATTTGCCGATTCATCAGAATGAAGCAACCAATATCTGTTACTGTAAGGCACAAGAGTACCAGCAAAACCAACAAAGTGAACGTAGTGCGCCAGAGCAAGATATTTAACTCTTTAGTTGGAAACCGGCGCGAAGGTAACACGCGCTGGTACCCCTCCCACGATGTGAACACCAAGAGTCGTCCGTCCAGCTTTCAGCAATCGGCATCCAACTCCATTCGTGCTCCAAAATTCGGAGGAATGTCTCATTCACGTGCCCATCTGGACAGTCGCAGAATGTCCGTGCTAAACAAGATGTTCATGACGACCATAACCGATTTTTTGGCAACCGGAGATGGTGATGCTGCCCGCTCTATTGTCGGCCGAGGTCTGCAAGTTTCCCATGTAAAGATCACAAGCGATTTCTCGCAAATCAATGTGTACTGGTCTTGTGGATCGTCGGCTGAGAAAGCTAACCCAATGCTCGAGGAGGAATTAAGCCGCTGCAGTGGCCAGCTGCAGCATGAACTTTCCCAGCTGAAACTAATGGGTGAAGTTCCCCGGATTAAGTTCGTTCGGGACAAAACGAGCGCGAATCTATGCCAGGTGCAGGAAATCCTGGCCCGGCTCGGTCCATTTGAATATGTGCCTTCGCAAAACGATTCAATTGAGAGAAAAGTGAACAATCCATCCATAGAACCTTCTTCCCACGCAGACAGTTGGCCGCAGATGAGACAAGATGTTGTAAATTTTAACCAAAGCATAGTAATGGACAAGATACTCAATAAGATGCATAAATTTAAAGATGCCTGGGTCTCTCATATGAGGATGTTGTCCAATTCAAACGATTCGGCATAAAAAACGTTACTAATTAATCCACCTACAAACGCATAGTGCATTCAATACTATGGCATAGTAATAAATGGTTAAATATTTAACAATATTGTACAAGTTTATACGCAAGACGGCATTTTTAGGATGTTTGTTAAAAAAATCGAGTAGGTTAGAGCCAGCCGACAAACAGCTGATCAAAATTGAACGATATCTATTGGGGAAATACCTTGGCTACCACTGAAATATCGATAGTGCTATCGCTCTCTCCTCGTACGCCGTACATGCGCGATACATTGAATGTAGATGGCGCCAGTCGTCCGCAGGGCGGTATTTTGCAGTTATCGAGCGAAGTTTCCGACCTTCTACATCCCTAAATTCATTGAAGATTCCAGTTGAATGCTAGTCAGTGGTCCACATAAATAATTGTTTTGCTGTGAAAATTACTTGATAAATTACAAGTTGGGCGTACGCAGCGGGCGCACAACATTCTGCATTCAATCGGTTACTCACCGCAGTGTCACTCAAACAGTTGCCTTTTCGTTAGTTTAACTTGTGTACACATACACACAAATGTATATATTTTTTTTTTTAATGACTAACTGTTGTGTGAATGTACATGGAGAGGATTCTTAGTCCCAGCTGCAAATCGGGAGACCTGACTTGTTCGCACATAACGCATTCTGCTGGTTTCATTGTTTGTGAGCAGCTAAGTTTTTCGCCTTTTATTTTTTTTTGCATTGGTATCGGTTTTACGTGATATCGAGTGTGTGTGTATGAGAACCACATAAGCGATTTTTGTTGTGCGCACGGCTTACGCATATTCTTTTTTTTTTATCTCAATGATAGTTAACCCGAAAAACATACACACACACCAGCAGTAATCAATGTGCAAGAAGCTGAAGTGACAAGCAAATTGAAAGCAGGAGTCAAGTGCATATAGAGACGCAAAAACAGTTTGATAACACAACAAGAATCGGACGGCAGCACTTGCAGCAGTTTCGCCAGAGCCCTCTTTTGAGCTAACGAAAAAACGGAACGAAAAAATCGGGGTCGAAGTAGTAGTAGGCGTTCTCCGCTGCGCAGCGCCGTCGTTGGACATCTACACCTCGAATTCTTCAAATCATTGCGAAAACATATAGATTATTTTGCTGAGACCGGAACAACAACAGTCGGGGAAAACGCGCCGCGATGGATAATCTAATAACCATTGTAAACAAGCTGCAAGATGCGTTCACATCGCTCGGCGTGCACATGCAATTGGACTTGCCACAAATCGCCGTTGTTGGTGGGCAGTCCGCAGGCAAAAGTTCGGTTTTGGAGAATTTCGTTGGCAAGTAAGTAATCATCGACATATAAACATAAAAGTATAATGCAAATATTGGCCGAAAGATGTTTGTTTGTTTATCTAAACGTGTGGGTTCCCAGCTAATGTTACCCCTTTTAACATTGTTGTTATTTGTTTAAAAAACATTGGCTTACAAGCGCTTCGAACCGGAAAAGCATAGAGAAAAACATAAATATTTTGTGATATTGGATAATGTTTCCTTTTCGGGGAGAATTTCCTCCTGGTTAATCGTTTTTCAATCGCACAATTATGCAAGTACGCTTTGTGTACATACAATAGCCCAGAGCGGGTCTTATCAGTGGCCATCGAAAACAATGGTGTTTATCTAGCTTTTTCGGTGGAATGCCGGAGCAGGTGATGAGGCGGTGTAATCGTACATTTTTGGCCTCAAATATTAGTTAACAAAATTCGACAAAAAATCAGTTTTAACAATAAAATCAACCCCGTTTTGGCCATAGTCGATGGGTCTTTTTAATGTCATTGCTCTCATTTTTGTACATATTAGGCTCTTGCGCGCGCTCTCTCTCTCCCACTCTCTCTCTGCGAATGTCGACCACCGACCGCCCACACTCTCAAAACACAAATACAATGGTTTCAACGCCCCAAAAAGAATGTCGATAGGAAAAATCAATATATATGTTACCGAGTCTACTTTCTTGCATTTTATCGTTTCGCTCTTAACAATTCCTATATATGTACATACATACCTAAGTACATATATGTATGTATATGCAGAAATGACCATGAACTTTGTCATTAAACATAAACATAAATGATAAGAACTATATTCCGTTATATTTTATATATTTTGGCAAGAAACGTAGACATCACTTTCACTTCTTTTTAATTTCCAACTAAAATAAATCCAAAAATTTAAGTTTAAATAATGATTGTTAATCAACCAATATAATTAAATACATAAATATCTATGTACTCAAGTACATTGCATTTCTTTGGTTTATCTTTATCTATTTTTGTGAGATATTGATACATTTTGCAACGTCCTTTTGTCATTCTATAAATGTTCCAGTAAACTTGTAACAAACAGCGTGTGTTGCTTACATAAGCTCTCTCTCCCTTTATATATATTCTAAATAATCCCGTTAGATTCGGAATGCGCAGGCGCATATATTTATATGAATATATGCATGTGCTCAGGGTCAAAAAATAATGTGTAAGCACACACAAGAGCCTGGCTTACAGAATCCAAAATATCTTGGAAATCCATTCATGTATCTAATTAAAAATTATTTAGATATGCTACCATTATAATATCTTAACCTCGTCAAGTGTAATAGAGCTACTGATTACAGTTTATAAGTTACTTATCTGGTATAAAATACTCGTTAGAATGGTAGAAGTTTGTTGGTTATAATGGTTGGATTTTAGAGCTAGATACTAGTTATTGTATAAAGAAATATTGGGTACTAAACAGGCATCAGACTACAAGAAACTCTTGATTGTGTAACTTATTCGTTATCATATAAAAGAGACTTAATAAATGGTTCAAGATTCTCTTTATAATGTTATATGTTACTGGATACCCAGCAAGGAAGATATTTGGGGGCCATCAAATTGTTAAAATTGCTGAATCTTGGTCTTTTAAATTTATCTTGGGCTATGAATAACTTCGAATAATTTTCCTTGTACATGAATTTTTATTTGTTGTTATAATGAGTCATTGTTAACAGGGACTTCTTGCCACGAGGTTCTGGAATTGTGACTCGTCGACCTTTGATATTGCAACTGATAAACGGAGTTACCGGTATGTATCGACTACTTTGATAAATTCAAGAAAGAGTCATATTAAAATAATAAATATATTAACACAAATAGAATATGGCGAGTTCCTTCACTGTAAGGGTAAAAAGTTCTCCAGCTTTGATGAGATTCGCAAGGAGATCGAAGATGAAACGGATCGTGTGACTGGCAGTAATAAAGGCATTTCGAACATTCCAATTAATCTGCGCGTTTACTCGCCGCATGTCCTCAATCTCACCCTGATCGATTTACCCGGATTAACTAAAGTGGCAATCGGCGATCAGCCCGCGGATATCGAGCATCAAATCAAGCAGATGATCTTCCAGTTCATCCGGAAAGAGACATGCTTAATTCTGGCCGTCACGCCGGCCAACACAGATCTGGCTAACTCAGATGCGTTGAAGCTGGCCAAGGAGGTGGATCCGCAGGGTGTTCGCACCATAGGCGTTATAACCAAGCTGGATCTCATGGACGAAGGCACGGATGCAAGGGATATTCTGGAGAACAAGCTTCTGCCGCTGCGACGCGGATATATAGGTGTCGTGAATCGATCACAGAAGGATATCGAGGGACGTAAGGACATACATATGGCGCTGGCTGCCGAGCGCAAGTTCTTCTTAAGCCATCCATCGTACCGTCACATGGCCGATCGCCTGGGCACTCCCTACTTGCAGCGCGTCCTTAATCAGCAACTAACCAACCATATAAGGGACACGTTGCCGGGCCTGCGGGATAAATTGCAGAAGCAGATGCTGACCCTGGAGAAGGAGGTCGAGGAGTTTAAGCATTTCCAGCCTGGCGATGCCAGCATCAAAACCAAGGCCATGCTCCAGTAAGCTCTCAAATGCAGGGAACAATTTTCAATATATATAAACTCCGTATTCAATTACAGAATGATTCAGCAGTTGCAATCGGACTTTGAGCGAACAATCGAGGGCAGCGGCTCCGCCTTAGTCAATACCAATGAGCTCTCTGGCGGCGCCAAAATTAATCGCATTTTCCATGAACGGTAAGTGTCCTGCAGAAAAGACGTGAATTATTAATACTCACCTCCGTTTGTCTAGTCTACGCTTTGAGATTGTTAAGATGGCCTGCGACGAGAAGGAGCTGCGGCGCGAGATCTCATTTGCCATTCGCAATATTCACGGTATTCGTGTCGGTCTCTTCACGCCCGATATGGCCTTTGAGGCAATTGTCAAGCGACAAATAGCATGTCTCAAGGAGCCGGTCATTAAGTGTGTCGATCTAGTTGTGCAGGAATTGTCGGTGGTTGTCCGTATGTGCACAGCCAAGGTGAGTTAAATTAAACCCAATACCGATATGTATTTATTTCTAAACACAAACTATAGATGAGCCGGTATCCACGCTTGCGGGAGGAAACGGAGCGTATTATTACCACGCATGTCCGACAACGGGAGCACAGTTGCAAGGAGCAAATACTGCTCCTTATCGACTTTGAGCTGGCCTACATGAATACCAACCATGAGGATTTTATTGGTTTTGCTAAGTATGAGATATTTGAAATATGCCTACAGGATATATACTAATCATTATTTAAACTTTTAGTGCCCAAAACAAATCGGAGAATGCTAATAAAACCGGTACACGACAGCTTGGTAATCAAGTTATACGCAAGGGTCACATGGTTATACAAAATCTTGGAATTATGAAAGGTATGGATGTTAAAAAATGGATATATAGGGTATTGCCAGACTTGAATTTTAAGATATGTTGCATATAAAGCTAGGCTAATATATTCAAAATACGCTTAAAATATCGATGGTACAAGCTAAATATTGGATTATAAGGATTCTATGGATGGCACCATTGATTGCTAGTACTTTGTTTTGTTGAAATAAATCTCCTTGAACACTTATTCATTCAAGCTTTAATGTATATTTTTCAGGCGGATCGCGGCCTTATTGGTTTGTGTTAACATCCGAAAGTATCTCCTGGTATAAGGACGAGGATGAGAAAGAAAAGAAATTTATGCTGCCGTTGGATGGTTTAAAGTTGCGCGATATTGAACAGGGCTTTATGTCAATGTCTAGACGTGTCACATTTGCTTTATTTAGTCCCGATGGACGTAATGTTTATAAGGTTAGTAATTTTTGTTAGCATACAAAAAATGAATTTTAAATGATTTCAAAACTAAAAAGAAAAGAAAAACAAAACAAATGAATCAAAAACAGAGAGACAAAAACCTTAAACTTCTTTCAACAAATTAATCATAAAAAAGAAAACAAAACAAAAACTAAAACACAACTAGACGAATTTTTTAACGTAAACTTTTGCAAAATAAAGAAGTAATTCAAACGTAACAATTTAATTCCAATTTGAATAAAACCTAACCTTTTGTTAATTATATAGTCTGAGGCAAACAGATCGAGATCAATGAATTATTTTTTTGTATAATATATAAAAATTACTATGTTTTTATCAACATTTGAGTCAAATTAAAGGCCAAGGAGCTTGCCACAGCAAAACAGCATATGTAAGCTCCTTGTGCTTTTTCTTCACATCAATTTTTGAAACTCATGAAGCATCGCGCGTCGTCCTAAAAACACTCTGTAGCTAAGTCTCCTAAACAAAAAGTAATCCTTTGGCTTGTACTGCTACTCATTAATGTATTCAATTAATATTATTGCTTTAATTGCTGTTTAACTCTGTGCTAGAAAACCGAGCAACTTAACATTTTACATTTGTTTCAGGTTTGGTTTGCTGTTAAGCATGTCTGAGAGAGAAAAGATTATTGATTGCATATTTAATTTAATTTGTGGGAAATTCTAAATCTTAACTACTTCACGGAGAATCTTACTGCTACAGTAACTAAATATTTTTTGGGGATTTTATTTAAAGAAAAATATTTGGAGTTTTATCAAAATCAGACGGCTATAAATACTTGCCACAAGAAAAACTGGCTCGTTTGTTGGTATTATTCTGTTAGAAATACTTTCCCTTGGTGTAGACCGACTATAAACCAGTTCTTAAATGTAGTACAGTGACAGCCGACTTCACAAGTATATCAAACGCTATACCCATAAGTCCATTTGTAAATAAACCTTTTCTTCAATTGGATCACTATAGATTAGCACTGTTCTTAAGCATATTGACCTTTTCATAAACCTAAAAGTAACTTAGTAGATAGAGTAAGCTTTTGTTAAATTAAAAGTGCATTGCAAATCTGAAGCAAACATGCTGCTAAAAATGTCCGATTACAATTGTTAAAAGTTCTCTTCATACAAGTTTTCTTTCTTTTTTCTCCCATTCTAAGAAGGATACTTACGTCATCTTGCCTTTCGTGGCTTTTGGGCTTCAAAAACACCATTTACTGCATCCCAATCCAAGCAGTTGTCATTATCGGCGATACTTAGGATCTGAGTTTCTAAAAGACTCAATGAGAGGCTAATGAGACTACAGCAAACATGACCGAAACCTATACGGGAAACAAACGAATCCTAAACGAGACCCAAACGAGTCCTAAACGAGACCTCAACGAGTCCTGAAGGAATCCTGAACGAGACCTTACCGGGAGCCTAGAGAAACCTACAAATACCTATTTACACGGGCCAGTTATTTGTTTGGAACCTAAAAACTATACCTATAATGTATATTTATATCGTGTGATTCTGATAAAGCTTCTAAGGCAAAAAGATTGGGGTTAAAACGAAGACACCCCTTTCGGAGGATTATTGTATGGGTATTCCGACTAGAAAGACAAACCCATAGACACAACGAGGTTCAATAGTACACTAGGCAGTTATATAGCCAAAGGAGAGAGAGGGGAGCAGCCAAAGGAGACAACGATATATAACATAGACACGAGTTTTGGTCCAGATCTTGTTCTTGATTCAAATAGGCCTTATGAGAGATGGAAACAATAATATATTTAATTGCTTTTTCTTTTCTTTTTGTTTATGTTAATTTCTTGCTCTTTTATTCGAACAACAATGCGGCGTGTGTGTGTGTTGTGTTTCTAGGATTACAAACAACTGGAGTTGTCCTGCGAGACGGTCGAGGATGTTGAGTCGTGGAAGGCATCCTTCTTACGGGCCGGTGTCTATCCCGAGAAACAGGAGACCCAAGAAAATGGAGATGAGGTGCGTATATATCTTTACAAGTATATATATATAAATAAGAAGAAATCTACTACTTACACTTGATATATCTTACATATTTGTGTGTTTAAAAGCAATGCATATTAATATTGTATTGTCTAAGATATCCCAAAACAAAATAGCCATTTTAAATAACATGAAAACATCTTTAATTTATCTCTTACTGGAGGTAGGCTGAGAAATACAAGAAAACAAAGTGTATTTATAGAGATATTTATGGATATAAATATCTGTCTATAAACAATAAACAAAGTATTGCTGGCAAAGATTAGAAAAATGCAGGCATGATTAAACCTTATTAATAACCAAATACATATAGTGAAAACCAAATAGAAAAAGAACTACACAAACTTGATTGTCCAATATTTTATATCTTATCTTTTCGCTGTTCCGTTGTTGTTGTTGGCCAAATCAACAAACAATTATCTCTCGCCATATTGATGCTCTAAATGCATAATCTTCATCCAGGAAGGACAAGAGGTTTGTGTGAATTTCTAAGTAACTTTGACAATGTTCTCTTGTTTTTGTTTATTTTTTCAATTTTGTTTTGAATATAATTTAATGAAATGACTCATAGTAATATTGGGGCTTGCTCTGATTTAATTGAGAATAATAATAACATTTGTATAACCATTTTAATAGAGGCTCAAAGTTCACATTTTTGTATTCTAAATAAATATTTAAATTATTGTCAGAGCAGCCCGATATTTTATGTACTTGGTTTATATTTTTCTAATGTTGATTTCGTTGTTTACTAATATTATACTATGCTACTAAGGTAACCCCTATATAATTGTGTTAAAAAAATGTGATTTTTGCTTTTTATAAACATAAAACATGACTCTGTTACATATATATATATATATTTATATTTATATATATATATATAAATTATTATTCATTACTAACATTGCATAAGGATATATTCATAAGATATACTTTTCCTGAATATTTAAATATGTTTTCTTATATTTAAATATTTAAAAAAGTGGAATATGCAATGCCCTACATAAGCGCCACATATAAACACCCTACCATATATATCCCGTTTGTCTTGGAGCTGAAAATATACCCCATAAATATATGTATATATACATACATACCTTCAAGTTCGGAGCTGAATCCCGTATCATTCTTGTACTGCGTTCTGAAATACTAATCAAAATTATAATATTCGCCAAAAGGGGTAAAGAGCTTTTAACTACTAACTAACTATGGTCATGTTAGCTAGTTATTGATAACTTAACACAATATTTATAACCAATCAACTAACGGAAAAAGCAATCTGGTCGGATGACTTCGACCATAGAATTATCTTACTTATTTATTTTAACAATTGTCTTTATGTTATTTTCTTCTATTTTTCCCTCCACGTACCTCAAACAAAACGACAAAATTTTACCAAAAACAAAAATATATATGAATAAAACGCCAATAATAAAAATCTATACAAATAAATATTTAAAACGTTCTGTTTTTAGCAACAAGTATGTGTTGACCTCCAAAATTTGTTTTAAGATTAAATCTTCTTTATTAATGCAACGAAAGTATTTAGACAAGCTTTAAGTATTTAGTCTTGTGTCATTTTCTTGGTCATCTATTTTATATATTTTAATATTCTTGAAATTAATGGAAGGGTGTGCAACCTCTATTCGAGATTTATTTTTCTTTTTTTTTAGTTACTAGTAAACTCCAGACCTAGGACGAAAATAATTGTTTTGGTTACACACCTGTAGCGATAAAGAAAGTTCAGTAGGTGTTTTAGACAAAATTTAACAGAATATAAAGAGACAACTTATTAGTATCAGGTTTAATTGGAATAATATTTTTATAATACAATAAGTAATGAGATTAACTTTATTTATCTAGTCTTTAACACCTTTACCGGACTGCCACTGACTTTCCTTGGAATGTCAAAAAATATTTGCTTAAGAGGGACTTTATTGAGTTTGGATTATCTTAGTGTTTTTTTATATGTTTCTTAAATAGATGACAATATTATTTGAATTTATATGAGTACTTTAAAAAGGATGATCCAAAATCCCAATCGAATGTCTTTGTTATTTTACCCGGGGTGCGCACAGAAATCGCCAGATTTTAAATCAATAGAAAATGTGTCTAAAAACAAATATTTTTAAAACCTTTGTGACTTACTTTCGGGTGTACTTTCGAAATGGCTCCGTGATTACACAGGTGCTTTCTGTGGGCACTCCTGTTTTGAAGAGAACTTTAAATCTTACATTTCGTTAAAGAAAATCAATCTCTATTCAAATTGCTTTCTTATCTGGCACTAATTAACTATTAAGTCATATTTACACCCTAACACATATACATGCATTTTGTTGTACAATTGGGTTTCACATTATTTTTGCACTCTTTATGCTCTTCTTTTTTACAAAACAAAAAAATCAATATGGCAAATCAATTCAATCAAATCGATTATTTCCCACACCAAACCCTTTCTTTAAACGAAACTTTCCACAAATCGCAGTCGCAGAGCGAGGAGAGTTCCTCCGATCCACAGCTGGAACGACAGGTGGAGACCATACGCAACCTGGTCGATTCGTACATGAAGATCGTAACGAAGACCACCCGCGATATGGTGCCCAAGGCCATTATGATGCTGATCATCAACAATGCCAAGGACTTTATCAACGGCGAGCTGCTGGCCCATCTCTATGCGTCCGGTGATCAGGTATTATATAACCAACTAAAGTTTAATTATAGTTTAAAACTAATGACATTTGCTTGCAGTCACAAATGATGGAAGAGTCGGCTGAATCGGCCACGCGACGAGAAGAAATGCTGCGAATGTACCGGGCCTGCAAAGATGCCTTGCAAATTATTGGTAAATAATATATATTCACCTCTTAAATGGCTTTGTTTATTAACTATTTAAATACCAAAATCCAAAGGGGACGTATCCATGGCAACTGTATCATCGCCATTGCCGCCTCCGGTAAAGAATGATTGGCTGCCCAGCGGCTTGGATAATCCACGACTTTCCCCACCAAGTCCGGGCGGTCCTCGTAAGCCAGCTCCTACCGCACAGGTACAAATAACATTTGTATACACCCTTCACATATTACATAATTATTTATTTACAGGGCACCATGGGTGGACGAAATCCCCCATTGCCGCCAGCTACTGGTCGCCCAGCTCCAGCGATTCCAAACAGGCCAGGAGGCGGTGCACCGCCACTACCTGGTGGTCGACCAGCCGGCACGTTGCCACCACCAATGCTACCATCGTAAGTATTAGAGCTCCAAGCCTTTAAAGTTATTTAACAATATCTATAGTGTATAGTATATAAACATGTGGAAGTCGACGGTTGAGACCTCTTTTTATAATATGCAAAAAAAATAGCTTTTAAAATTGACCTGGTCCTTGATCTCTCAGAATATTTTTATGTTTTGCTTCATTATTAAATTTTGGATTTTGTATTTTTCGACTTAATTGGTATGTTATTATTATTTTTGTTTCTTTGGACATTTCCATATCATAGAGCTGAATTTTTATTCAAGAGAGCTTCAGCAACATACATTTATTTATTTATTTATATAATAATAATAGATTACAAAAAAAAGCACTAAATTGTGCAAGCAAACCTTGTAAAGTTAACTAGGTACATTTACATTTCTTAATTTTTTTTCAATACAACATTTGGTCTTGTGGAAATTTTTAATAACAACAACATAATTACTAAGTTGTAAGCGTTAAGGATGTTTTATGTTTACAAATCTAACAAAAATAACAACCTGGTTTCGTTAAAAAAAAACTCAAATTACCCATTTTATACATATATGTATGTATATATTTTATAAAGGTAGCAAAGATTTTTAATAAAATCCTTCCGTCACTATAAAGCTGCTTAAATCGACATGTCTGTCTGTCTGTTCCTTTTAGATTTATAATTATCATTTTTTGTATTATATGTTTTCATAACAAATTAGCTTTAATTAAGAACTTCTTTGTACTTTTTTCAGTATAATTTAAGAAGAAAAAATCAATTTTTAAAGCTTGCGTATAACAAATTTAAGTATCTCAATCTCCTATACCTCAACCGATTTGCTCTCTCTGAAATATATTATTGATAGAATGAAAAGTGCAACTAACCAAAGACCAAAATTCGTCAACTGTTATATACGAGCTCTAAAAGTTATACCAAATGTATAGCATAGCATATACAGGAAAAATATAGAGCTAGTTATAAACCTTATGTTGCTTGTTAAGAATTTGATTACTTACATTTAAATAAGAGATTTGTTGAACAAAATTAACAAAACTATTTTTGTTATTTCTCTTTTTCTCTTTCTATGTGGTACGATTAACACCAAAAAAATAATAATAATGCATTAATCTAATCACTCACACACATAATGTAAACAGACGTCGTTAAGTTGTTGTTCAGCCATCGCGAGATATGTACATCCATAGGCCGAGATCGATCCACCTTATATAAATTAATATATGTATCTTGCTGACGATTTAACCAACACACAATATCGCCAATATTGAAATATGTATTTCGACTTTGGTATTATTCCGGCATAAACAGATAACACGGCAACAACGATGTGTGAAATCGATACATTTATCGTTAATCGTTTATGAACTATTGTAGTTAATATTTAATCTGGCGCGTTAATAATATTGAAAAAGAATTGTTTATAGACATATACATACAAACAAGCAGAAAGAAAAGAAGAAAGAAAGAAACTAGTCGAGAAGCACATGTTTCCTTTTATTCCAAAAGAAATTTGTTTTCTTTACAATTTACTCTTACTTTCCCGTGTATATATATACATACATATGTATATGTATGTGCTTATGTATGTCGATCGATGCATGCAATACCTTCTACATCAAATTATCCTGTTAAGTCTCGCTTACAACGGCAAATGCTCAAAAGTTACATACATATATACATACATTTGTATGGGCAGATGTCGAATGACGGATATTAACTAATGATCTTAATTATAAAAGTAAATAACTATAATATACGGCTTTCGTTATAACATATACATAATATTATATGGCTTTGTGTTATTGTTGTTGATGTTAACACTATAACTCTATGAAAATGAGAAATTGTTAGGTAAAGCACAATTAAAGCTACATATGTAAAGTCAGTCACAAAGTATTTCCTTCTAATTGAAACCAAATTATAAACTTGTCCGTTGGTTAGAGCGACCATTTCGATTCATTTAAATTTAATTTTAAAATCGGCCTAAAGCTGGAGAGACACTTAAGAAACCTCGATGCTATTCGAACCATCGATAGCTTGTAACATTAATGTTTTTCCAGCTTTATAATAATCATATTCCAGGCGTATTATTTTATATTAATTTTTGTACTAGTTTCAATGTTTCAAATCAATTTAAAAACGCTTGTTTGCTTAATGCTAAAGCTACTTATACAAACATTAAGCAAAACTATATCACATTTCGAGCAAGTCGAGAGAAAACAAGGCATTCCTAGCTGCTGCAGTCGTGTTAACCCCTATAGATTTGTAGATAATTTGTTTCAGAGATTCAATTTGAAGTTCAATTTAGGTTTTTTTTTTAATTGTAAATGAGATCATACTAGTTTTGTGACTCATTGTAGTAATCGATTATGACGAAGGAAATATGCAGCTACTTATATTACAACATACAAGCAAGTTTACGTATACTAAATAAAGTGCATAAATAAATAATTAAATAATAAATACGGCATTTGTGTTGTGTGTGTATCTATTGTATATCTAAAGTGAAGCTGGCGGGCAAGGTTTCTATGTATGTTTCAATATTTACTTCCAAGTAAAAATAATAACGCCATACAAATATCTGCATTCATGTATGTATAAAATAAAGGTATATCATCAGCATTTTTAGTTTATAAATTGTAATAGTTACCCAAAATACTTTAATTTTACAATGTTATCTATGTATTATCGATATTGTTTTGCTTTTGCTTTTATACTACATATATATTTGAAATGAAGTCGTTAAACAGAAAAGACAAACACCTTAGATTTGGCAAGGACGAACCAAGTGAACAAATAAAAAGGGGTTTCAAGCGTTACGATGCTTGTTTGGTTGCATAAGACGTTGGTCTAGCAAATATGATGAATGAATGAATGTACATACATACCGTATAAATGTAAAATACCATTTATGAATTTCAAGTCGAGTCACTGGAGCTGTTGGCGGTGCCATTACACAGCAGACGGGCGCCCATCGCTATGTGCCGGAGAGCATGCGTGGCCAGGTGAATCAGGCTGTTGGCCAGGCGGCTATCAATGAACTGTCCAATGCCTTTGCTACGCGGTTCAAGTAAACTGAGGATTGATGGAAAACAGTATTATGCACTATATAAATATAAATATATGCAAATTGGCGCACGCATCATATTAAGAAGATGTATATCGGTTGGTTTTCAAAGCTCTACAACTAAATTCGTCGGTATCACGAGAGTCTTAGATATATTTTCAGCATTTTAGGTTCATTTTCTATTTAGAATAAATGTATCAAAAAATTTAAAAATATAAACATTTAATTTATTTTGAGGATTAGTTTTGTTTAATTAAGATTTATTACCCTTTCATTTTAGAAATGAGATTTTATAAATAACCAACATAATGATTGAAAAAAGGAAATACACATATATATATATATATATATATAGATACACTTATGTATATATATATATATATATATATATATATATATATATATTTATTTATTTATTTAGAAAACTTATATATATAACCGTGTTAATAAAAGTGTTTCGAAGATCACTTGTTTGCTTGTGTATTTTATTTAAACAATTAAAAAAATCGTGAAAAGAATATTGGAAAATAACTGAAAACATAAAACGATTGATTTAATGATTTCCTTGCGATGACATCCTTTTGTGGCTTCTGCCCACTGCACTCCTAAATCTATAGATGCTGCTGCGGCTTAATTCAACAATAAGCTTTTTGAAAGGAATAATTATTTTAATATTTAGGATTGCTCTAAACTGACCTAACAGATGTTCTCTTTCCATATGTCACCATTAAAATTAACAAAAAATAATGTAAAGATTATTTTAGTTTGCGGTATGAGTTGACTGAATGGTTACACTTTGTCCATGCTCTAATTAAACCGTGATTATTGAGATATAAATAAATTCGTTTTAAGTTATTTTATTGCTCTCAATCGTTGCGCCAAAATCAACTAAAACTTTCGATATATTTAAAAACCGGTCACACTAGGCTTTTTCTGGTATATTTCCGGCAAACTTGGCAATATGTTTTACAGCGTCCTATGGTATGTGAGACAGGCCGACGTTCAGTCACACTGCACGGCATTCAACACTTTGGGAGTGAAATAGAAAGTTTTTAGTTTGTAAATAAACACGAAATACTCGATCACTGTCTCTTAATATAGGTTTAAAATATTTATTCAAAATGTTTTCGGTAACTTGTGTAGCCCCTGTTAATATTGCTCTAATAAAGTATTGTGAGTATGCAGTATTATTAAAGTTTTTACAGTGAAATCTTTAACAATTTGATCAATTTTCCAGGGGGAAAGCGCCATGAAGATTTAATTCTACCTGTTAATGACTCGTTAAGCATGACGCTAAGCACAAATGAGGTAAAGTATGCCTAAAATTGAGTTAAGCAGATGAGACTTGTTCATTTTATATTATTGATCTCCAAAGTTACATTTACTAAACTAAAAAGAATTAATTCAAAATAAACATTAAAAAGCATATAATACTATCGATCACGAAAGTATAGAGTATTTTCTACTGATTATCGGCTTAATCGGTAAGTTTAAAAGCTATCGGCCTTTAAACTTTTCCATAACTGCAGTTCAATCAACTATATATTCCACCTTTTCTTTAGTATCTTTGCATCTTTTTGTTATTTTATTTTTAAACAAATACATAAAAATGAATACTAACTGCATTACAATAGAGCTCAGTTTCTAACAAGTTTCTTTTATGTATGCACATAATTATAGCTTTGCGCGAAGACAACAATAACTGCCTCAAAGAGCTTCGAAGACAATCGGATGTGGCTGAATGGCGAGGAAGTCTCTATTGAAGAAAGCTCACGTCTTACTCGCTGTTTAAAGGAAGGTGAGTAGTTTAAACATTCCCTTTCATCTGGTTCTCACTGTACTATATATTTTAGTTCGCCGTCTGGCTCTGGCCACTGGTTTTCAGAAGGTATCACCATCATGGAAAGTACACATTGCATCGGTCAACAATTTCCCCACCGCCGCTGGACTTGCATCCAGCGCCGCTGGTTATGCCTGCTTAGTGTATTCTCTAGCCCGTCTGTACGACATTCCATTGAGCGATGAGCTAACTACTGTGGCTAGGCAGGGCAGTGGGTCAGCATGTCGCAGTTTGTTCGGTGGATTTGTCCAATGGCATCGTGGTGTCCTGGAAGACGGCACTGACTCGGTAGCCAAACAAATTGTACCGTCCCAGCATTGGCCCAACATGCATGTCCTCATTTTGGTGGTGAATGACCAACGCAAGAAAACTGCCTCTACAAAGGGAATGCAGAATTCGGTTAATACATCGAAGCTTATTCATCATCGAGCCGATAAAGTTGTTCCCGAAAGGATAAATCAATTGAGAGAAGCTATTCAAAACCGGGACTTTCAGACATTCGGAGAAATAACTATGAGGGACTCGAATCAGTTCCATGCAATCGCTATGGACACCTATCCTCCGTGCGTGTATATGAACGACGTGTCCCATGAGATCGTATCGTTTGTGCATTCTTACAACGAAATAATGGGATCCTTACAAGCAGCATACACCTTTGATGCCGGACCGAATGCCTGTCTGTACGTTTTGGCGGAACACGTCCCGCAGCTAGTTGGCGCCATTCAAAAGGTATTTCCCAATGACTTACTTGATAGTACCGAATACTTACGGGGGCTTCCTATTTCGACTGAAAATCTGGAGACTTCTCAGAGCAATAAAATTAAGTTATTAGGCATTGAGCCCAAGAAGAATTCAATTAAGTATATAATTCATACGGAGATTGGCCAAGGACCAAGTCGTTTGGGGGAAGATAGTAGTCTATTGATAAACGGGCTTCCACTGAACCAATAACACAGTGTTTTGCCTTTTTATATTAATTTTTATAAAGTATTAAACTTTTGTAAAGATTTTTAAAGTACAGTAATTGAATATATTACTTTGGTCCGAGCAGACACAGTAATTGAAAAAGAAAAACTTTTTAAGAAACAGAATCAGGTCTATTGTAATGATAACAATGGTTTTGGTTTCAAATGTTATCTGGATGAATAATTGTTAAATAAATCCTTTGGCGAAATTTATAAACATTTATTATTTAATTTAATTAAGCAAAACAAATGAAACAGTAAAATAACGTATGAGAATAATCAATTGATTCACCAAAAGATGACGCAAAAAAGCTTAAAAGAGGTAATAGGCATGAAATGTAACGAAATCAGGAGAGTTTCGAACAGGTGCATTCATTCCTCACACAGAACGCATTCTAAAGCTTAATTTTTATACATCTTGCAATGTATTTTGTCAACTTCGAAGACTTATAATAGTAGCTTCTGGCATTTATTTGATAAACAATTCAATATGTCCCTGATATAGACCTTTTTTTTGTGCATGTGTGGCACCGACACAATTATTTAAATGCTTGGTAATCGGTCTTTTTCATACAACTACATACATAGTGAAACTTTATTTAACAACAATAAAAATATTTGTGTATGGATGTATGTATATTTATATATATTATATATTTCTTGATTTTGACTTTTTCCTATGTTGGTAGCTTTAAGAGAGAGAAGAAATAATCTTGAATTTTGTGTATATATTTTATGTGGTGCTGCTTCACCGGGGAGCAACAACATTATTGTTATATAACTGTGTGATGCCAGCACTGCCAGCCGCTTCTGCTCTGCTCTTCTAGTTGATGTAGGTAGCATCTCTCCCGGCTAACCGCTATTTAACCTCTATCTCTGCTGCTGACCCGGGGTCGGTTGTATTTAATCCTTACTCTGCATGTACTTGATCAAGTCGATGACGCGGTTGGAGTATCCAAACTCGTTGTCATACCAGGAGATGAGTTTGACGAACTTATCGTTCAGAGAGATGCCAGCCTTGGCGTCGAAGACCGAGGAGTGGGTGTCGCTGAGGAAGTCGGTGGAGACAACCTCCTCGTCGGTGTAGCCGAGAATTCCCTTCAGGGGGCCATTGGCAGCCTCCTGCACCTTGGCCTTAATTTCATCATAGGAAGCGCCCTTGCCCAAACGGACAGTCAGATCGACAACGGACACGTTGGGGTGGGGACACGGAAAGCCATGCCAGTCAACTTGCCGTTGAGAGCTGGGATGACCTTACCGACAGCCTTAGCGGCACCAGTCGACGCCGGGATGATGTTCTGGGCAGCGCCACGGCCATCACGCCACAGCTTTCCAGATGGTCCATCGACGGTCTTCTGGGTAGCAGTGGTGGCATGCACAGTGGTCATTAGACCCTCGACAATCTCGAAGTTATCGTGAATAACCTTGGCCAGGGGAGCCAGACAGTTGGTGGTGCAGGAAGCGTTCGAGACGACCTTCATGTCCGGGCTGTAGGCATCCAGATTCACGCCGCACACAAACATGGGTGCATCGGCAGATGGGGCCGAGATGACGACCTTCTTGGCACCGCCCTTCAAGTGAACGGATGCCTTATCGAGGGTGGTGAACACTCCAGTCGATTCCACAACGTATTCAGCGCCAGCGCTGGCCCAGTTGATGTTAGCGGGGTCGCGTTCGCTGAAGACGGTGATCTTCTTACCGTTGACGACCAGGAATCCGCCCTCTGCGGAAACAGTTCCCTTGAAACGTCCGTGAGTGGAGTCAAACTTGAACAGGTAAACCATGTAGCTGACATCGATGAAAGGATCGTTGACGGCCACAACGGTGGCGCCCTTATCAATGGCGGCACGCAGCACCAGCCGGCCAATGCGACCAAATCCGTTAATACCAATCTTCGACATGATTATAGCTTTATTTCTTCACTTTTGCTCCCTAGAAAAAAATACAAGTCGATTAACAGATGTGTCTTTGTGTAGTTTCTCAAATGGCACTACCGTTCAGTTCGTTAGCAAGGAATCGACTGCGATAGCAGAGAAATTCGTTGAAGTAAGCTTTTTTAGCAATTTTCAAAGTCAGATGAAGGACGTTGATGTCAAACGAAATGAAGACAGTAAAATGGGCTTTCACTCTCACCTCTCTCAAAGCTCAAAGGCTACCCAATAAACAGAATTGGGCTCTTTTTCTAAATGCAACTAGTTCGAAGTGCAAAAAAATGCACTATTTCATTAACTTTAGTTTAAAATACTTAATGGAAAGTTTTAAAATCTTAAATATCGCTATAAAAGAGTTTATTTAATATTGTTCACGCCACTCGGAACTTTTTTGCATTACGTTTCTTCAAAGTGTTTGTTGTGTTAGCCGCCGCTTGCCAATTTTAAGAGCTTTTAGAGAGCATGAGAATTTTGCTGTGCGATGCGTGACACTCTCTCACACTAGATTACTCACATACACAGGTATTTTTATATTAAACATGCCGAAAAATGCAGCATGTAATAATAACAAATTTCATGTTATTTCACCAACCATTTTTCTGATAGATTTACATGCATTTTTGGCGTCTAAACAATTGCAAAAATAAATAGCAAGGAAAAGCTCGTACGGAAAACTACAACCATATGTAATGTTTGTCCGCCATGAGAGTGAGTGAGAGGCACATACATACTTTTCAAAGGCGTTTTTGCCTAGCCTTGTTTGCAAGCTAGCACCGGAGATGAGAAAAGAAAGCGCTAGAAATTACTCTATATACATATGTATATATTTATATATATATATATGTATATATTCAATATGTACATATGTCTGTACGCATGTATATATGTGGTACCGGAAGCGGATGAACTTTGGATGACCTTTGCTAAGACCGGGTAATTATTTAATACTTTAATCTCTTCTGTGTACATAGAAAAAATGAAGATGTGCCGGATGTACTTGCATTTCCCTTTCATTTTTACATAATACATATTTATGTATATATTCACGTACATGTTTCTTTGATCTGTTTTCTTAAGCTTTATTTCAATTTTATGTGTTGGCACTGAAGTGCAAACAACATCAATAATTTTGCAAATATACATACACCTATTCAAGATTAGGAATTGTATAAAAATATTATAGTCCAAATTTCAGGTTGAAAGTCAAACGGAGCTATCGAAATATAGAACAGTGGCTCACAGCTTATTTTGGGAATATATTATATATTGAAAAATCATAAAATATTACTAAAAAATATATACAAAATTAATCTTCCAATTTAGTATTGCCTAGGCGTGTTATAATACTCTAGAGTTTTGAAATCAACACAATCAGAATATGTCTACCTCTTAATAATAATAGATTTCAATCAGCACTGTCTATCCCTAATAACTAAAGAATTCAATAGTTTCGGTAGTTTATTATTAGTATTGGTAGCCCTTAAGATACGTTATACATGTGTTTGTTTTGCTGCAAGTCTTCGAAACCGATCTTAATTTTGCTTTTACGAGGTCCAACTTAATATAAAATGATAAAAACGTGCTAATGACATTAATCATGAGTTTATTTCGATTGATCAGAGTACATAATTGAATATAAAAAAATGTAAAATATATATTTTTGTGTAACAATGCCTAATAGTTTTATTGCAAAAATACAAAAATGCAATTTATATGCGTAGAAATAAAATGGTTGCCACCATTCAATATTAAGAATATATGCTAGCAAGCAAGCATATACTACAGTATATACAAATTATGTAAATAATATATAATCGTAAAATTGATACTGGATCATAAATGTAGCAAGAGATTTTTTTAAATCGAACCGAAGCGATCGTATTTCCCAATAATTTTTTGCTTCTCAAAGTTGAGGGAACGTGGCAGACAGGAAAGGTTTTTAAGACATGCGTGCGCCTGCTCCTCCATAAACTGCTGATCTTTGGTTTTGCCACAAGCAACCCGTGCCCATTTGGGATCAATGACATGGTCAAAGGATGACGACGATAGGCCTCGATACATATAGCGACTACGACTGGAATGGAATGGCCTGCTATTTTCCTTTCTGCCCTCGTCAAACGGCAGGTCTTGTTCGCTACACAAAGTGTCCTTCATTATGCTGCATGGCGATGATAGAAATTTACTGGGCGTCTCCGTCTCAAAAGGCTGAATTCTCTTGGTGGTGCTGTCCCCACCACTGGGCAGGTGGTTGGTGCTCCAAGTTGATAGTAATGACTTCCTGGCACGTTTCTGGTGTGGGGACACCGACTTGGTCGCACTATTGTTGTTATCCACGCTCATCGAAGCCCTAAAGTCGCGCCGACTCTTTCGAATATCCACGTCGGAACAGTTTCTCGAGTGTTGTGTAGATTGCGAATCGTTCAGCTGTTCGTCTTGAATAATTTCAGCTAGATCCTCCACAAGGCTGGACGGGCTAGAAGGTTCATATTGTCGGCCGTCTCGCTTCTTCCCAATAGCAGCAAGCGCATTTTTAAAGGGTGTTGGCGTTCGCGGCCCAAGCTGACCTGTATATTTAAACAAGATACAGAGTGGCAATAAGAAGAGAGGCTCTTTTGATCTAATTATAATTACACTTACTCTTGTGGGGCGTTTCGATAGACGACGATTCCAATTCCTTTTTGATTTCCATTCCGACACGATTGTAGATCTTCGTAACAGGAGTACTGGCTCTCAAGTTCATATCCTCAAATGTTGTCAGACAAGGAGACTTAAGGAATTGACTCGGCGAGAATGGTAATGCTTTGATCGGCGTAATGACTGGTGACTCCGGGAGCCTGTTTGGCTTTACTTCTCCACTCAGGTGAGGCTGATGCTGAGAAGGTTCGGGTGTACGTTTCTGAGACCGCTTCAGTATGTTGGGCGTTTTTCGGGGAAGTCCTGTCATCTTTGTAAGTGAATGGTGATGCACGGCAGACTCTGTTTGAGGTTCAGTTCCAGTAGCATCCGTATCCTTGGGGCTGTCATCACTTCGTTCTGCTTTGACAATTTCCTTACTTTCCGTTTTTTCGGCAGAAACATTTTCTCTTGCGAATTATTAAAACTCTTGCTAATGCCCCCGGACTTAATTAAGGTGATAAGATGAGTTCGAGAAGTCTTCAGATCACTTCCAGATGCGTTCGCCGACCTGCGCTCGGCATCATATTTACGGCGCATGGTCGAGTTCCAGTGATTCTTAATTGCGTTATCGGTGCGACCAGGCAAAAGCTTTGCTATTTTCGCCCATTGATTGCCAAGCTTAATGTGGGCGTGGTATATGATCCTGTCCTCCTCCTCGGTCCAAGCGGTTTTCTTTATATTGGGATTGAGGTGATTATGCCACCGTTCGCGGCATTGCTTTCCAATCCGTCCGTTGAGGTACCGAGCTATTAGAGTCCATTTTTTTGGGCCAAAGCTGCGCACTAACTCAATAACCTTTTCGTCCTCGTCCCGCGTCCATGGACCCTTGATGAGTTCCGGATTAAGCACCTTGGCCCAACGCTGCTGCACCTGCTGCTCCAATCGATCTTTAAAATGGGGCCCGATAATCTCCCAGCTCTCACCATGCTTTTCCACCAAAGACTTCAGCAGTAAATCCTCCGATTTGGACCACCGCTTACCAAATCCATAATTCGGATGACACGTCGTCGCTGTTCCATTGGCACCCTTTTTGGGACTTGTTAATCCACTCGACGAGGGGGTTACACGAAATTGCGAATCGATATTGAAATTTAAAGTGACTGCTCCTTCTCCTGTTATAACATCCGATTCTTCTTTATCATCATCGTGATCCGAGTACTCCGACTCCTCGGAATCGGAATGATGATCATAGAGAACTTGTTCATCCCCATATTCACTGGCAGCACTAACACTAGCACTCACAACACTCGCACTCGCCATCTTGTCCTTTAGTTTTGTTTGCGCGGCGAACAAAAGTGATAAATTGCCGGACTTGTCTTCTCTGCTCGTTGATAATAATGGACGTCACGACCGCAGTACAAGCACTTGTTGGTATTGCTCTGATTACAATTATTACTATGGTAAAATGTATAATGAGCACAAATGTCACTAAAGGAGCAGCTTTCAAATTGCATATGACACGTCAGGCATTGGACCAGTTCACCCTGATGACGATGATCGCTGCGCAATATTGGGTGCGTCGCATCATTTTCCGTACGATCCAATAGGTCAGGTATGCTATTGCTGGCGTTCACGTTGTTTAGGGTCTGCTGCGTCTGCGGCTGTCTGTTCATAGACATGCTCATTCATTCAAATTCGTAACGTGCATGAAGCAGATAAAACCATACATCCAATTGTTGTATCCCACACGCCAAACATTTTGTCAATGTTAATTTGTTGCAGGCTATCCAACCATCTGCTTTGCTTAAAAGAGACTATTTTTGGTTGCGAACATTCGCTTTAGATGTTTATTTATATGATTAACTTTTTTGGTTAATTATAAGGCAAATATTTATACATTTTATTTTAATTGTTCACGTTATTTCGCTGTAATTTGACGGCGTCGTTTATCTTTTTAAAATAATGTAAACAGTGTGGCCGTTTCTAAGTTGTGACCGAATACTAATGAACATAAAAATGTAAAATGAATACCCTTAATGAAAGTTTGATATCGATAAATGCATGGAAAACACAGAATTGTCGCATGCAAAGCAAATATAAGTGTTCTCCCATTTATAAATTAACGCTTAGAAAGCAAAATGTGGCTAAAAAATATACAGAAGATGTATTCGCAAATAACCAATTTTTTTTAATTTAATTGCCGATATTTTTCGTTTGCTACCCGTCTATTTTAGATGGTACTTTTCACCGTTCACATGTTATATATATTTCAATTTTCACTCTCAACCCCAAATTCACTGCAAAATTTCTATAGTAATCCACCAGACTTCTGGAGAGAAGAAGAGTCAAAGACTATATAAACAATAAATGGCATAAAAACGCTTGTTTCATATATTATATATGACAATAAGCTGAGTGCAATAATATCAGATAGTGGAAACTACCTATCATGCAAAAACAGTGTAGTCTATCGATAAATTGAAATTGAAATCTCAAAAAATCATTTTCACAACTTATCGACAAATTTGTCCACCTCTGAGACTCTGTATTGGTTCTTTGTGGTTAAAAATTTTTCGGAACATAATATTGTATTTTATGTAAAACACTATACATAATAATCGTGATGACAGTTAGTTGTAACAAAGTTTAACTTAAGTACATTTGTGTACAAAATGTTACGCGAATTGTCTGCAAAATATACATGCTTAATTGTATTTTAGCATTCAATAAGTTTCTTGTATGTACGTGCTGTGTAGTGCAGCTAGAGACGCTGGCCTGTCTCTGTTGCTGCGTACACAACATGAAGGGACGACACTATGTCGACAGCAATCGCAATTAGAAAAGTGTAAGCGAGATGACTATTGCTACTAGAGACATTGTATACAGCCCCATACATACAATGCGAACTAGCGCGCGAGCGCTCTCGTTGCCGATTGCAGCGACGACGACGACGACATCAACTATAGGCGACAGAAGCATAGAGAAAAAAAAAACCGAACGGCTACCTATATATATATTTAAATACATATATATTCAAGAGTACATGATGATATGTACATATAAATATATATATATGTTCTCATGTGTAAAAAGAAGTGTAAATGACGAATGAAGAAGTGCAGTTATATCCGATTATACATAAATAAGTGGAAACTATACAAAATAATAAACATGGACTATGTGTATATATTAAATGTGAATACAAAATATTGCGCGTACTAAACATAATTTGCATTACTTTTGTAAAAATCGGCTTTTTTTTGTTTGTTTTTGTTGTGTATGTGTGTGTGTGATTCGTAAGGTGTGTGAGGTGTTGAATAAAGTAAAGTACATGGAAATATGTATGAAAACAAATTACATACACTGTGATGTTACATTTGATGAAGGTGATAAAATCAACCAATATGGCTTTGCAAATGCGATTCGTCTTCCAATTCGCAAACGAACTGTAAATTGTAGGAAAGAAAATTTTAATTTAATTTCAAGTGGAGGATAATTGATTTTTTATTCTTTTTTTTCTTTTATTTCTTTGCTTAAGAAGAAGTGTTGTATATAGTAGTGTAATACATACATAGATGGAGTCACAAGTATGTTAAAACCTTTATTTTGTTGGTTTAGAGCCATCATCAGAGCCGGATGCATCGGATGAAGAAAAGGTTTGCTGTAGCAGCTCGTCGTGAGGCGTATAATGGACATCGATCATTTATATTCTTAAGGAACTGCTGCTGAACCATTGCTACAAATCAAAATCGAAACGGCTTTGGCTGGAAGGAAGCCCATTGCAAGTGACGACGACGACATGGACAGCGCTAAATTAAAGACTGCCTCTCCGTCTGCGTCTGGCGGCAACAACAACAATAACAGCAACAACAACAATAACAATATTAATGGATCCGGAGGTGGAGTAGCGCAAGTGACGACGCACGTTGCGCTGCAGGATCATATCGCAGGATCCGTTAAGACGAAACCCCAAGACGACAAAAGTGAAAAGCCACTGGGCGCAGTTAGTGGCCTGCCACCAGTAGCCAGTAGTCAGAATAGTGCCACGAAAAGTACTAATCCTGCTACTCCCGGTCCTGCTCCTGGTGTCGTGGTACTAAATCTTCCCCCGCCCACTGCCTCCGCCTCTGCTTCTGCCTCCGCCTCTGTCACCATTCAAGCCAATGCAGAAATCACCGAACAGTCAGCAGAACCAATAATTACCGTTGCCGGAGCAGCAGCATTGGGAGCATCTGATTTGGATTCATCGGCATCTACGCTAGAGCCAGCCTGTTCGGAAACAGCTTCGATGAGACCCAACAATAATACATGTGACTTTGATTCTGATACGGAACTATCGATAGTGGCCGCCGCGGCGGCAGCTGTCTCAGCGTCGTCAGCCATCATCGTCTCGTCGTCGAGGTCTCCTCCCACATCACGGCCTGCATCAGCATCCCTTATTTTACCGGCACTGAGTCCCAGTGTAGCCAACGCTGGGGCAGCAGCAGCAGCTGTATCCTCTTTGTCGGCTATGACGGGAAATCAACAGCAGATTCAGGCCGGATTTGGAGGAGGAGCTGGAGCAGGAGTGGGTGTTGGCAGCACGAATGGTCACAGTAGCAATAGCACTCACCTGAGTCTAAATGCAAAGCAACAGCGTCAGCAGAAACGTCGACGGGAACGTGCGCAACGTTTGCAAGCAGAACGCGACAGTCGATGTAATTCCAGTGCACTGAATGGCACATTCATTGCTGGATCTGTGGGAGTCAGCAGTAGTGGCGGCAGCGGCAGTGCTGTAGGAGCTGCCAGTGCAGCTCAAGGAGGCCTAGTTACGCCTGTCGGCGGCGGTGGCTCGTCGTCGTCTGTGGTGGTAATGGGCAATGGATCAGGGACAGTAGCCGGCAACGGCAACGGGATGATTTATCACATTAACAGCGCTGGCAGCATGGGCGAGGATAGTAACAATTCGAACGGCAACTTCACCAGCAGCAGCAACGGCAGCAATAATCTCCTGCCGCCAACAGATAGTATTGCTTCGTTGCTCCTCAACCCGCCACATTCCCCGAGTGTAACTCAGGACTAATGGCCACGCCCAGTGATAGTGAGGGTGAGTCATTAGACGAGGATCTACTCTCCACATCGTCGTCGTCGACGCTTCTATTGCCTCGCGATAAGCCACCGCCGCGACCGCCACCTCCAGTTCGAAGGAAACTGCCTCGATCTCCGGTGCTGGAAGAGGAAATAATCGATGGCTTTGCTATATTGGAATTCAAGACATATGAAGATCTCGAGGTAAGTGTTGAATCGTTAATCTTAATTGATGTATACTAACCGCATCCCTATATAATTCGTCTAGTTTGCCATCAAATTGGGGCAGAAGCGTAAGGAGAAGCGCCTGTCGGCCCTCGAGGAGCTAACGTGTACCTATAGCATAGAGGAAATGAAAATTCCAAAGGTCATTGATACGGGCCAATCGTCGCATCCGATGCGTGTCTCCAGTCTATCCACATTGTCTATTGTTGGCAGTACGAACAACAATAGTTTAAAGGAAGTCTCTACCCAGCCACCAAATCGTCATAATCCTGTTAATATCAGCAGCAATGGGTCCGCCACTTTAAACAGTAAGAACGACACCGGCAGCAATGTTGTTTATATGCTGCCATCTGCGGCCTTGGAGACGGAAGCAGAACCTCGAGCACACTGGCGATCTGAATACGGACAGCAGCAGCAGCCGCAACAGCAGCAGCAGCAGGTACAGCAAACGCAACAGCTGCTGCAACAGGAGCAGCAGCAGCAACAGCAATGCGACAAAAGTAAAAGTAATGTCATCAGTAATGATGTTCAAATGAAGAATAATCACCAAATAATAAGTCAACCCGGCAACAAGAAAACGGATGGAGCGGTAACAATTGAACCAAGCACTGACACTAACTTTCTGGAGAATAATGGCCACGACAACGATTCCCTAATGCTGGATATAACCCTGACGCCAGCATTAGCTGGTGGTGGTGCTGCTACTGCTGCGACCGAGCACATGGAGGTGGGGGCCATAAATGTCAATAATAAATCGCACAATTCAATTCCCAAGAGTAGCAGCAGTTCGAGTGATCCAAAATCGCTGCCCCAACTCCAGCTAAATAGTTTAATATCCAGGGATCTTACTGCGGGAGTAGTAGGAGTGCATAATAATCACCTGATGAGTATTGGCTGCAAAGCGGCGGCTACATCAGAGCACACGACAGTTAAAGTGAGTCTCAAATTTGTAATTTCATTCCTATCAATAAATATTTTCCCATTTCAGCAGAAATTGAACAGTTTGGAGAGTATGGAAATCGTCACACCGTCGGCCGCCGTGTGCCGCTCTTTGGATGTCCAGGAACTAGCCAATGGCTCAGCGCAGGTCGTTGGTGCCAGTGGCAGCGGTAGCAATAGCAATAGCAGCGGGAACAGTGCGAAAAAGAGTAGTGGCGAGCCAAGTGATCTTTTGAATGATGTAAGTATTTTAATTAAAAAAATATACAAGCATAATTGCTTACCTATGGCTTTATGTTCTCCAGACTTCAAAGAATGGTAGCAGTACCGGAAGCAAAGTGAATAATATCGTATGTATAGCTTTACGTTAATTAAATTTGGCTTGAAAACATTTCATTCATGATCATAAGCTCCCAGTCAACCAAAGGCAATAGTAAAATGAATCGCCAAACGATCCAATTTCACTGCCTCAAGCTGAGCGGCTTTTGTATCTCAAGTCATAGGCATTACACTTTTTTGTTTACGCAAAGTTACTCTAGTTTGCGATAACGCTCACGAAGCTTTGGTTCACTGGTCTTTAGATTTCTTAAAAAATTAAATACCCTGCTTTATTGTGAGGCAATTTGTACTTATGAATGCTCTCTAATAAATTGATATTTATTAATATATAATTACAGAATACTGAGAAAATGTTCGATATTATGGACTATCCCACAACGACGACAACTTTGCATATTTCGAATAATGCCTCATCGGTTCAAGATCGATCAGCTGCCGCCGCCGCTGAACTGCCGCACTTTAAGGGCATTATGTCTTTGGCCGCCGCTGGAGACAATAATAATGTCACATTTTCGGGAGTGCCTTCGTTTTCTACGCCCTCATCCACGTTACCCGTGCCTGCCGCATCGGGTATGGAGACGGATGCCATGAAGTGTACGACGACAGCTTTAAATGAGAGTGCACAAGCCAACATGGCAGCCGTTTCAACGAAAGCCGAAGGTGAAAGTGGAAAAAGGGAACCGCCCGGTAGTATTTTACAGAAATCTACAGCCGACAAGCCGCTGCTTTATTCTGCTACCCTTGGCTCTTCTGCTGTGACCACACAAGTGAGTATTACTTATTATTCTCCTCCTACGACAATATGAACTCACTATTTCGTTTCTCAGTTCACCGGCGCTGGAATCGTACCCTTTGGGAATGATAAAAATGTGGTATCAGTCTCAGGTCCAGCAGCAGTTGAAAATGATCAAAAGGTGGCTTTTGGTGCCACCAAGCCGGCAGCCAGTTCAGTTTTAAACGGCTTGCCATCGGGATCAGGAGGAGGGCCGCGTCCCCTAGTGCCGCAGTCGCCGGTGGCTGTCACAACACCGTCACCGTCACCATTCAGCGCACGAGGATTGGCGACTTCGAGTGTGATTCTGGCAGGCAGCAACACAAGAACCAGCAGTGGCTCTGAACCTTTGGCCGTGGCCACAGAAATAGCAAAGAATCAAAGTACGGTTCTGGCATCCTGCTCCTCCTCATCTTCCTCAACAACAGCAGCAGCAGCGTCAGCGGCGAGCAGCAATGCAGCTTTAGTCAATGGTTTTCTTTCTGTTTACCCGCCTGCCACAAGCACCACAGTAATTGCTAGCAGTACGATGCCGCGTGCTTCGCCGACCCATAATAACAACAAATTGATGTCACCAGCAGCAGCGGTAGTGGCAGCGGGAGCACCTGGCGTAGTCTCAACAACTGCATCCACTGCTGCTTCTGGCATGGGGAAGATGATGTTTGGCAGCGGAAGTACACCAGCACCAGGCTCGTCACCGTTGCTCTTCTCAGGAGCGGGACAACCCATGCCCATGCTAATACAGGCTCCACCTCCGTACCGTACTCCGTACGCCAACTACCCGCTGTTCACCCCATACAGCAGTCTGACCACGCACGGATCGTACCTGCCGCCTGTATTGCCGATAGTTGCCACGCCCAACATACCGCCGCCGCCCTCGCCTTCGCATCATATTCGTAGCTCGGAGGTCGGCCGTAGCAGCAGCCGCGAGTCGCCATCGGCGGCTGGGTTAATGAAGGCAAGCCAGTCGGTTCTACAAAACGTATCGATGGCAGCGCCGCCCGCCATGTTGCGCTCCATGACGCCGATCAGCAGTGGAAGTAACAGCAACAGTACCTCTCAGCCCATCGCAAGTGTCGTCACCACGAGCAGTGCCGGAAGCTTCCTCTCTTCAACAACCGCCCTGCCGCCCAGTCATTCACATAATATTCTATCTCATTCCCACAATATGCCTGTCTACGGGACAAGCAGCAGTGCCGCAACAGCAGCATCAGCAGCAGCTGCTTCTTCGCAAACGCTTCCTCCCCCAATATCTGCCCAAATACTGGCACAACCCGGGAACTTTTCATCGCTGTCCCATCATCTGCTGTCCACTCACCCAGCAGCAGCGGCAGCAGCAGCACAACAACAACAACAACAACAACAACAACAACAACAACAACAACAACAACAACAACAACAACAACAACAACAACAACAGCAACAACAACAGCAACAGCAACAACAGCAGCAACAACAGCAGCAACAACAACAACAACAACAGCAGCAGCATCAACCTATAGTACGTTATTCATCATCATCATCATCATCTGCCGCTGGCGCTGCTGCTGCTGGCTCCAACTTCAACTCCCCCTCAATCCTCACCGTCCAAAGTTTAACGACAGCGGTAACGTCGTCGTCGAGTTTGTCATCCTTATCGACGACCTCGTCGTCATCATCATCGTCATCTGTGATCCAAAAGATTATTTCGCCCAAAGGTGAAAGTCCCAGCAATAAGGATCGGGATTCTAGTCACGGGTAAGTCTTTCAGAAAGTCAGCCTAAGTCTTGTGCTTAGCCCAGGAGACGTAAATATCTAATCAAATTCTTTGCAGCAATCCAAGCATGAGGTCCTCCCACGTGGCATCAACTTTGCTGCCTGTGGTGTCGTCGCATGGCATCGGAGTGGGCTCTGCTGGCCCATTTTGTGGCATACCATCGAGCCAATATGGAGGCACGCCGGTCTTGCCCTCGAATGCATCCATGATGACCAGCATGGGAATGGGAATGGGGAGCCTGTCGTCTTATCCATCAAAGGCAGCGCTATGGCTCAAGTAAGTCGGGGATATTATCCCAAATGAATCGAACTGACATATGTTTTATCATCTTAATTTGTAGCTCCCCCGCCAATGGTATGGTGACATCCTGTGCTGCTTCCTCAGCGCCCATAGTATCCAGTGGCAGCAGTACTCGACCAACGCCACCGCTTCTTAACTGCACTCCGAGCATGGGAATGGCAATTGGCATGGGAGCGGGTCTGTCTGCGGCGAGAAGTTCTTGCAATACGATATCGCCCCACCCTTCCATTCCCTCAACTGCCAACCCGTCGCCGTACTTCCCAGCATCTATGCCACAGCCACAATCATCGCCATCGCCTGCCGCCATATCTTCAACAAGCTCTTCGGCCTCGCAATTGCCGATGGTGTCGCACGCTATGAGCAGTATTGTGACAACCGCAGCGGTCACCACGCCCACCACGTCCACCGCCTCATCCGTGGTACAACAGCCGGCGGTAGGGAGCAGTGCCAGTACAAGCACGTCGGCACATCCCTTTTCCGCCGAATCTCTGTTCCAGCCAAGCAAAAGTATGTACTTCTTCATAATCAATGGCATCATATGAATATATGTAACTAATGATATATGCTTTGCAGACGATCAAGCCGATTTGCTTCGACGCGAACTGGACAGCAGGTTCCTGGATCGTTCGGGATTATCGGTGGCGGCTCCCACGCCGCCTTCGTCGACATATTTACGGCCGCCCGACCTGCAGCAGCCACAGCAGCAGACGCCGCATCATCATCATCAGCACCAGCACACACATCTGCATCAGCACCAGCAGCTATTGCCACCGCCGCCGGCATCGGCAGCAGCTGGCTCGACTGTACAACCAAATCCGGGACAAATCTTTCCACCGCCGCTATTCAAGGACATTTCGAAAATGTCGGCCGTGGATCCGCAATTCTATCGCTCTGCGGGAGGCATGGGATTGCCACCCGGAGGAGGCTACGCGGGATATGCAGCGACCGGGCTCTTGCACAGTGGATTGGGAGGGCCAACGCCGTTTATGCCGCCCAACCATTTAACATCTTTTGCGCCCAAGGTAAGAAATGTTTTATTTTTCTTTAGAGATTTCCAAGTTGAAAAATATTCGATTGGTATTTGAACTTTAAACACAATATAAAATAGTTATAGCAATGAATTAAGTTGAAGGTGTATTGGCAATGCATTGACTTCATTTTTCTTGTTATAATACTTAAAATGATCAATTTATTATTTTAACAAGTTTAAAGCAATGTCCATAATTACTTCCTCTATAAAGAATTAAAAACATAGTGTTTAACGATCCTTAAGCATAACGGTACTCTAGGCCGAAATAGGTGTGTCGAAAAAGAAAGAGCAGGAGAGTGTAACAGAACAAATGCAGAGATAAAACAGAAAGAGAGAGATGCTTATACATACATATGTATATCCACCGAATCGCCATGCTCCGACTTACATTCTAGTAAAATTATATAGAAGAATAACTCCATAGTTTCATTCAAATAGCTTGCTTTAAATTTGTTCTAAAACAAATTTCGGACATCTGTGCATATGATTCCCAACTTGTTCTAACATCTCCGGAACGAAGTGACTGCTGCCGGCCACGTCTCAGGAATGTGTTGTGTTAAAAAGTTGCAAGTCATTGTTTACTAGTGTTCAAAGTTAGTAACTGATCATACATACTTACTGGTCATAGATACTTACTGTTTAGAGTTACTTACTGGTCATAGATACTCACTGTTTAGAGTTACTTACTGGTCATAGGTACTTACTGTTCAGAGTTACTTACTGGTCATAGATACTCACTGTTCAGAGTTATTTACTGGTCATAGATACTCACTGTTCAGAGTTAATTAATGCTAATAGCTACTTACTGATTATAGATACTTACTTTTCAGACTTACTTAATGCTCATAATTTTATTTCTTCAATTTTCCGATCGTTCGTATGGGAGTTATATATATATATAGTCCACCGATTCGCCATGCTCTGACTTACATACTAGTAAAATTATATAGAAGAATAACTCCATAGTTTCATTCAAATAGCTTGCTTTGTTCCAAAACAAATCTCGCACATCAGTGCATATGATTCCCAACTTGTTCTAACATCTCCAGAACGAAGTGACTGCTGCCGGCCACGTCTCAGGAATGTGTTGTGTTAAAAAAGTTGCAAGTCATTGTTTACTAGTGTTCAAAGGTAGTAACTGATCGTACATACTTACTGGTCATAGATACTCACTGTTCAGAGTTACTTTCTGGTCATAGATACTCATTGTTCAGAGTTACTTACTGGTCATAGATACTCACTGTTCAGAGTTACTTACTGGTCATAGATACTCACTGTTCAGAGTTAATTAATGCTATTAGCTACTTACTGATTATAGATACTTACTATTCAGAGTTACTTACTGCTCATAATTGTATTCTTTAATTTTCCGATCGTTCGTATGTGAGTTATATATATATATAGTCCACCGATTCGCCATGCTCCGACTTACTATACTAGTAAAATTATATAGAAGAATAACTCCATAGTTTCATTCAAATAGCTTGCTTTAAATTTGTTCCAAAACAAATCACGCACATCAGTGCATATGATTCCCAACTTGTTCTAACATCTCCGGAACGAAGTGACTGCTGCCGGCCACGTCTCCGGAATGTGTTGTGTTAAAAAAGTTGCAAGTCATTGTTTACTAGTGTTCAAAGTTAGTAACTGATCATACATACTTACTGGTCATAGATACTTACTGTTCAGAGTTACTTACTGGTCATAGATACTTACTGTTCAGAGCTACTTACTGGTCATAGATACTCACTGTTCAGAGTTACTTACTGGTCATACATACTCACTGTTCAGAGTTAATTAATGCTAATAGCTACTTACTGATTATAGATACTTACTATTCAGAGTTACTTAATGCTCATAATTTTATTTCTTCAATTTTCCGATCGTTCGTATGGGACTTATATATATATATAGTCCACCGATTCGCCATGCTCCGACTTACATACTAGTAAAATTATATAGAAGAATAACTCCATAGTTTCATTCAAATAGCTCGCATTGTTCCGAAACAAATCTCGCACATCTGTGCATATGATTCCCAACTTGTTCTAACATCTCCAGAACGAAGTGACTGCTGCCGGCCACGTCTCAGGAATGTGTTGTGTTAAAAAAGTTGCAAGTCATTGTTTACTAGTGTTCAAAGGTAGTAACTGATCGTACATACTTACTGGTCATAGATACTCACTGTTCAGAGTTACTTACTGGTCATAGATACTTACTGTTCAGAGTTACTTACTGGTCATAGATACTCACTGTTCAGAGTTACTTACTGGTCATACATACTCACTGTTCAGAGTTAATTAATGCTAATAGCTACTTACTGATTATAGATACTTACTATTCAGAGTTACTTAATGCTCATAATTTTATTTCTTCAATTTTCCGATCGTTCGAATGGGAGTTATATATATATATAGTCCACCGATTCGCCATGCTCCGACTTACATACTAGTAAAATTATATAGAAGAATAACTCCATAGTTTCATTCAAATAGCTTGCTTTAAATTTGTTCCAAAACAAATTTCGCACATCTGTGCATATGATTCCCAACTTGTTCTAACTTCCCCGGAACGAAGTGACTGCTGCCGGCCACGTCTCAGGAATGTGTTGTGTTAAAAAAGTTGCAAGTCATTGTTTACTAGTGTTCAAAGTTAGTAACTGATCATACATACCTACTGGTCATAGATACTTACTGTTCAGCGTTACTTACTGGTCATAGATACTCATTGTTCAGAGTTACTTACTGGTCATAGATACTCACTGTTCAGAGTTAATTAATGCTATTAGCTACTTACTGATTATAGATACTTACTATTCAGAGTTACTTACTGCTCATAATTTTATTTATTCAATTTTCCGATCGTTCGTATGGGACTTATATATATATATAGTCCACCGATTCGCCATGCTCCGACTTACAAACTAGTAAAATTATATAGAAGAATAACTCCATAGTTTCATTCAAATAGCTTGCTTTGTTCCAAAACAAATCTCGCACATCAGTGCATATGATTCCCAACTTGTTCTAACATCTCCGGAACGAAGTGACTGCTGCCGGCCACGTCTCAGGAATGTGTTGTGTTAAAAAGTTGCAAGTCATTGTTTACTAGTGTTCAAAGTTAGTAACTGATCATACATACTTACTGGTCATAGATACTTACTGTTCAGCGTTACTTACTGGTCATAGATACTCATTGTTCAGAGTTACTTACTGGTCATAGATATTTACTGTTCAGAGTTACTTACTGGCCAAAAATTCTCACTGTTCAGAGTTATTTACTGGTCATAGATACTCACTATTCAGAGTTAATTAATGCTATTAGCTACTTACTGATTATAGATACTTACTATTCAGAGTTACTTACTGCTCATAATTTTATTTCTTCAATTTTACGATCGTTCGTATGGGACTTATATATATATATAGTCCACCGATTCGCCATGCTCCGACTTACAAACTAGTAAAATTATATAGAAGAATAACTCCATAGTTTCATTCAAATAGCTCGCTTTGTTCCAAAACAAATCTCGCACATCTGTGCATATGATTCCCAACTTGTTCTAACATCTCCAGAACGAAGTGACTGCTGCCGGCCACGTCTCAGCAATGTGTTGTGTTAAAAAAGTTGCAAGTCATTGTTTACTAGTGTTCAAAGTTAGTAACTGATCGTACATACTTACTGGTCATAGATACTCACTGTTCAGAGTTACTTACTGGTCATAGATACTTACTGTTCAGAGTTACTTACTGGTCATAGATACTCACTGTTCAGAGTTAATTAATGCTATTAGCTACTTACTGATTATAGATACTTACTATTCAGAGTTACTTACTGCTCATAATTTTATTTATTCAATTTTCCGATCGTTCGTATGGGACTTATATATATATATAGTCCACCGATTCGCCATGCTCCGACTTACATACTAGTAAAATTATATAGAAGAATAACTCCATAGTTTCATTCAAATAGCTCGCTTTGTTCCGAAACAAATCTCGCACATCTGTGCATATGATTCCCAACTTGTTCTAACATCTCCAGAACGAAGTGACTGCTGCCGGCCACGTCTCAGGAATGTGTTGTGTTAAAAAAGTTGCAAGTCATTGTTTACTAGTGTTCAAAGTTAGTAACTGATCGTACATACTTACTGGTCATAGATACTCACTGTTCAGAGTTACTTACTGGTCATAGATACTTACTGTTCAGAGTTACTTACTGGTCATAGATACTCACTGTTCAGAGTTAATTAATGCTAATAGCTACTTACTGATTATAGATACTTACTTTTCAGAGTTACTTAATGCTCATAATTTTATTTCTTCAATTTTCCGATCGTTCGTATGGGACTTATATATATATATAGTCCACCGATTCGCCATGCTCCGACTTACATACTAGTAAAATTATATAGAAGAATAACTCCATAGTTTCATTCAAATAGCTCGCATTGTTCCGAAACAAATCTCGCACATCTGTGCATATGATTCCCAACTTGTTCTAACATCTCCAGAACGAAGTGACTGCTGCCGGCCACGTCTCAGGAATGTGTTGTGTTAAAAAAGTTGCAAGTCATTGTTTACTAGTGTTCAAAGGTAGTAACTGATCGTACATACTTACTGGTCATAGATACTCACTGTTCAGAGTTACTTACTGGTCATAGATACTTACTGTTCAGAGTTACTTACTGGTCATAGATACTCACTGTTCAGAGTTAATTAATGCTATTAGCTACTTACTGATTATAGATACTTACTATTCAGAGTTACTTAATGCTCATAAATTTATTTCTTCAATTTTCCGATCGTTCGAATGGGAGTTATATATATATATAGTCCACCGATTCGCCATGCTCCGACTTACTATACTAGTAAAATTATATAGAAGAATAACTCCATAGTTTCATTCAAATAGCTTGCTTTAAATTTGTTCCAAAACAAATCTCGCACATCAGTGCATATGATTCCCAACTTGTTCTAACATCTCCGGAACGAAGTGACTGCTGCCGGCCACGTCTCCGGAATGTGTTGTGTTAAAAAAGTTGCAAGTCATTGTTTACTAGTGTTCAAAGTTAGTAACTGATCATACATACTTACTGGTCATAGATACTTACTGTTCAGAGTTACTTACTGGTCATAGATACTTACTGTTCAGAGCTACTTACTGGTCATAGATACTCACTGTTCAGAGTTACTTACTGGTCATACATACTCACTGTTCAGAGTTAATTAATGCTAATAGCTACTTACTGATTATAGATACTTACTATTCAGAGTTACTTAATGCTCATAATTTTATTTCTTCAATTTTCCGATCGTTCGAATGGGAGTTATATATATATATAGTCCACCGATTCGCCATGCTCCGACTTACATACTAGTAAAATTATATAGAAGAATAACTCCATAGTTTCATTCAAATAGCTTGCTTTAAATTTGTTCCAAAACAAATTTCGCACATCTGTGCATATGATTCCCAACTTGTTCTAACTTCCCCGGAACGAAGTGACTGCTGCCGGCCACGTCTCAGGAATGTGTTGTGTTAAAAAAGTTGCAAGTCATTGTTTACTAGTCTTCAAAGTTAGTAACTGATCATACATACTTACTGGTCATAGATACTTACTGTTCAGCGTTACTTACTGGTCATAGATACTCATTGTTCAGAGTTACTTACTGGTCATAGATATTTACTGTTCAGAGTTACTTACTGGCCAAAATTCTCACTGTTCAGAGTTATTTACTGGTCATAGATACTCACTATTCAGAGTTAATTAATGCTATTAGCTACTTACTGATTATAGATACTTACTATTCAGAGTTACTTACTGCTCATAATTTTATTTCTTCAATTTTACGATCGTTCGTATGGGACTTATATATATATATAGTCCACCGATTCGCCATGCTCCGACTTACAAACTAGTAAAATTATATAGAAGAATAACTCCATAGTTTCATTCAAATAGCTCGCTTTGTTCCAAAACAAATCTCGCACATCTGTGCATATGATTCCCAACTTGTTCTAACATCTCCAGAACGAAGTGACTGCTGCCGGCCACGTCTCAGCAATGTGTTGTGTTAAAAAAGTTGCAAGTCATTGTTTACTAGTGTTCAAAGTTAGTAACTGATCGTACATACTTACTGGTCATAGATACTCACTGTTCAGAGTTACTTACTGGTCATAGATACTTACTGTTCAGAGTTACTTACTGGTCATAGATACTCACTGTTCAGAGTTAATTAATGCTAATAGCTACTTACTGATTATAGATACTTACTTTTCAGAGTTACTTAATGCTCATAATTTTATTTCTTCAATTTTCCGATCGTTCGTATGGGACTTATATATATATATAGTCCACCGATTCGCCATGCTCCGACTTACATACTAGTAAAATTATATAGAAGAATAACTCCATAGTTTCATTCAAAAGCTTGCTTTAAATTTGTTCCAAAACAAATTTCGCACATCTGTGCATATGATTCCCAACTTGTTCTAACATCTCCGGAACGAAGTGACTGCTGCCGGCCACGTCTCAGGAATGTGTTGTGTTAAAAAAGTTGCAAGTCATTGTTTACTAGTGTTCAAAGTTAGTAACTGATCGTACATACTTACTGGTCATAGATACTCACTGTTCAGAGTTACTTACTGGTCATAGATACTTACTGTTCAGAGTTACTCACTACTCATAGTTACTTAATGATCATATTTAATTTCTGGTCAGAGTTGATCTACAAATCGTCCGATGATTCCTATGTCATCTTTATATATGTACTTATGTACATCCCTACATTACATTCGGTGCTTAACAGCACAATTAATTGAACTGTTATTCTTTAACCTTGAGTCCTATCAATGGCTTTTTGAACATTTTATTCCCTGGAGTATTTGCATTTTTTAAGTTATTTTATCTATATTTATATATAATTTTTTAAAAAATTTAATATTAAAAACTTTTTAATCAAGTTATAAAAGAATCAATTTCATTTCGGAAAACACTTGTGCTAGTTTTTATTAGGTTAATAAATCTGCATACTAAATTTACATAAACAAACAAATTTTTTTTTCGTGTAATTTGAAATTTGAAAATTTTAACGATGTAACCCCTTTTAAAATTTTAAAAAATTTCGAAATTTTTGTTTTGCCGAAGGTGGCTAGATCGACTCGGCTGTTGATGCGGATCAAGAACATATATGATTTATACTGGAAATTCGGACTAAAATTATAATACCCCTCGTTAATAATAAATAATTACAAATATTTAATGACAATTAATTTCCTTGCAGAAAACTGGTCGTTGGAATGCCATGCATGTTCGCATTGCGTGGGAAATATATTATCACCAAAACAAGCAAAGCTCGGACAAATCCGGAGGCTGTCCTCCAGCGTCTTCTAGTCTTCTTGGCAACAATAGTTCCAGCGTGAACCCAGCATCATCTGCGATTAACGCACCAATTGCTGCCGGCAACCTGCTTAGCAGCGGAGGCGGAGGAAGCGTTAGTGGTGGAGCCAACACACCAGTTAGTAATGTTGCCGCTGGCCCAGCTGTTGGCAGTGGTGGTGGTAGTGGTAGTGGTGGTGTCGTTGTGCCTAATGGACAGGCTTCAGCCTCGGCCATTGGTATTAAGACGACGCCAGCGTTATCTATAAATACAACACCGCAGCATCTCCTGCATCGCGCGAACGAAATGCCGCCCGCGGCCGCATTCGCCAGTGCTTTGCCTGGTCGATCTCCGTTTGAAGCCTCTCCCTTGGCAGCGAGCTTCATTGGTGCGCCACCTAGTCATATTGGTAGGTAGTAGTGTCTTTTGACTCTTAAATCACAAGCAGCAACTATAACGATTTTTGTAATGGACAGGAACAGCTGTGTCTCAGTTCGGACGCTACGTGACTCCTTTTGGATTTACAGGCCTAACGCATTTCGGTGGACATTTGGACTCGTGGAGGTAAGGTCTACTAACTGGTAATATTGATAATATAGACCATTGGGTGGGTCCGTTGCAAAGATAAGCCGTGATACCCCGTTATTTCCTACATTTTTATACTATACATATAATATATATATACATTTTTAGGACAAATGCCATGCAACGGAGTGTCGCCTATCATCCATCGAGTGCTCTAGCTTCCCCAAACTGGCCCATAAAGGCGGATCCCGGCCTGGACAATGCCCGTCGCGAGGCCGAGGAACGTGAACGAGAATTACGTGAGCGTGAGCAGCGGGAGCGTGACCGGCAGCGTCGCGAGAGAGAGGAGCGTGAGCGAAAGGAGAAGGAAGAGAAACTTAAACGAGAGCACCAGGAGCGGGAGAGAGAACGTGAGCGTGATCGAAAGGAACGGGAGCGGGAGCGAAGGGAGATAGAGCGTCGTGAGATGGAACGGGAGCGGCTCCTACAGCAGCAACGTATAAATGAAAGCAACAAGCAAGCAGCGGCGGCACAAGCGGCGGCGGCTGCTGCCTCTGCAGCACCTGTGCGTGACCGGTCGCCGCATCGAAACGTCGGCGAACTGAATGCGGAAATTCGCATAAAAGAGGAGCATCCGCGACCAACAAAGGACGAACAGGATGTAATGCTTATGCGAGCCTCGGCCGCGGCTGTCGCTGTAGGCGGAGATCCGCGCTATCACTCATCCTCGCTGGCAGCTGCCCAGGCCAATGCCGCCGCGGCAGCTGCCCATCACCATCATCATGCTAACTTCATGGCCGCCAGTCGACATGGATTGGCACCGCCTCCGCCATCGCATTTGGCCCGCACAATGATGCCGCCCACCCTAAGCGTTGGCGGGCCCATCACGCACTTCAGTGCCCCCGCTCCACCCGGCTGGGGCATAGATCCCTACCGTGACCCCTACCCCATCCTGCGCTACAATCCCATCATGGAGGCGGCCCTGCGTCACGAAGCGGAGGAGCGACAAAAGGCTATCAATATATATGCCGCCCAATCCGCTGCCCATTTGCGAGGCAAGGAGCCGAGCCCCATTCCGCCGCCGCCAGTGGGTGTGGGTTCTTTGGGTCCACCGCCGCCCCATCACCGCCTGCAGATCGTTTCGCCTCAAAGTCAACCACAACAGCAGCCCCAACAGCTACAGCAAACCGCTGGAAAGACGAACTCTGGACCATCGTCGGGGGCGGGGCCACCGCCACCACCAATCGTAGGCATTCCAGTCCAGCACATGATGAGCGTTGATGCGTTAAGCCAACAGCAGCAGCAACAAGGAGTAGTTAACCCGAAAAAGGAATCTGTCGACCACACAACGTCCATGGGGGGCTTAGTGGTTGGCGGTGCTGCCGGAGGAGGAGGTGGAGGCGGAGGAGGTGGTGGTCTCAGTACAGTAGTACCTGGTGGTGTAATAGGAATATCTCCAGTGTCATCAGTGGCGCCAAGTCGATGATAAGCAAATTATTAACGCTGCTTCTAGCCTCTATATAAGTAATAATAACAGTACTAGCGAATAAGACGCAGAGGAAATTTTCAAAATTTCAAGCACACCCCCATCTGTAGGGATAAATCTGGTAGAAGATACACTTCGATGATTTTACAGGTAAACACATCGATGATCAGCTCTACCTGTGCACATCCCGATTCCTGATTCCCCTTCCTCTCCTCCTTCCTTGTTTCCACTATACCCCTCCTCCTTTTCCTTCTCCTCGCAGCCAGAGAGAACACCAATAAATAAATAAAGCGAAACGCTTTTGTAAACTACATTTAAATAAAATACAACGTTTGAGTGCAGTATTTGTATTGCCAACGTGAGGGAAGTCAAAAGAGAAGTAAGAAACTATGAATAGAGAAAGTGAGAGAGAGAAATTAATCAAATTAAATGAGGTAAAGACTTCCTTGTACTTCACACAGACACACCTAGAGTTTTCAGTCCCAAAGCACAACAAGCACCATCACTGATTCCCTCACATAAATCCCCACATCCATACATTACCTTCCTCGACTCGCATAAATCTTGTCTCGCTTGGTGACGTCACACATAAGTAATATAAAGATAAACCTTACTTATTTATAATAAATACAAAAAATGACTAGTATAAAACAAAAGCAAAAACAAACTTAAGTTGGCAAAACATTTAGTTCTAGTTTTAGTGTATTTGTATTATTTGTATAATATATATATATATATAGGGTTAAGGAACGAACAGCCAAGCGGCGGACATAATTCGATCGATTGTAAATATTTATAAATATAAACATATTCGACAAATGGAACTCATGATGTACTCTACTAGCTATACGACGACATCAACATGCAGCTTATGGACATCCAAACTATGATGACGATGCAATGATACATAACTGTATGTATATTCTGTGACAGCTTCATTCCCTTCGTGCATTACATGTTTAAGGACTTATTATCACATATGCAATTTATGTAAAAAATGAGAAAAATTAATAATAGAATCATTACAAAAACTAAAAGACACCCCAAAATGTTTTTTAACTATGGGATACATATAAAAGTTAGTAAAATCTACATTACTGCCTCAGGGGTGGGCACCAAAATTAAAACATTGGATCATTGATAGCACTAATTCTTAGAAGCTGTTATCCACATCCACCTTTCTTGATTTTCCCACAAATATATTAACACAACCCTTACCTATCAACCCAGATTTAGCAAATGTCTATGTTTTTAATTCTATTTATTTTAATTTAATTACCATTCTCAGTATTTAAATTTTATAATACATGGAGCCGAACGCGCTTTTAATATTTATTTTAGCGTATTCTCATTTGGTTATCTATTATACATTAAACCCATTTTTTTACACAATTACTTTTACGTTATTCATATATTCAAGCATTATATTGTTTTGAAATTAATTTTAAAAAAACATTTTATTTGACAATTTTAAATTTAATATTACAGAATATTGTTTACTTGCAACCAATTCTCCAATTATGTATAACAATTTTTAATTCACTGAGTTTGTGTTAAAAGGAAAATAAAATATTAGGTATAAATGTTTTTGTTAAAAATAAGCGTTATTCCTTTTTTCTTATTGCTTCTTTTGTTTTTATTTTCTTTTCCTTTAAATAATTTCTTACTCTACATATTAAAAAAAATTGGCTTTGACTTTTAAATTAGTTTAAACGATGTAATTAATATTCATTTTTCGTCGTATTACAAAATTCTTATTAACCAATTTAAAATTTTGAAACATTTATATAAATAAAATTAAATTTACTTACCATTAACAACAAAATGGGATCGAAAATCATCAAACCAAAAAGGGATATTCTTAATCATCGTAAGCTTAAAATAAATTGATTTTTATGCCCTTGCATTGGGTATTATTATTTGTCTGTTGTCTTGATTTATCTTTTATATATAAAATATACGCAGAATAAGTGTAGAACCATATCTCTATGTAGGAAGATATTTATAGGCACGACCCAAACAAATATGTATGTATCGTTTATTATTGTAATTTGTATTAATTTTTTCTTTAAAAAAGAGACAACCTAGTCGTTCTAGCTATGCCCGTCATCTGTCCATTCTGGAAAAAAATAACGAAAAGATAATGATTGCCACAATTCACATTTACATCGATTTGCCACTCAATATGCAGATTTATTACCAAATTAAAAACAAAACTAAAAATAATTATTTAAAAAATTGATTTTTCTGTTAAGTTATATAAATTTCAAATCCCAGGAATATGAATACTAAATTCCAATTTACTTAAGGAGCAGACAGGACTGGGCCCGCTAATACTGATATATAATATACACTACATAGTACTTTCTTTACAATTCTTCCGTATATACTTTTAATATGAAAAGGAAACTATCTGTGTTGTGCTGTTGTGCAAATTCTGAACTTATAAAAAGCACATAATTTTACTTTTCAAGAACAAGTCATTATACCCTTGCAGGGTATTATAATTTTATTCAGAAGCTTGTAATCCTTGAAGGAATAATTTCCGACCCTATAAATCAAATATATTCTTGATCAGTCAATCAATAGGCAAATCTTTCTAGCTTTCTTTTTAAATGTTCAATTTTTTAAAAAGCGAAAAGGGGGTTACATTGTTAAAATTTTCAAAAATTGACAAATATTTGAAATTTATTCAAGATTGTTGATTGTTAAACCCACTTAAAACCAACAAAATAAAGCTTTCCGATTTAAAATTAATTCATTTTTGGCTTAGTTATGCGATTTAAAAACTTTGATTTTTAAACAAAATTGTTGGCATTATGGCTTAAAGAATGGGAATATTTTAAGCTTAGTTATTATCAATTTCTTTAAAAGAGAGTGATTACTTCCTATAAACGTCGTAGGAAAGACAACTGGTAATAGTACATATATGTACCTATGCTTTAAAAGATCGGAATTTTAACCATTTCTGCGCTACAGATAATAATAATACCCTTTACAAGAGTGTACACACGAAATGCATAAAGATCGCTTTACTTTACTCAAAATTGTATTTACATGCTAGTTTTGGATACACTGCTTTCGAAATATTTACTTTTTCTTTTACTTTTTATTAGTGTTTTTTTTTTCAAATATTTTTTTACGATAATAGTTGCCTGATTTGCGAAAGCAGACTTAAATTCAAATATCATATAAAAATATGTCTAATGTAGGTAATATCTAAATAATAGTTGTTTAAAATTACTGACTTGACAGTATAAATTAGACTGAATTGAATAATAATAATTATTAAATTCTGAGAAACTTGGCTGAAATTTGTGTACAATTTATGTTTTTTTTGTGCGCCTGAGAACGACTCAAAGCTTCCAAATAAGAGTTGAGTGTGTATTTGCTTCATTTCTCTTTGTTCTTATAAATCTTCAGTTGAGCTTTTTAACATTTGGAGAACAAGGGAGCGATTCTGATTAGTGCTCACACATGGAGAATGGGGAGATGAGCGTAAAGCCCACAATCTAAGATGGCAAGTCGTGTATGCCACAAGATTTCACATAATCAAAGATAATCATTATAATTCCTTAGAGAATTGTGTTCAATTTACATGTGTGTGTGTGTGCGTAGATTACCGCGAAGCCAACTAGCTGCATAGTTAGATCATGTGCAACTGCTGCTGCTCGTTAAGTTTAAAAGCCGCCGCCGCATTGCTTAGGAGGTGAAAAGGCACGCTAGCAGCATCCAATGATGGCGGCGACGCTGCAGCTGTGGCTACTGCCGCTGGACTATTGCTGCCGCTGGTACTTGCAATTCCGGCCTTTAGCTGCATCGTGTCGATGGATACGTGCTGATGATGTTGAGATGGGTGATGTGCTGTTACGATAGCCGGCTCTGACGCAGCCGCTAGTGTTCCTGAGTTTGTCGTTGTGATGATTATGTTGCCGGCATGCGAGGCACCACGTCCGCGCTTCCGTTTCGGAAGAATTCCCTTGCGAGCCATGTAGAAGCGAATGGTGGATACTGGAATATTGAACATATTGCTGACGGTCTGGAATGTCTCGCCCTTGGAAACACACTTGGCCGCTTGTGCCAGCGATGCCTCCGAGCGCCGGACACGCTTATACGAAGTGTAACCATCGACTGAGGTGGATAGCAGCCCCAGAGAGACATTCGTTAGCGATGTGTCATGTGGCTCCGTATCTGTCATGCTAAGCGATAGGCAGGATGCGCTGTTCTTTGCCGCACCTGTTGTAAAACTATTGTCATTATCCTCGACATCGTTAACGGCCACATAATTGTGATCGTCTTCAATCGTAGTATCCATATAATGCTGCTGCTGCTGATGAAGCTGAAGTTGTGTTCTGCAAAAGTGATATATGTTCGGTTTAGTTTATGTTTTGTGTGTTCTCTACAGGAATATATATTTAACCTTAATGGAGGATAAGATCTTCTTTTACGTACCTCGGTTGCTGTAAATAGGCATTTGTCCTGCTGCTGTTAGCCAGTGGCGCGGCAGCGGATGCATTATAATCCTCAAAATGATCTCTGTAGGCATTCCAATTGTTAGACACCTCGTCGGCCGACTCATCTTCAGTGGGTGCATTCGAGTTGCTGCCCAGAGCGGGCGCCGAGACGCATTGTTGAAGATTGTTAGTGCCATTAATTTGGTGGTGTCGTTGGCGCCCTTCCTTGATAATCTGTTGCTGCTGCTGCTGTTTGGATGTCAGGACTGGAGGGGTTGTGGTCGTTGAGGTTGACGTTGTTGTTGAACTAGTGGCTGCATCGTCCACGATATCGGTGCTATCCACCCGGCTTGCTGAAGGGGGCGCTGCTTCCTGCTTTGCTTGAGCCTGCTGAAGCTGCTTGTAATTTATCGTTGCCTCCGAACCGTATAGTCCACGGATTCTGAGCTGTTCGGCACAGCGGAGCAACTGTCCCAATCCGGCCTGTGTGACATTCACCTCGCCTTTGTACATGAAATCAACAAGCGCCTGGATTTCCCAGAGCTTTATCTCCCGTGGCAATATAATGACGGGATGCTTGCATGGATGCTCGGCCAGTATAGTCTCAAAGTAGGTGGAGCAGGCGGCCAGCACTAGACGGTGACATTGCAGCTGATGACCCTCGCAGGCAAGCGTCACATCCACGAATCTCTGGCCGGCCAAGAGCTGGGGAAAGGCGGCGCCAATGCTTCCCAAATGACTGTTCCAGCGCACGCAAAACTCTTGCGTGACGGCGCTCATCGCGTTTGAAGAAAGGTTTCTAATTTGCTCAGTTATCTGTTATCTAAATATAAGCTCTTTGAAACTTGTCCTTATGATATTTACCTGTTATAAAATAGAAACAGATATTAGCAATAGATTTTAGAATTGTAAATTGTTAATGCATACGTACATACTTAGTGTAAAGTACTATACGGAAATCTCAACTGCCGCTGGCTTCGGTTTATCAAAACGTATTTCTTTTTTTCTGTAAGAATAGATATTATATTTGTATTACTTATTATTTTATTTAAATTAGACCTCGAAATTCTATATTTTACTCTATTTTTTGTATACATATATTATCACTTTAATTTCAATTCTTAAGACCCAATATCGACCTGTCACTACGTATTTCTACTTTTGAACTAATATCACTTAATATTATCGTCTTTAACCCGATTCCCTCAATCGCCAATTGAGCCTATTTCAACGATTAAATAAAAATTATTTACTTAAAAACGAACGCTTATAAATATTTCTATAAGCAGTGTCGGGCCCCAAATGTGGAGCTCGGAGCCTGGCAAGGTACCATACGCATCGGCATGTGCATGTATTGTTTGTAATATATACCGGTACTTTGATCTCCCCCCCCCACCAAGAGAATTGGTTTCAAACTCTTAACCCTATAAAGCAACTATATTAAATAACAGCCTCAAGGCACTTTTGGGGCTTAGAGGGTTAAGTTTTTGTGTTTGTAAACTCAGTCAGCTCACTGGCGCCATCTATCAAAACATAAGGCACCAATCCAGGTTCTAAGGAAATATACATACGTTTAAACATATGTACTGGAATTAAGAAACAATCTTTTAAAAAAGCGTTCCTTGAACCATCTTGTTTGTGATAATAATAAGAAAATTGTTGCTCTTGCCTGTTACGGCGTTCACCTAAAGGAGCAGCAAAACAATAAATGCGAAACACACACATACAAACATATGTTTATGCATATACATGCTTGTGTTTGAGTCGGTGAGGTCCCGGAGCTGAGCTCTAATAAGAGAGCGAAAAAGAAAATACCAAAAACAAATAGAGTTCTGCACGGCGGCATAGTCGTTAATAAAAATAAACAAATATAGTTTTGGAAAACTCTGCATTTATCCAAGATGTACATGCGTACTTACAATGGCCTGTATGTATGTATGCAGAGGTAAGCACTTTTTATCGTTTCCATTCCTTCTATATTTAGTGTAAAGGATGTGGATGTGTGCTCTTGCAAAAATATACGAACATATGTACATATGTATGCATAGATGTATTCATAAATACATACCTGTTTGTAAAAAGAATTGTACTTTTTCTGCCTTCTGAGAAAAGGAGCGAGGCAATTTTTAGCGTTAACTGTTCGGAGTTTTGAGTTTTAGGTACGGGGTGAAAACAATTTTCAAGTTAGGCGTAATGCGGACCCTTTACGCAAACTACATACAAATGTCCTGTGCGCGTGAGCTACTAACGCCTGGGTCTTTTTGTTTAATAAAAGAACTACACTGGCATGACTCACATACATACACATGATTGCACATACATAAGTGGTTAAAAAGATTTTATTGATTTTTCTTATTAGTTTAAGAGGCCTGCGAGCTATTCCAAGGCATTATTTCGAAAATGTTCATTCACATTCATTCGTATGCGATGCTGCGCGCGGTTTTATCATTTTCGGTGGCAGCTAAACCAGCACTGATTGACACTTACTAGAACCAAAATAAATAAGAAGCCTATGTGTTGAAACGGTGCTGGACTCAAGCTTTTATGCACCTTTCTTAAGTCGCGTTATTTCCAATTAAATTTAAATGGAGAAATTAAAATTTGCTTTCGCGCTGCCAACTTCTTTTATAATCATTGTTATTTAAAAAACGCGTTAGGGATTGTTACTGGCATCTAATCAATTACCCTAAATATCGTTATCGAGCTGACACGAACTCTCCGATAACGAGATATTGAATAAGACATCGATGACAGTATTGTTGGTTTTCTTAAACAGTTTATTCGGAAAATGTATTTAAATATACTTCAAATATACTTCAAATATGCTTCAATAAATGGTCCCCACTATCGATATATACGTGAGCGATGGTTGATGTTTTTACTTCATTTTTTATAATGGCTTCGCTGTTGCACTCTAATTTAATAAATACATACATATTTCGTTGATAAAACTGTATTTTTTCCATAAACGGCATAGCCATAAAACGAGAATATCGATTATTAGTATTTGCATAAACATCGTCTTCATCGCACAAGAATATCGATACATTGATATTTCGCACACCCCTATCTTTCAGTCCGAATAGTTAAACAATGAATTATGTGTGTTTGAGTTAAATAAGAATTAAATTGTAATCTGCTTCTGTGTGCTCGCTTAGTCGCCGTCAAGCAACAAAGCGACGTCTTCGTATATGTACGTTTGAATATACATACGTACTGATAATTTGTGCAATATATACACGGTTAAATGCAACGCATATTTTGTATAAAACAAAGAGAAATTTAGTGTTTTTGTTTTTGCCGTATATCTCGTTCTTCGTTTTTTTTCGGTCAATGTATTTGTGCTGTTAATTTTTTTCCAAGTAACCATTACGTGTTTATGTGGCATACTGCGGCCTGTAAATGTATGGTATACATATGTGTGTTTTTTTCCGATACAGATTAGATATATATGTAAAGGTGAAAGTTCAATTAATTGTGGTGCATTTATTTATTTTCGGCTGTATAGCATTTAAAGCGCAAATTAATTAATTGTACTTGTGCCGTGCCGCTGAATAAACGAGAGCAAATTTTTGTGTACCTGTGTATGTGTGTGTGAGTGAATGACTAATTCTTCAAAGCACAACTCAACATGGCTGACTTTAACTGTGGTGGGCAGAGTGTGCTTTAACGACGATATATCGCTGCCTCTTTTCTTCCCAAGTACTAGATTCCACTCTCGCCATCGGCACAAAAAAAGTTCTGTGAATTTCTCCACTGGAACCAAATCCAGAATTGTACATATTTTATCTCCGTTGAACGGAAGGAATTCTCTGATAGTGATTTAGAGTTTTCACAAGCTTTACATATGTATTTATCTGTGCATACATCCTCTAGTCATATCATTTTAAGGGCGTTTCTTCTTGTTATCTCTAGTGTCAACTTTTTTCACTTGATGACGCTGTCACTTTCTATCAACAAAGTAGCATAGACGCCTTTAATTTCGTGTTCTCAATCACATTACACGCTAATAATATGCCTATTAAAATCTTTTCTATTTAGTTGGAACAGTCCGCGTCCTGGAAATCAAGTAACTAATTAAATCGAAGCAAATACGTGAAAGAAAACAAAGAACCCGTAATATATAACATTTGATCGAATCAAACAAAAAAGTGTGCAGCACATCTTAACAAAATCATCATCACCTACCAGCATTGCTTGTGCGGCCCGTTAAGATGACGCAACCGTTGCCCATTCGTTTTCAGGAGCACTTACAGGTATGTTTTCAATACCGGTTTACCGGTTTTTGTTAATCTAATAAATGTAGGGTGTATTTGTATGGGCACAATAGGGTGCATTTGAGGTACACCTTTTGAGCGAAGAAACGCGTTGCAGCAGCAACTTGTTGAGCTCTTGCTGCGGCCTCAGAGGAATAATGTTATAGTAATTATATAAATTTATATTATTTAGGTTAAATGCATTTGTTTTATACTCCTACCTTCATATCAGAAGTGGCTTCGTTCTGCTTCGTTTGTTAGTTAAACATACATACTAATTTTGTAATTATGTTCTTTCCAATTCATAGCTCACAAATGTTGGAATCAACGCCAATTCCTTCTCCTTTAGCACGCTCACAATGGAGTCGGATAAGTTCATATGCGTGCGGGAGAAGGTTAATGATACCAACCAAGTGGTCATCATTGATATGAACGATGCCACCAATCCCACTCGCCGTCCAATATCAGCTGATTCGGCAATTATGAATCCAGCTAGCAAGGTTATTGCGCTCAAAGGTAAATTGCTAAATATATCCTAATATGTGAAGGTAAAAAGACTTTAATCATAAAAAAAATTAATAAATTGTAATATGTGCACTTTAAGTATAGTAATTCACCATTGCTAACTTGATATATTCTTTAAATTTACCCCCCATTTTCGTCTATAGCCCAAAAGACGTTGCAGATCTTTAACATTGAAATGAAATCGAAAATGAAAGCGCATACAATGAACGAGGATGTGGTGTTCTGGAAATGGATATCTCTAAATACCCTGGCTCTTGTCACGGAAACAAGCGTATTCCATTGGTCAATGGAGGGCGATTCGATGCCACAGAAGATGTTTGATCGGCACTCCTCCCTAAACGGATGTCAAATAATCAACTACCGATGCAATGCATCCCAGCAATGGCTACTTCTCGTGGGTATCTCGGCGCTACCGAGCCGCGTTGCCGGCGCAATGCAGTTGTATTCCGTGGAACGTAAGGTTTCCCAGGCCATTGAAGGTCATGCTGCGAGCTTTGCCACCTTTAAGCTTGACGGCAACAAGGAGCCAACGACGCTGTTCTGCTTCGCTGTGCGCACTTCGAGCGGCGGCAAGCTGCATATCATTGAGGTGGGAACACCGCCGACTGGCAACCAGGCTTTCCCCAAGAAAGCCGTTGATGTATTCTTCCCACCGGAAGCCCTGAATGATTTCCCCGTGGCAATGCAAGTGTCGGCCAAGTATGATACCATTTATTTGATAACCAAATATGGATATATTCATCTGTACGATATGGAAACTGCGACGTGCATCTACATGAATCGTATATCGGCCGATACGATTTTTGTGACGGCACCGCACGAAGCCAGTGGCGGCATTATAGGCGTCAATCGCAAGGGCCAGGTGCTTTCGGTGACCGTTGACGAGGAGCAGATCATCCCGTACATCAATACGGTGCTGCAGAATCCCGATCTGGCGCTGCGAATGGCTGTTCGCAACAATTTGGCCGGAGCCGAGGATCTGTTTGTGCGAAAATTCAACAAGCTCTTCACCGCTGGACAGTATGCCGAGGCTGCCAAGGTGGCTGCATTGGCTCCGAAGGCCATTTTGCGTACACCGCAAACAATTCAGCGTTTCCAGCAGGTTCAGACGCCAGCGGGTTCCACCACGCCGCCATTGCTACAGTATTTTGGCATTCTGCTCGATCAGGGAAAGCTGAACAAGTTCGAGTCCTTGGAGCTGTGCCGCCCCGTTTTGCTGCAGGGCAAGAAGCAGTTGTGCGAGAAGTGGCTAAAGGAGGAGAAGCTCGAGTGCAGCGAGGAGCTGGGTGATCTGGTAAAGGCGTCGGATCTGACACTGGCCCTCTCCATTTACCTGCGTGCCAACGTGCCCAACAAGGTTATCCAATGCTTCGCGGAGACGGGACAGTTCCAGAAGATTGTATTGTACGCCAAGAAGGTTAACTACACGCCGGACTACGTTTTCCTGCTGCGCTCTGTTATGCGCAGTAATCCCGAGCAGGGAGCAGGCTTCGCTTCAATGCTGGTGGCCGAGGAAGAACCGCTGGCGGACATCAATCAAATTGTGGATATCTTCATGGAACACACGATGGTACAGCAGTGCACGGCCTTTTTGCTCGATGCTCTGAAGCACAATCGACCGGCTGAGGGTGCCCTGCAGACGCGCCTCCTCGAAATGAACTTGATGTCGGCGCCGCAAGTAGCCGATGCCATCCTGGGCAACGCCATGTTCACTCACTACGACCGCGCCCACATTGCCCAGCTGTGCGAGAAGGCCGGACTATTGCAGCGTGCCCTGGAGCACTATACCGATTTGTATGACATCAAGCGAGCCGTTGTCCACACGCACATGCTGAACGCCGAGTGGCTGGTCAGTTTCTTTGGCACCCTCTCTGTGGAGGACTCTCTGGAGTGCCTGAAGGCAATGCTAACGGCTAATTTGCGCCAGAACCTGCAAATCTGTGTCCAGATTGCCACCAAATACCACGAACAACTGACAACTAAGGCGCTGATCGACCTCTTCGAGGGCTTCAAGAGCTACGACGGACTGTTCTACTTTCTTAGCAGCATCGTGAACTTCTCCCAGGATCCAGAGGTGCACTTTAAGTATATTCAGGCCGCCTGCAAGACGAATCAAATCAAGGAGGTCGAGCGCATTTGCCGCGAGTCCAATTGCTACAATCCCGAGCGGGTGAAGAACTTCTTGAAGGAGGCCAAGCTTACGGATCAGCTGCCGTTGATCATTGTTTGTGATCGCTTTGACTTCGTTCACGACTTGGTGCTCTATCTGTACCGAAATAATCTGCAGAAGTATATCGAGATTTACGTGCAGAAGGTTAATCCCTCTCGACTGCCCGTTGTGGTTGGTGGACTGCTCGATGTCGATTGCAGTGAGGATATCATCAAAAATCTGATTCTGGTGGTTAAGGGTCAGTTCTCCACGGACGAGCTGGTGGAAGAGGTGGAGAAGCGTAATCGCCTTAAGCTGCTGCTGCCTTGGCTGGAGTCTCGAGTCCATGAGGGCTGCATTGAGCCAGCCACGCATAATGCCCTTGCCAAGATCTACATCGATTCGAACAACAATCCGGAGCGATTCCTCAAGGAGAATCAGTACTACGATAGCCGTGTCGTGGGACGTTACTGCGAGAAACGGGATCCTCATCTAGCCTGCGTGGCCTATGAGCGTGGATTGTGCGATCGAGAGCTGATTGCCGTTTGTAACGAGAACTCTCTGTTTAAGAGCGAGGCCCGCTACCTGGTCGGACGCCGTGACGCTGAGCTCTGGGCCGAGGTTCTATCCGAGGCCAATCCCTACAAGCGACAGTTGATCGATCAGGTTGTCCAAACGGCGCTTTCCGAGACGCAGGATCCTGATGACATCTCAGTAACCGTCAAGGCCTTTATGACCGCCGACTTGCCAAACGAACTGATTGAGCTGCTTGAGAAGATTATTCTTGACTCATCGGTGTTCAGCGACCACCGCAATCTGCAGAACCTTCTAATTCTGACCGCCATCAAGGCGGATCGCACGCGCGTTATGGATTATATCAATCGATTGGACAACTACGATGCCCCGGACATTGCCAACATTGCGATCAGTAACCAGTTGTACGAGGAGGCCTTTGCTATCTTCAAGAAGTTCGACGTGAACACCTCCGCCATCCAGGTGCTCATCGATCAGGTTAACAACCTTGAGCGAGCCAATGAGTTCGCCGAGCGATGCAATGAGCCGGCTGTGTGGTCTCAATTGGCCAAGGCTCAGCTGCAGCAGGGACTGGTTAAGGAGGCCATCGACTCGTACATCAAGGCCGACGACCCGAGTGCCTATGTGGATGTCGTTGATGTGGCAAGCAATGTTGAATCGTGGGACGATCTCGTGCGGTATCTCCAAATGGCCCGAAAGAAGGCCCGCGAGAGTTACATTGAGAGCGAGCTGATTTATGCCTACGCTCGGACGGGACGTCTTGCTGATCTGGAGGAGTTCATTTCGGGTCCGAACCATGCCGACATCCAGAAAATTGGTGATCGCTGCTTTAGCGATGGAATGTACGATGCCGCCAAGCTGCTGTACAACAATGTCAGCAACTTTGCAAGACTGGCCATCACTCTGGTGTATCTGAAGGAGTTCCAGGGAGCCGTGGACTCGGCGCGAAAGGCCAATTCGACGCGCACCTGGAAGGAGGTGTGCTTTGCCTGCGTCGATGCGGAGGAGTTCCGATTGGCCCAAATGTGCGGATTGCACATCGTCGTTCATGCCGATGAGCTGGAGGATTTGATTAATTATTATCAGAATCGCGGACACTTTGATGAATTGATTGCGTTGTTGGAGTCGGCTCTGGGCTTGGAGCGTGCACACATGGGCATGTTCACAGAGCTGGCTATTCTGTATTCAAAATTCAAGCCGTCGAAGATGCGCGAACATTTGGAGCTGTTCTGGTCCCGGGTTAACATTCCGAAGGTTCTGCGTGCCGCCGAGTCGGCACATTTGTGGTCAGAGCTGGTCTTCCTTTACGACAAGTACGAGGAATATGACAACGCCGTTCTGGCCATGATGGCCCATCCCACGGAGGCGTGGCGTGAGGGACACTTCAAGGACATCATCACGAAGGTGGCCAACATTGAGCTCTACTATAAGGCAATTGAGTTTTATTTGGACTTCAAGCCGTTGCTATTGAACGATATGCTACTTGTACTGGCACCCCGCATGGACCACACTCGTGCCGTTGGCTACTTCTCGAAAACCGGCTATTTGCCGCTAGTCAAGCCCTATTTGCGCTCAGTCCAATCTCTCAATAACAAGGCAATCAATGAAGCTCTCAATGGACTCCTAATCGACGAAGAGGACTACCAAGGGCTGCGCAATTCGATCGATGGTTTTGACAACTTTGATAATATCGCATTGGCTCAAAAGCTTGAGAAGCACGAACTTACGGAATTCCGCCGCATTGCTGCCTACTTGTACAAGGGTGAGTTTTAACCGCAATTGATTCTATAAGTGAATATCTTTACCTTTAATATTAATATTTTTATGTTAGGCAACAACCGCTGGAAACAGAGCGTGGAGCTCTGCAAAAAGGACAAACTCTACAAGGATGCTATGGAGTATGCCGCCGAGTCGGGCAAGCAAGATATCGCTGAGGAGTTGCTGGGCTGGTTCCTGGAGCGTGATGCCTACGATTGCTTTGCAGCATGTCTATATCAGGTAAGATTTAAAAATTTAAATAATACAAATAATATAAAAAATAATGCAAGCAAACTGTGATATGATATTAATTCTTTGCTTAACATTTTCATTAGTGCTATGACTTGCTGCGCCCCGATGTCATTTTGGAACTGGCCTGGAAACACAAAATCGTTGACTTTGCCATGCCTTACTTAATACAGGTAATGATTTTTAATTAATTATACGCTTAGTTCTTGCATTCTATATATATGCTATTTGATGCATAGGTTTTGCGCGAATATACCAGCAAGGTCGATCGGTTAGAGCTGAACGAAGCTCAGCGGGAAAAGGAAGACGATACTACGGAACATAAAAATATTATTCAAATGGAGCCACAGCTAATGATCACTGCTGGCCCGGCAATGGGCATTCCGCCGCAATATTCGCAGAATTATCCGCCAAATGCTGCGGCGACTGTTGCAGCAGCGTCAGCAGCAGGAGCAGGGCGTAACATGGGTTATCCGTATTTGTAGGCCACATTATAATTCTAATTATACAACATTAAACCATTAATTAAAACGACCTTTACAAAATAAATGTATCAGCATTATAAAGAAAATACCAATAAAAACAAGAACAATAATATTAATCGTCAAAGAAAGTAATTTGCATACAAAACAATATAAATTCAGATCAAGAATAAGTCGTAAAATCATTATTCAACAAAAGAACATCGAAGTTTTAAAAGTTTTCGATGAGTTATCGATATGTACCCATTGCCAGAAGCATGGATCAATTTTGGCGTGTTTTTCTTGTTATCCTTTATATATAGAAAAATAAATTGCTTTTATCATATTTAAAGATTTTGTTTTTGATTACAATACTGAAAACATAGTTAAAGAGATCAAGCATAAATAAATATATACATTATTTACTGATTTTACAAATTTCAATCAAAGATGGAAATAGCTTATTAATTTGGGCTTAAAATATATGAGAATACACATATGTATGTATGTATAAGGACATATTTCAGCATTGCAATTGATACTGTATGTAATTATTTCAAGATTTCCTTTAATACACTTCCCGTATAAACAACCTGGTACATTTTAAATCATATTCCAACTATTATCTGTAAACAAAACTCTAAAAGAGTAAACACATTTTACTGTTCAATTTCCTGTAAGAAATATCACATTAAAATATGATTAATAAATATTCAGTGTCGTAGTTGGGACACCGTTTCGTAAGAATGTGAAAATATGCTACGTACATATGTACATATATAGTTTTTATGGAGTTTTATGTTTGAAATTTTACAGTTATGCTGCGGAATTCATCCACATTCATACAGACATACGTTTATATTAAATAATTTGTTAGTTTAGTATTCCCCACATTTCCAAAACATTTTTTTAAATACATAAATAATACATAATTACATAAATACATATGCATTACTAAACCTTGTATTATTATTACATTTATTTATTACTTTGATGTATGCGACAAATTGTCCGAAAACTTTAATTTTTTTACTCAACAATCAAAGTTAGTTATATTAAACTTGCTACAATCAGTTGTGTTATTTATTAAAAATTCGAATAACATAACGATTGCTACTCATACATACATACATACACACATATTCAAAGTATTATTGTACCTTATGCCTTTAATATTTTCTTATATTATTTCAAGAAACTTATTTAATACAAATACAAATTAAAAATTATTTTAAATTCGATATGAAAGTATTTTAATTTGTCTTTTTTGGGGTACCGAATTGGGGCACCAACTACACCGAATGTATTTGAGCAATAAAATGCCTCTTAATCTTTATTATTGTTCAGCTGATACCCTTTTCTGGTCCGTCTTGGCTATATTGCTAAAAATTGGCTGACCGGAAATCGAAGTTTCACGGTTTTTATACAAGTGTCCTAAAGTATGCTACAGAATTGTACAGTAAAATTAAAATACCTAAATACCGACAAATTCAAATGCCTATTATCTTTTTTCAGTATGTTAAGCAGTGTTTATCGATAACTGATAATCGTGCCATGTTTTAGTGCTTCTGCAATTGTCAAATTTTTCCCCGCTTCTGAATTCAGAGTGACCATAAAATAAATATAAAAAATATGATATCGATATATCAACGACCGACAGCCATCGAGGGAGAATTCTGTTAAGTTACGGTCTTTCTGTCTGAGTGAGAGCGATCTGTTAATGAACTTTACTTCCTACATGGGAATTCTACGCCAAAGGCCAGAATTCTATCTCATGAATCTGTAAATGTGTAAAATGGCTTAATAGACGTGTAAGATGTAAAATGTTAAATAACAGCGTTGAAATTCAGAGTGACCAAAAAAGCAATATCAAAAATTATCACATAAAAATATTGCAACATCGATATTTTGGCAAAAGGAATCACGATATAAACATAACCCTGTTGGCAAAAAAAAATATATAAATTTGGAAACATGGAGCTAAACATAGAGTTAAAGAAACTTCGGGAACTGGTAAGCAGATAGCCTCTAAAGCCCAAACCTCCAACTAAAACATATCCGAACACATTCAATGAAGGAACTTAAAACGCATGGACTGGCCACCCGGCTGAGTTCTGGCACCTCTGACCAGCTCGACGGCGATCTGATTCAGCTCCAAATTGAAAATAAAAAGCTCAAGCACCGGCTGCAGATTCTCAAGAAGGTAATATTTGAACTCTCGAAAGAGTGCATAAAATCATAAGGTTCCTGTCCGTCCTTCTTCCCCCAGTCCATTGCAGAAGAATCAACAGGTGCAAATAATTGTGAAAACTGCTCGATCACTGAGCACTTGGAGAATGTGTTTGCGCAAGCAATCGCCGTGGCGTATCCGGAATATAGCAAGACCCCTGTGTTGATAGCTCCCGTCAGTAGTGGGTCGGCGAAATTCGGTGACTATCAGTGCAACAATGCCATGGGCTTGGCAAAGAAGTTCAAAGAAGCCGGCATTAATAAGTCCCCCGTGAAATTGCCATCGAATTGCAACGAAACTGCCCTTCTTCGCCCATTATAGACAAGCTGGAAGTAGCTGGAGCAGGCTTTGTGAATGTTTTTCTAAGCAAGTGAGTTGTAAGTGGTTTCCGAATCGATCGTGGCTGTAAAACATAAATTTTTGCAGGGCTTTTGCAGCTGAAGCGCTGAGCAGCCTGCTGCGAAACGGCATTAAACCGCCATCGGTGCCTAAGAAGCGTGTCTTGATCGACTTTTCGTCGCCGAACATAGCAAAGCAAATGCACGTCGGTCACTTGCGTTCCACAATTATTGGCGAATCGATTTGTCGGCTGCTGGAGTTCCTGCAACACGATGTATTGCGTATAAATCACCTTGGCGATTGGGGAACACAGTTTGGAATGTTAATTGCCCATTTGGAAGATCGCTTCCCCAATTATCTGAACGAGAGTCCGCCCATTCATGACTTACAATTGTTCTACAAGGAATCGAAATTGCGGTATGTGTTGCTTAAACAGCCTCTGATCCCGTCTTTAAGCCAAGTTTTCTTTTTTCTATTTCACAGATTCGACGAAGACGAAGAATTCAAAAAGCGTGCCTATAGTCGCGTAGTCTCTCTCCAAAACGGCACACCGAACTCTATTAAAGCCTGGGAATTGATCTGCAATGTTTCGCGTAAGGAGTTCCAAACGATTTATGAGCGTTTAGATGTAACCATCGAAGAACGTGGCGAGTCGTTCTATCAATCACGGATGCTGTCCGTGGTAGAGTTTTTGCGTTCGAAGCAATTATTAGAAACGGACGATGGACGGGAGATTATGTGGCCCGACGAAAGCAAGACGGGAATCCCACTGACAATTGTCAAGTCAGACGGCGGCTTCACCTATGACACCTCGGATATGGCGGCCATACGCCATCGTGTAGAAGAGGAGAAATGCACTTGGATGATTTATGTGGTCGATGCAGGACAAAGCACACATTTTAACACCATATTCAAGGCAGCGGAACGCTCTGGCATTCTGAATCCAGCCGTCCATCGTGTGGACCACGTTCAGTTCGGTGTAGTACTTGGCGAGGATGGAAAGAAGTTCAAGACTCGATCTGGTGATACTGTTAAGCTATCCGACTTGCTTGACGAGGGTATGAAGCGTTCGTTGCAGCAGCTGGAAAGTCGTGGACGCGAAAAGGTGCTCACTCCTCAAGAGTTAAAGGACGCCCAGGAGGCTGTGGCCTACGGATGTATCAAGTATGCCGATCTGCGTCATAATCGTGTTGGCGACTACATCTTTTCATTCGATAAGATGCTGGATGATCGAGGCAACACTGCCGTTTATCTACTGTACACCTATACCCGTATATGCTCGATTGCCCGAAACTCTGGGGAAGATTTCACCGATTTGGCCAAGGTGCTGAGCACAGCTACCATTGAATTGGACCACGAAAAGGAGTGGAAGCTGGCGAAGACCCTTTTGAAAATGCATGACATATTTATCAAGTGTTCCAAGGAACTTTACCTGCATTTCCTGTGTGAATTCTGCTATGAGGTATGCGCTGTATTCACAGAATTCTATGACAGTTGTTATTGCATTGAAAGAAATAAGGCTGGTGAGATTATTGGAGTTAACCGCAGTCGAATTCTGCTGTGCGAGGCAACAGCGGCCGTTTTGAGGCAGAGCTTTTATATTTTAGGCTTAAAACCCGTTGTGAAAATGTAGAATTTCCAATTCAAAATATTTGACTAAAAGCTTGTAAACGAATAAAACCAATCAAGCTATAAAATTAATTCGATTAAATTTACTTTGTTTAAATTTTGTTCAGTGTTAATCGATTATATTCGATTGAATATTTTATGGTATGAATGCGGTATATTAAAAACCAGAAAATACTAAGTGGTTAAAAGCTAGTATAAGCGGTTAGATGTTGTTTTTCGACTCTGGTCGCACTTATCGTGATTTTGTGTTTTTCTTGTATGAAACCCGGTTTGATGGTGTTTTTCGATTCTGGTCACACTTATCGTGATTGTGTTAAATTTTACGGGTGTGTGTTGTTAATAAATATATGGAATTGATAATTTACTGAAACATTTGATGTGAGAAAACCAAGTACGCGTCTTGTGCTTTATATCTGTGGAATACTATATGTCTAAGGCATTTGTAGGCCTTGTGCAAATACAATAATCCAGTTGCTCCGAACTGTTGACAGAGTTGTATTCAATATACATATAAAAAAAGGCAAAACTATAGGCCGGACATTGAAATGCACTAAAGTGAATAATGTTTTAGAATCCCTGCAAGGCAACTAAGATTTTACACAAGCTGGACTTGGCTTATTTGCAGGACAATGTAAACAGAATTTGTTTTTGTCATTCCCAACAATTACCTGCTTCGGAACACACCTATATACCCTAATATGTACATGAGTTGTATGTATGTCTGCTATATAGTACACTCATCTGTGAATATATTTATGTACGCACATATGTACATATGTGTGTAAAGTCGGTAAATCCTAATAGATAACTTGTTTCGCTCCGATGGAACACGCATAGTTTAACAGGCCGATACCGGTTTCAAACCAAAATTACCGGCGTAACTCACAACACTTTGTTATCTGCCATCATTTTAAAAATTGATTAATTTTTGTATTGTTAATATTTGCTTTTTGCACTAAAGAGTAGTGTGTTTATTGCTACAATTCCTGGTTAGATTCGAGTGCCTTGCCTGTTTGTTAAAGCTTGTAAAACCTTGCTTACAAGTTTGAAGTATTTCCATGGATTTTACTAAAATAAAGTGTTTTGTTTTATTTTCTCACTTCAATAGAGTTCGGCGACGATAGAATACATTTAACTCGAGATAAACTACAGGGCGCACGAATTCGGATGCAATGGAAAGTGCCAGTACTGGTCGCCGAAGGAACAACATGCGGGTCAACGCGGAGGACAATGCACTAGATCAAATAACGAAAGAGGTAACACTACAGCTCTACAACATCCATTCGAATCTTTGGTATATTCTTTATTTATCTAGGCGGAGGCACGACTTGCAGCGCGTCGACAAGCTCGTGCCGAGGCCCGCGAGATCCGTATGCGAGAGCTGGAGCGACAGCAAAAGGAGCTCGAACTAACAGCTGACCGTGTATTTGACATGCAAAGCACCACAGGAGGCGTTGCAGGTGGTGGCGATACACTCCTCTCTACGCATCCCTCCCGCCTCGTCTATGGCGGTCTTATAAATGTGGCCCGTTCATCGGTATCGCGACGTAGCAGTGAGGACTCTTTGGAGGAGGACGGCCGAAGTTTTCGTGACTTCAAACATGAGCTTAAAGTGAGTTCTACAGTCGGATTTTATGTTTCATTATTGGTTAACATTTTTGTTTGCTCCTAAAAGGACGTTGAGGAACGGTTTCGAAAGGCGATGATAACGAATGCCCAGTTGGACAACGACCGTGCATCACAGGCTTACGAAGTGAAACTGCTCAAGGACAAATGCGAAATAATGCAGGAATCCTTTGCGCAACTGCAGCGCGAATTCAAGGAGAAAATGCGCGACTGCAATGCCCTCAAACGAAGCTTGGATCGCGCCAACCTTGAGCTGAAGCTGGTGCAAGGACAGTTAAATGAGCGGGACTTGTTAATATCGGAGCAGGGTCTTCTGATTGTGGCTGTTGAGAACGAGGATGGCAGTGATGCTAAGCGGGCTCTGGTTAGTGTTGAGAATGCCAAGCTCTTGGCCTCCGTTCAGGGTTCTTTAGGTGAGGGCTAATCTACAGAGCTATATCCATTGGTATTTACCTATAATATCGCTTTCATTCCCTTTCAGATGTTAGACTTAAAAAATTCAGTGACGAAAAGAAGAGATTGCTATCCGAGGTGCACAGTCTTCACGAACAGCTTGATGAATATAAAAGCGGAGGAATGGCTGGCGGATCTGGAAGTTTTGCACATGGTTCTCTTGGCGAAGAAGATGATTACGAGGCTCAAAGTAAGTTCACGTTTATTACTATGGAAAATGCTTATAGTATTTAAGTTCGCTTATCTCTCGTAACTATTAAACAAGGGTGCAACTCAGTTATAAACGCATTTGCGCGTGGGTGAAATTAGACATTTATACATTTATTATACAACAACTCGATAGTCCAGAGTCTTTCGAACATATTAAACGCGGCAATCCAAAAGATTAATCATTTCTGAGTGGCGAAAGTTTAAGAAACAAAAATAACTTAAATTTACTTAAATTAAGCTTTCACAAATACCATTATTTTGGGATTGGGTTGTATATTGAAAGGTGGATATTTTAAAGTGGAGCAACTTGCGGACAGAGAAACATACGAAAAGGGCTAGATCGACTCGACTGTTGAAAATCTTAAACGGGATAGGGGTACACGCTTTCTTTTATTCTGTAAACTATACATACATAGATATAACTTTTACAAACCTTGTTCTTACCTCTTCAAGCTTTATTTGTAGTTCGTATTATTTTGCATTTTATATATTTTGTAGATAGAATATTCTTTTTTTAAATTTTCCCTTTAAAAAAACTGCATTATATTCAAATCTTACTACGAGCCTTTGTCTCTCTTCTTGCATCATCCCGCAGGGGAGTCAAACAAAATCATTTCAGACTATAAATATAAGCTGCAAAAGGCTGAACAAGAAATCGCAAATTTACAATCGAGTTTAGCACGTTCAGAGACTCAAGTCATTCGATACAAAAGCACTGCGGAAGCCGCCGAAAAGTCAGAGGCTGAATTAAAAGTCGAACGCCGCAAGCTCCAACGTGAGGTAAGTTTTGAGGACTTTTCACGACCTAATTTTTGTCACTTATAAATACTAAACAAAAAAATAATAATAATGAAAAACCAATCCGAAATATTTATTTTCGATTGCGCGATATCGCACCTAAATTTTAAGAACAAGTATTGTACAAACTAATTGAAATTTGCACTTGAAAGTTATTGATATAGTAGAGACTCTAGTAAGAAAGGAGACTGTAGTCGAAAGTTGCCATCATGAATCAGCAATCATTTTTAAGGACACAGTTTAAACAACACTACACATACAACACCTATACTTTTTACACATTAATTTATTAGAGTTTCCTAGTTTATTAGGGTTTCCTAGAAAGCTAGATTCAAATAATCTACAGACCATTTTTTTGTGTTCTATCCTAATCTAGCACCACTTATTAAGTGGAAGAGAGGGAATATTACAAAAAACATTCAGGCGGTGAAAGCGAAAAAATGCGTTGCGAAGACCCAATTATATATATATAGATATTTTAATCTTAAAAATTATTCAAATATTTATAAAAATAGAGTAAATAAGGTGAAACTTTCACCCTTGCAGGGTATGAAACGCAGTGAAAAAAATCTTTTCCGACCCTATAAATCATATATATTCTTGATCAGCATCGAAAGCCGAGTCGATCTAACCATGTCCGGGTGGAGACAACATTTTTTTTATTTTTTTTTAAAGAGGTTACATCGTTAAAATTTTCAAAAATTTACAAAATTTAAAATTTTTAAACTCAGTATGCAAATTTGTTAATTGTTAAAAAACTAACACAGAACAGATTTCCGAATTAAAATTAATGATATTTTTATTAAGTTATAATATAATTGGAAACTGCAAGTTTATACAAAATTCGTCTTTCCGAAGTAAGCTTCCTTTCTAGTTAGTTCTCATACTCATATACATTAGTATCGGGAAATTTGGAAATATGCTGGGTATATAGTCTTAAGCTAACGAAGCCACTGCAGAATGTACTTACTGTTAAGCTCGCTCTTCTGGTTGCTCGGTTTCTTTCTTGATTTTAGAGCGTAGAGAGCGAGAGCAGTCGATTCCATTACAATTAATCTCTTTTATATTCCTCCGTCGTAGCATCGGGAAATACTGGAAAGATTGGAGGAGGCGGAGACGGCCAATAACCATTTGTTAAAGCGTTTGGATAAATTAAAAAACGCCAAGAGCGCCATCCTAAAAGACTTATGACCTAAAATGGGTAACAACTCCATTATTGCCTCCAATCACAACGACGTCACAGCATCATCCGATGATGGCACCAAAAGGAGCAGCACGGAATTAACAAAGTCTGAATGCGATAAGACATAGAAGATTAAAGTCCCGAAAGCAAGCACGCATCCTACGTTATAAATTTAATACACTTAAATGGATCAGTATCCTTACTCTTATGCGCATGTGTACTCCTCCAACGGCAAACATCAAATTGTGTTTATTTATAATACATTTAGTGCGAAAATTAGTAATAATATCAAATTGATTCATTAGCGGATATATATATATATCTATATATATATATATATATATATATATATATATTGATTTTGTGCCCACGCTACCGTTAATGACATTTATACATTTTTTTATTTTGTTACGTGAGCAAGGTATAGTTCATGCTTTTGATTTAACATAAGGTTAAACGCAAATATATTATGTAATAACATTGTTCTGTAATATTTCAAATTAAATATATATACATTTTATTTAATAACACCGGAAATTCGGTAATTAATCAATTAATAATTGTGTTTTTGATAAATGCCAAGATTATAACTTCTTTGGAAGCTTAAAACTGAAAAATTTAAATTAATTTAAAGATAGTTGCTCAAAGTTCTATATAACTTTAACTTTATAAGCAATGGAATGTTTACTATAACATGATGCGATAATTCTATCATAAGTGATGTAAGTCGTTGTGTCGTTGTGCAATTCGCAAGTTACGGTGGGAGAATTAGTTGCTATATTTCTTCACTAAGATTTCTTGATTAATAGATTCTAAAAGAGTATTTCTTTTTTACGTATTTTTTCGAAAAGCAAGATTTGCCTTAGCTGTCACTTTATTGCAAACATTTTGGAAGTGTCTCACTTTCTATATATTTTTAAAGAAACTAAATTAAAATGATTGCTATATTTTTTATGTTGATATGGAAGAATTTTAAGAAACAAAACCACCATACTGTGATTTTCATAATGTCTATTTTTGTGCCTATGCTTGCGGCCGTGATACCTTTAGTGTCTCCGTATTATAGTGATCCAAGTATTATAGATAATCCCACAAAGGTCGTAGAGATGAGTTTTGATTTCAATTGGAAATCGCTAATTGGAAAAATTAATGATCGACGAGAGCGGATGCTGAAGGCACAGATGAAGTAAGTGTGAGTGTTCCCAAGAGTAGACTTGTTAAGATTTATTTTTAAAACCAATTGGTAATTACAGCTTTAAGGCCAATGTCTTCATTCCGCAAATAAGGGTGGCATATGCAAACAGTTCGCATGTAGGCTTACGTAAACTTATGGAAACTGCATTGGGAAATCTTGGCATTAATGAAAGTCAAACTTATGGATTTGAAAATTGCGATGTTATGCGCACCAACGCTACCTTTGAGCACTATATAGCCAGCGTTTGTTTTCACAATGAGCACGGGGATGAGTCCAAAAATGGCCTGCCCCAAATGCTTTATTTTTCCATTATCCTGCCCTCCGAGGTGCGCAACTATGAGCACTCTTGGTTAGGTAAGACCTGGAAGCAAAGCAACCCCACCATTGGGACCCATGTATCGAGGAGTGTGGCAGAAATCGGTGACGATGGCTCCATGGAATACTTGCAGGAGGGCTTTGTCCCGCTCCAGTACTATATTAGTACCGAATATGTACGGATGGCTTCCAAAGGTGCAAAAATGCCAACTCCTAGATTGCGTCCCATGAATTCAGATAAACTTATCAATAATGATGCATTCTCCGAATCTTCAGTCACTACAGCTAAAATAATAATGGTGCTTGGGTTTATGTTTCCGGTGGTTATACTAGTTAAGGTATGGAATTAGTTTCCTACTTCCCAAAACATGAACAATATATATTCTCAGTTAATCCAATTTTCTTTTTTTCAGCTCATAGTGGAGGAGCACGAGTTGGGACAGTGCTTTGTGCTGGAGGTGAATAATGCCGGTAAATGTTTACAAGTCACTGCTTGGTTTTGCAATGCAAGCATACAGCTGCTGATAACTTCCTTCTGTCTTGGAGTATTGATTATGGTATATTTGATTTTTTTATCTTTCTAATTAAGTTAATAACTAAATTAATTTCTTTTAGTATACTTCAACTTCGATTCCCATGTCTGAACTGTTCTATACGGTTCCCTTTTTTGCCTCATACAGCATCTCTGTGGCCAGTTTTATCATCTTTTTATCCGCCATAATACGTAGTACAAATTTGGCATTGGTTTTGGTACCCATTATTTGGTTTCTTTTGCCGTTTCCTTTTTTGTTCACAGAACAGCTCAAGTTTGAATCGTCTTTTCTTTTATATTTGCTAGCCACCTTTCTTATGTGTAATGTCACCCTCAGCCGAGGACTAAGCCTACTGTTTGAAGACCATACGAGCACTAAATTCGCAAGAAAAAAACTTCTAACAGATGATAATTTTATAAATCTTACATTTCCTGCCCTTATTGGGATCTTTTTCCTACAGGCAGTAATTTATAGCCTATTGGTACCCATAATTCAGGTTCCTGAATGGGTGCTTTTCTGGCGTTTCTTGAAAAGCATTCCCAGAAAATGCAGATTGTGTTGCCGAAGAAAGAAACGGAGGCATTTTAAAGAAAACTTTCTGAACTTAAACACAATGTTTCAAGAGGAATCCAGAGGTATAATGAAGGATATTAAATCAGCCATCACCATTGATTTGGGGCTTACAAGCACTAAAAACGCCACCAATAAGCCGGTAAAAGCTCGTGTGCTAGAAAATGTAATCAGAGAAGCAGGTATAGAATTTCGACGTGTGTCCAAGAAATTTTTGAAAACGTATGTGATTCAAAAGTTCACACTAAGTGTGTTTCCGGGAGAAGTTGTAGTCCTATTGGGTCACAATTCGTCGGGGAAGACGACAATTATGAGAATGATACGTGGCGTGATACTGCCGTCGTTTGGCGAGATCTACATATCTGGCATTAATACCGTCACGAATAATTTATATTTTAACAAGAGGTCCCAAAAGCATGTCGGAATCTCTCTGACCTACATTGCATTATTCGTCGAGCTTACCGTGTCCGATCTTCTGGTGTTCTTCAGCAGACTGCGCGGCCTTAGGAAGTTTGAGGCCCGGGAGGAAGTAGAATCCTATCTGCAATCCCTGAAAATGGAGTATATGAAAAATATTCTAGTGGGTAATTTGAGCATTGGACAGAAGCGAATTGTGCAATCGATATGTGCCTTTGTTGGTCGAACCGAGATAGTCGTTCTTCACAAACCCTTGGACGGTGTAGATGGGGCCACGGCCACTCTGTTTTTTAGCTTTGTTCAGCGAGAGAAGAAAAATCGTAGTATTTTTGTCACCACGAATCGCTCGAAGGTAGCAAGTTTCCTGGGTGACCGCATTGGGATTCTGGTGCAGGGTCGTCTTTTGTTCCTTGGAACAGAAAGAGAGTTGGGCGATGAATACAATGATGTCTATCGATTGGTAAGCCTTAACATTATTTTCCTTTAATGCTCAATTGTGCTTCTTAGTAACTCATATTTCTCTTAACAGACCATCTATGGTAATGCAAACTGTGATTTTGACGAAATTCAAATGTTTTTGGAAGACTTTACAACCACTGGGGTTGAGATGGAGTCCAGAATGGCCGACTTGGCAGTTTATCTTATAAATAGAGTAGACTTTCCTGGATTGATTAAGTTGCTTGATAACCTACCAAGGAAGAAGGTGGAGTTAAAAATAGATAGCTTTAAAATTCAGGAATGCAGCCTTGATCAGATCCTCATTAATTGGTTTACACCGGAGCCGTTTGAATTTGCTCTTCAGGAAATGGAGCCAGAACATCTAAAACTTAGAAGCAAATATGACTCATTGAAGAGATTTCTGAGATTAGTTTCGCAATTTTTAATTGTTTTCCGCCATCGTGCGTTAATTGATGTATATAACTCGCACTTTCTAATTATCAAGATTATCCTGCCCATGTTCATGACCCTGTGGCTGGGGATTTGTATTGCACACCATCCGTCCAATGTCCTGTCGCAGGGGAATAAAGTCTTTCCCCTTGCTAATCGTGAAGATAGTGGCATCACTCTAGCACAAATAGGATCACCGTTAGGCACTAATGGTCCACTGAAAGCAGCCTACGATGAATTCATAACAACCGGAGCCAAGGAAGTTGATGCTGACCTGGACATCACAGATATGGAACAGATGCGCCAAAGCTATGGGATACTCGAAGACGAGAAGATTCTGGGAACAGTCTTGTTCAAAGCGGACGAGGTCGAGGCTCTTTACAACAACAGGTGGGGTTACGCAGCACCCCATAGTCTGGGACTTGTGATGAACTCCCTAGCCGTGTATGTACTTTACTTTCTATATAATCTATAATCCATATCTATATCTATCTATATTTTGCAGGGGCTTTGTTGGTCCTGATTCGGGAATAAAGGCGGAAATGGAGACGCTGCCCTTTTCGACAACACATCGGTACAACAATCTGCACAATGTACCCCTGCTGACCATCAGCGTGGTATGCTTCAGTTTCTGCTTTTGCTGGACCATGCCCTTGTTGTACATGAACCTTAGCCAAAAAGTTCGCTTTAACTATATAGAGTTGATTGCTGGAATGCGGCTGAGCCTGCTTGCCAGTGCCATATTGCTCTATGAGCTACTTGTGTTTGCGTTTGCCTTTGTCACCTTGCACCTGGTCATCATTATTTTAGGGATGGACTCTGTGATGTACGGTGATTTTTGTTGTAAGTTTTAACATCTTGAGAGAGAAGCTTAAGATTAACTTTATTTTTTCTATTACCAGTGATATATACACACGTCGTAATGTTGGTGGCCCTGTGTGTCCTCAGCACAAACATACTGATATCTCTTGGATCAACGGTTACCCAGAATGCTTACCTATTGGTCCTGACATTTCACACAGTGGGCGTGATCGGTTACTTGCTTGTAAGACAGTTTTCAAAAACATCCATTAGGTATATATATATATTTATGGACTTTTATCCGCTTTTCTCCATGATGGATCATCTAATGACCGTGGCTAATGTATCGGAGACTAAATGGCTCTGTCGTGATATTCAGATTTATGAGACCAGTGTCTACGTGGACAAGTGCACTACCAAACCAAATTGTTGTCGTAAGATTGACTTTAGTTAAAGAAAAAAAAACAAATATACCTAGTAGCTCAAACCCCTTATACTTCTACAGATGATCCAAAAGATGAGTACTATCACCATCGCTACGTAGCCTGCAACTACATATATTTAGTCATTATATTGATCTTAATTTCGTTTCGCATAAAATCATCATTACCCAAAATTAAATCGCGACACGGAAATTACTTGTGGGACAGTGAGTGAGTGAGTTCTGGTATTTATTTTCCCGTACAAAGATCTAAATTTCTTGTGCTTCCAGTGCTGATAGTTACAAGGATCAGAAAATCCTACATTTTGGCCAACCCTCTGATTTGGAAAATACTTGGATAAAAGAAAAGTCACGGGTTCGGACCCTGGAACGATCCTTGATATGGAGTAGGAGTCTCCATGTGGGGCATTTGAGTGTATTATTTGACAAGTTTGTGGCACTAGACAAAATCAATTTTATGCTCGATAGGTAAGCGTTTCCAGATAAGATGTTCGATTCGATCCTGTAGGATTATTGTTTATTTATTACCTCGTTAGGTACCAAGTCCTAAGCTTGTATGGACCAAATGGATCGGGTAAAACGGTTCTGACCAAATCCATTCTGGGCTTTTACGCTCCCAACACAGGTCGCGTGGATAGCCCGAATAGGATGCCGTATCAGAGATACAAGTCGCAAATCGGCAATCTTGCTGGCTATAGTGCTCAAGAGGTTTTCCTGATGCAGGAGCTAACGATATTGGAAGTTCTGCGTTTGGTACTGCATATACGTCACTGGCTAAAGGACAAACAGCTCAAATATGAGGCGACGACGATATGCAAAATCCTAAACCTATACGACTATCGGCATAATATTCTTTCGACCTGCAGTCAGGGTGTACTAAAGCGATTAAGCATCGCCCTTGCCCTCATGACCAATACCGATCTGATCCTGTTGGACGACCCCTTTGCCAACCTGGATGTGATTACACTGCACACTGTACTCCACTCCATACAGGATGCCTGCAGACATGGCCTCTGCATCATCTATACGTGTTCCGATGCAGATTTCTCGGCGCCTGCGCAGCGTTTGGCGGCGATTAGTCGGAGCGCCTTGATCGGTATCGGTGAACGCCATGAGTTAACCCAGAATTACTACTCAACATACTATATTGTCGAGACCAAAATCAATATGCCCAACATCGATGCTTTGATAAGGATGGAACTGGAGGAAGACGAGAATGATGTGGAATCGGCAAGCGAGAGGAGGCAGACACAGATATTTTTAGGTGTGAGTACCTTTGTAATGCGCATATTTCCGAAGGCCATTCTCAAGTAAGTGATTTTTTCGAATTTCTTTATTGTACCATATATCAAATACCTATTGTCCAGTCCCAGTTCAGTAAGCTATCCAAGGATCGGCTTTTGGCTGTCCAGTCAAATTTATTCCGTGTCGCAAATATTTCAAAAACTTCATAGATACCAAGATAACTTTTATTCATTTACCATTGCCCAGCCATCAGTTAGTACCCTATTTCATCAGAATTCACCAGAGGAGGAGAGGCCAAGGAATTAAATACTTAAATTATTATTATATTATAAATAAAGCTACATATACACTAATTTCAAGAAATGAGAAAATTGAACTGAAGAAATAAAGTCAATTAATTTTGCTTCCAAAAAGATCGAACAGTTTAATTTATTTCGGTTCCAACAGAAATGGCTGGACATTAGGTAGTAATATTCAAAGCAAAAGTTTATATACATATATATATATGTATATGAATCGTTGCGTTATATATATGTATATATTTGTAAGTGCAATAAATGTGTGTATTACTTTTACATTTCGAACTGTGCCAACTAAGAGCCTGGACTAAGTTTTTACTAAATTTTTAATATTTTTATTTATTAAATTTAGTATGCAGATTTGTTAACCGTTCAAAAACTAAAACAAAAAAGTTTTGCGAAGTGAAATTGATCCATTTTTAGTTGTGATTGATTGAACATTCGAAATTTTAGAATAACCACTATTTTCTATGTGACTGCGATATTGTCTCGGACTTTCCCACTTGATATATCTTTTAAATATTTTAATGTAAGTATTTTTAAGTTTCCTTTTCGTTAAGTGTAGTATGTATTTCCGATCAAATAGGTATTGCTGATGCATCAGTCGGAAGTGCATTACTCAAAGCTTTGAACGTATTATTCAGCTTGTAAACTGCGTAAAAGCTGTTGATATTTTGTCATTGTTTTGTAATTGATTTAACCCCGCCCTCCCATTGAGTTGCCAAAAGCTTGTGTCCTGGAAAGCAGCAGGCAGCAGCAGCCACCGGACCGCCAGTGAAAGCTTCGGGGGCCCAGAGAAAACTTTGAAGCGATGAAAACGAGAGTTGAAGTCTCCAACGTTCGTTTGTTCATTCGTTCGTTCGCGTCGCGAGCGATGCTGTAATATCTGAATACCTTACATTCGCTATATTCGCAAGTACGCCGAGTGACGTTGATGCTGTATAGCGCAGAATATCGCAGAATATATATAAAATTAAATTACAATTAAATCTGTGGAATACTCCCTGAACTCGCCAGAAAAAGATTAACTGATTTAAATCATTTGATGGAATTAATCCCTTGGCCCTGACTTTATATACTTTACATATGTTCGTTCGGGTGAGAGTGTGTGCGTGAGGGACACATAGATACAGATACCAACAACAAATGAGACAACTAAATTCCCCAGAATAATAATATATAATTTATGTTAATACATGTTGACAATGTCCTTTGCCTTCCATCATATCTGTTTCATTGCCAAAGCTTAGGCAAGCTTTAAAATAGAGACGTGTAATTCGCGAAATCCCACGCAAATCCGCGAAACCGATTCATGAACAAAATGTGAGTAACTCTCGCCTAAAGTGCAGTGGAAAAATAGAATAAAAGAAAGCGTCTCAGTAGTGCCGCCGCCCTAATGCTGCGAGTCCTTGGAGCCCCCCAAGTTTACCGGAGCTGCCCCATACGCCAAGAAGGGTAATCGAACTAACTAACTAATCAGAGTTGATGCGGATGCTGTGCTCTAATTTTATTTTTTTTGGATAATTTCATGAACTGATTATAAATGTAAGTTATATACATACATAGCATAAGTACATACTTGGCAATGTTAGCATCACAATACATAGAAACTGAAGCAATATACTTTAATGTAATAGAGTAAAAATATAGCTTAACTATTTGCAATATTTATACTTATATACAATTTCCTGTGTGTGTGTGTGTGTGTGTGTGTGTGTGTCTATGTATTGCGGATGTGCGACACCTACGCATAAACTAGGAAAGTGTATGTACAACGGCCATGCCATGTCACACGCAAGCGCTCACGCCGAATTTCATTCTCTATCTCTTTCTTTCTCTTCCAGCAGACACCGTTAAAGTAGCATCAACAAAAACAACAACACAACAAAAACAACAGTACCGCAACATCAGCAGCAGCTCAGCCTCAGCATTAAAAGCTCCCACACACACCGTTACACAGTTGCGTGCCTATGAGTGTACGCGTGTGGCAATGTATTTGACAGCCTTTCCCATTTGGCCCTTGGTATGCTTCGTGTATTTTTTCTGTAAGTATATTTCCCAACTGAATGAATGGGGTCCAGGATTTTATTCAAGATTATGGCCAACAAACGAAGTTTGTACATTATTTCCGTTAAAATTTGAACCGGCAGACATGACAGAGTGTCTGCACGTAAACATACATAAATGTTACATCAAATGTATATAATTTGATGTACTTATGTACATACTTACATTCGTCGATCGTATAATGCAAAAATACAAATGTATGTACTTATTTATGGCTGTAAAAATCTATTGCCTACTTTTTTGGGTCCACCTAGGGGCTACTGCACGAGTAAAATTAAATCGTATTGAAGCCGTATTTAATTTATTTTGTTTGCTTTGCATATATTTGACTACTTAACGGGAGCGGAAAAGGGCGTAACATAAAAGTTACATTTTACATATTAATATTCTGTTAAACAATTATTAAAAGAATAACACTTTCTGCGTTTTTAATTAAAATTAAAGATAAAGATAAATCCTATTAAGGGGATTCGAATCATATAAAAAAAAAACTTATTTACTTATTTACTTATTTATTATTCAATTTAATATTTTCTATTAGGTGTCGGGTTTGGCGACCTAACCAAATACTCAGTAGAACGTAATGGAGCTAGTGATGTTGGCAACTTGCCGGAGAATGCATCTGGACGGTTGGAGTGGTTTAGACAGGAACATGGGCGTGGTGCCGCTGGCTTAGAGGTCGGGAATGAATCTCAGGAAAACAACAGGTTGATGGCTGAAAAGTTTCAAAAGATTGGAACGAAATTTATTACCGTCTCCGATTATCCGCCGTTTCAAAGCCACAACGAAGACAGCCAGGAAGTGGATCAAAATGGCCACATGGAGCCGGGTGTTGTGCAATCAAAGACGGGGGGCAGTAATCCGGGCGACGAGACTCCTAAGTTTCGTAACATTGGAGCAAAGAAAAGTCGAACGGAGGTGGGAAACCCCAGGGAACTGGATCGACTCAGTTCCCGTGGACGTGATGGTTTCATTGGCGGAGCCAATAACAAGCAGAAGCCATTTCGAGTGAATCTAGCCGTTCTGGTTCAGGACGATCCCAGTCAGCCGGGTGAGAAGTACACAAACTGCCAGAACCAAAATGAATCCGACGAGAGTGCCTGCAAGACGGAGGAGGAAACCACCGACCAGATGTCCAACCTGCAAAAGAACTGCGAAACGACGGGTCTCCATGTGATGTGTCCGCGCACCTATCGCTGCATCAGTAAGTACTGGTTGTGCGACGGTGATGACGACTGCGGTGACTATTCGGACGAGACGCACTGCGGGGCCCGCACCAACTGCACGGAGGATCAGTTCGAGTGCCTCAACGGATTCTGCATTCCCCGAACCTGGCTCTGCGACGGCGAGAATGACTGCAAGGACTTTTCCGATGAGACACACTGCAACCGCACCAGCTGCACGGACGAACATTTCACCTGCAACGATGGCTACTGCATCTCCCTAGCCTTTCGCTGTGACGGCGAGCCCGACTGCAACGACAACTCTGATGAGCACAAGTGTGCCGCGGTGATCAACAGCTGTCCCGAAGGAGAGTTTAAGTGCCGCGGTGGTCTTGGCGGCGCCGGCGGTCCTAGTGGCCAGTGTATACTAAATCGCTTCCGGTGCGATGGTGACAATGACTGCGGCGATTGGAGTGACGAGGAGAATTGCCCACAGAAGCCATCGCTCTGCACTTCGAACGAGTACAAGTGTGCGGATGGAACCTGTATACCGAAGCGCTGGAAGTGCGACAAGGAGCAGGACTGTGACGGTGGCGAGGATGAAAACGATTGCGGAAGCTTGAGCTCAGAGCATCCATTGACATGCGGCACGGATGAGTTTACCTGCAACAATGGACGCTGCATTTTGGTAAGAACTTCTCAAGGTCTAAGATTATTACCTGAATATTTTGTATATGCAGAAAACGTGGCTCTGTGATGGGTATCCCGACTGCACATCCGGCGAGGATGAGGTCGAATGTCACCTGCAGTGCGACGTTGGCCAGTTCCTGTGCCCAACCAAACAAAACGTAACACATCTGAAGTGAGTAGAATATATTTCCGATAAATTATCAGATATTTACAAGTCTTACTTAATCTTTTCTAGAATATGTGTTCACCAGAAGCACATTTGCGATGGCCACAACGAGTGTCCGGCTGGCGAGGACGAGAAGGACTGTCCCAGGGAGCAAAAGTGCTCGGAACCCAGGCAGTGTGAGCAGCTCTGCATCAAGACGAACATGGGATTGGACGAGTGTGCCTGTCGCCTGGGCTACGTAATGAACAAGAACAAGGTCAAGTAAGTATAGAAGATAGATAGTAAAGACTATATAGATACTACCTGTATGCATTCCAAAAATCAAGCTGCACAGACATCGACGAGTGCCAGTATATGACCAGTCCGGTATGCTCTCAAAAGTGTCACAATACCCTGGGCTCCTTTAAATGCTCCTGCGAAATAGGCTATATTCTGCGCCCGGACTTACGTTCCTGCAAGGCTCTGGGTGGAGCCATGACCCTGCTGGTGGCCAATCGGTGGGACATACGACGCGTAACGCTGAGCAATAACCGGTACACAGCAGTTGTCAAGGGGCTGCACAATGCCATTGCCCTGGACTTCCATCATCGTCGGGGACTAATGTTCTGGTCTGATGTGTCCACGGATGTCATCAAAATGGTGTTCATGAATGGTACCCGGGTTCGCGATGTCATCAAGTGGGGATTGGAGTCGCCGGGCGGCATAGCCGTGGACTGGATACACGACCTGCTCTTCTGGACCGATTCCGGTACAAGGCGCGTGGAAGTGTCCAACTTTCAGGGTAATCTTCGAACAGTAATTGCCTCGAGTGACCTGGACAAGCCGCGAGCCATTGTGGTGCATCCGGGTGAGGCACTGGCCTTTTGGAGTGACTGGGGACCCAATCCCAAAATCGAACGTGCCCACATGGACGGTACACAGCGAAGGGTCATAATTTCCAAGGGCGTTACATGGCCCAATGGCCTGGCCATAGATTATCCGAACGGCAAAATCTACTGGGCGGATGCAAAGCAACATGCCATCGAGTGCTCCAACCTAGATGGCACTGAACGGAATAAGATCCTTAGCACTCACCTGCCACATCCCTTTGCCCTGACCATCTTTGAGGACACCATGTACTGGACGGACTGGAACACTAAGACTGTCTCAGCGGCGGACAAGACAACGGGCAAGGAGTTTCGAGCGGTTCACGAGAACTTTCACTTCCCCATGGACATCCATGCCTTCCATCCAGCCCGGCAGCCAGAATATCCGGATCGCTGTCAGAAGGATCGGCGGGGCTTGCGAGGCGGCTGCTCGCACCTGTGCCTGCCCAACAAAACCTCCCGGAGATGCGGCTGTCCCATTGGCCTGTCGCTGAAGGATGACGGCAAGACCTGCAAGAGCACGGCGGACAGGCTGGTGCTAGTGGCTCGCCGCAAGGACATACGGTTGCGACAACTCAAGAACAATCAGGCCGATCCCGATGAAGTGGATATGATTGTCCCGCTGGATAACCTAAAGCATGCCGTGGCCCTGGACTGGTGCAGCGACACGGACTTTATCTACTGGACCGATGTGGAGCGCAGCACCATTAACAAGGCGCACCTCAATGGAAGCTACCAGCAGCGGGTGGTGCACTCGAATCTCGTCTCACCCGTTGGTTTGGCTCTCGACTGGATTACTGACAAGCTCTACTGGACGGATCCCTCGACGAATCGCATTGAGGTGGCCACCACCAACGGAAAGATGCGAACTCTGCTCATTTGGGAGAAGCTGTACAAGCCCAGGGATATTGTGGTGAACCCCATAGGTAATAACTAGTTTTCAGTTTAGTTATTATTTAGTTATTAATTAATGTTTTCTTTGCAGATGGTCTCATGTTTTGGTCGGACTGGGGTGATGATCCTATGATTGAACGTGCCAATATGGATGGTCATGATCGCGCCATTATATCCTCGAAGAAATTAATATATCCCAATGGTCTGGCCATTGACTATGAAAAAAGTAAGCTATACTTTGTGGACGGCGGCACCAAGACCTTGGAAAACATGAACTTTGATGGCAGCAATCGTCAAGTGATTTTAAGTGAGTAACATTAATGCAAAGTCTATATTTTACCTTACCCTATCCGAGCTCCTTTAGCCCACCTAAGAATCATTCAACCTCTATTTAATTAAACATTTTTTAATTTGTAAAATAAAACAGATGGACTTGGACATCCCTTCGGCTTGGATGTGAGCGAGGGTCGCGTTTATTGGACAGATTGGGACACCAAGTCGGTGATGAGCGCCAATAAGCTAACCGGCGGCGAGTCCAACATAATCATTGCAAACACCACTGACCTGATGGACATCCGGGTATTCCATCGCACTCGCAGGCGTATCTACAATGCCTGCGATAAGTCCAATGGCGGCTGCTCGCACCTGTGTCTCCTCAATCCCACCAGCTACACGTGCGCCTGTGCCGTGGGTGTGCAGCTGAAGGACGACATGCGGACGTGTTCGGAGGGCCCAACCAAGTACCTGCTGTTTGCACATCGGATCGATATCCGGCAGATATCGTTGGACTTTGATCATCTAATCGATGTGGTCCTTCCACTGCCGCCAATCTCGAATGCTGTGGCCCTGGATGTTGATCGGAATACTGGCACTATATTCTGGTCAGACACCATTGAGAACGTCATCATGAGCTCCAGTCCCGATGGCCTTCATGTCCACAAGGTGGTCGGCGACAGCCTGGAGAACCCCGATGGCCTGGTCGTTGACTCGATTGGCAGGACTATTTACTGGGCCGATGCTGGACGTCACACCATTGAGGTGGCCAGCCTGGATGGCAGCAACCGGCATGTGATAGCCTACAAGGATCTGGAATCACCGCGTGGCCTGGCTCTGGACTACGAGGCGGGGCTACTGTTCTGGACGGACTGGGGACACAATCGTAAAATAGAGCGCTCCCATTTGGATGGCAACGAGAGGTCGCGTATTGTCACAGCCAACTTGGGCTGGCCGAATGGCCTGTCGCTGGACCTCAAGAGCAAGCGCATCTACTGGGTGGATGCACGTCACAAGACCATCGACTCCTGTGACTATACGGGGAACCAGCGGAAGTTAATCATATCGTCCCTGCATCATCCCTACGCTTTGGCCCTATCGGACGACAAGATCTACTGGACGGACTGGAAGTCGAAAGCCCTGCACATGACCGATAGGCGCAACATAACCGCCAAGCGGGATGTAATCACGAACATTGACGGACTGATGGACATCAAGGTCATCTCGCAGGATCAGCCCATAATTGAGAATGTGTGTGGTCGCAATAACGGTGGCTGTTCGCATCTTTGTCTGCGGAATCCATCGGGATATACCTGCCAGTGTCCCATTGGACTGAGGTTACGTCAGAATAGTACAACGCAATGCCAGAATCTTCCAGATGTAAGTGCGCCTTTCCTATGTGCTCTTAAAGCTATACATAATCTTGAATCCCTTACAGGACTACCTTCTGATTGCCTTGCGTTCTGGAATTGGCATGATTTCCTTGAACTCTGGCGATTACATGGATGTTGTCCTGCCCATCAATGGGGTACATGGCGCCGTTGTCCTGGACTATCACTACCGAGAGAATATCCTATTTTTCGCCGATGTCAACCTAGATGTCATACGGCGGGTGAATCTGCTGAACTTCACCGACAGTCGCGTCATTGTCAGCACTGATGTACTGACTCCAAATGGCATTGCGGTGGACTGGATAGCAGACAACGTTTATTGGTCTGACACGGATCGGAAGTTGATTGAGGTGTCACGGCTGGATGGCAGTTCCCGCAAAAGGATCATTGAGGATGACCTGGGCGATCCACGGTCACTGATTGTCCACCCAAAAAAAGCGTACGAATGTTACACAAAAATTTCATATATGTATTTTGAGTAAATATATTGTCTTCTTCATTCTCAGCTATTTATTCTGGTCGGACTGGAGTTCGCCAGCAAAGATTGAGCGCAGCTACTTGGATGGCTCGAATCGAACGATTCTGGTCACATCTGGAATTGGTTTTCCCACAGGACTTACCATCGATTTCGAGTGAGCATTTACCAAGGGGATTGGATGTTTTTCATTATAGTTTCTATATAACCTGACACATTTATTTCCTATAGAAATCGGCGCTTACTTTGGGCCGACGCCTTGGAGGACAACATAGGTCAAGTAGATTTCAATGGCAAACGGCGACAGACCATTGTTCCCTATGCACCGCATCCCTTTGGCCTGACTATGGTGAATCTCGATCCCTGAGTTCTTCCAATTCCTCCTTACTGATGTGTACATTTGCATTCCTTCCAGTTTGATAATAATATATTCTGGACGGACTGGTACAACAAGTCGGTGTATCGCTCCCAGCGCATGCCCCGCGGCGTCTATGGCAATCCCTTTGAGGTGCGGGATGCGCTGAGTGGTGCCTTGGACATACGGGCCGTTTCGCTGGGCCGGCAGCCCAAAAGCTGGAATCACTGTGCCCAGGATAATGGCGGCTGCTCGCACCTTTGTCTATATCGCGCCGTCGATTATATATGTGCCTGTCCCGACCGACTCGATGCCAAGGACGAGACGCCGTGCTCGACTAAGCCCAAGGTGTTTGTGCATTCGCGTTTGGACAAGGATCAGGCACCGGAATACTCGGACGAATCCACCGATGATTCCATACCAACCGAGCTGCTGGGTGACCCTGTCCATGGCGAGGACGAGCATACCCGGAAAACTGACCACGAACGGGAGTTCTTCGTTCTGGTGGCCCTCGGTGTGGTCATTGTCATGGTGGTCATCACAATACTTGTGATTTTTAGTAAGCATATTAACATATTCCATATATGGCATACATTATAATGGTTTATCTTTACAGTGCTTGCCTTCAACACGAGCAGAAAGAAAACGAAGCGCAACTCGCGTGGATCCAGTCGATCTGTCCTGACCTTCTCCAATCCAAACTACAACGTCGATGGCACGCCCATGGAGCCCAAGACAAACATTTGGAAACGATTCAAGCACGACAAGTCGCATGTACGTATATATATTTTCATATTGTGTTAAATTTATATATATTTATATTGTTTTTCTAACTTATCAGCAGGATCGAGTGGGGGTCTTCGAAGAGCGCAGTCTGACAACGGAGACAGCTTCGTCCAGCCTTTTTGTCCCGACACCATCGCCCATGGCGTCGCCGTCAACAAAAACAATCCAACTGACAACGCTCTCGACTATCACGTAAATGGCAAAAAATAGTAAATAATATTACAAATGCCTTCAAGAAAGCGCAAAAAGCAAAAGAAAGCAAATCTTCGAGAACAAAAATGCTCTATTTTAATCAACATCTGTCTGAAGAATAGATTATATAAGCTGACACAGCCTTTCAAATTTTTTTTTACCTTTTCTTTTGTCGATTTCAAAATAATGGTAATCCCGAGTTTTAAACCATTAAAAAAAAATACTCCTTCAGCACCATTAAATATATATATTTATAAGTGGAACCAAGTCCCCAGTCAGATCACGAAAGGTATTTTTAAATATTTTTTAACAACAAGTTTATTTCCTGTTTTATTTCATTGATTGATGTTGAGTTCATTCTAAAAGTAAAAACTTTGGACTATAAAGACTATTACAATTGATTCAAAACTCTACGAAACTTTTTTTTGTTTCTGCTTTATAATGCATTTATTATTTCGACATCATAACTTTCATTTCAATAATCTTATTTCTTTTATTTAAATCAGAGGTGGCCAAAATCCATAGAGGTAAGCGCATGAGAAAGAGAGAGAGAGAGAGAGAGAGCTCACGAAGACCCTTTTGTCCGCATCTACATTAAGATATTTATTAAAATATTTGATGATAATTGTGAATATTTATTGCTTCATCAAGGTAGTATTGTCCAAGTTTTTACAAATTTTCTTTATTTAAAAAACATTTGCATTTTTGATTTGTTCTATGTAAAAAACAAATCCAAAACACCGTTCGGATCAACAGTTTTGACATTGTTAATGAGAACGAAACCTTTTGTTCGGGGTTTTAAAATGGGCAAAAATATACAACTAATGAATAATGACCTATTTTATTAATCAAAGTAAAACTTATATGTATGTATGTAAATTCTTATTGTACATGGTACGGTTATATATATATATGTATGTTCCTAAGAAGCCGTGCAGCGGTCCGTCTGCTTCGTTGATTTAAACTTAATTCTCAGGTGTAAAGACAGACACTAGGCTGGATTATATATGACAGATCCGTCATCGAAACTATATATTTGTACATAGGTTAAATGATGAGCAGTTTGTTTTTCGTTTTTATACTCACAACTTGATATCATCTCTTTTATTTTTTAAATATATCAATTGTAATCGGAATTCATGTAAAACGAAATGTACGTACTGTCAGACCGTTAGCAGCTATAAAGGGGCATTTGGTAAAATTGAATATCCTCAGTTTTAAGTATATAATAATGTGTAAATACTGATTAAAATTTGAATGTTATTCAAAATATTTTATTTGTTTTATTGGGCAAAACCCAGTTCATGTGGAAAAAACAAACAGAAATCAAATAAAAACAAAACGATAAAGAAAAAATTAAATAAGAAAAGCTTAAATAAACTAGAAGCTACGTTATGTCCTGTTCCAGTTCCGCAACGAATAGAGTAGATACTCCTGGCCTCCTGGCAAAGATAATAGTATACCCTAGCTAATAAAGTAAGTACAATTTATATATAAAATCATTTCAGTTTCTCTGATTCTTCTAGATCCTCTAAAGAGAAGGAAAGAGAGGAGTCAATTTATCGCCTTTTCTTAACTTAAATTCAAATTTTCTTGTACCTTTTATATATAAACTTACAGGGTATTATAATTTTATTCCGAAGCTTTAAACAGAGTGAAGGAGTCGTTTCCGACCCTATAAATCATATATATTCTTGCTCAGCATCAACAGCTGGGTCGATCTAGCTATGTGCGGTAGAAAAAAATTTTTCAAAATTTTTTCGATTTCGAAAAAGACAAGGAAATACATCGTTAAAATTGTCAAATTTTGATACAATTTTTAATAATTTTTTTATTTTAAATCCGAATATGCAGATTTGTAAACGTTATAAAAACTAGCACAGAATCCAAATCAGAATCAAAACTATCAGAATTAAAATTAATGCATTTTTGGCTTAGTTATGATATTTAAAAACTTTGATTTATATCAATTTAACATACATAATTAATACACATATTTTAAGTTTTCTTATAGCTATGCGAATGACACGTTGCCCATAATAGTATGCAATAAATGAACACCGGGAATCAATTAAAATCAATACCCCTAAAACAGTATGCTATATATAAACTGAATCATCTTGCAAAAATGTTTTTTTTTTTTAACGCTGTTGCCTTTTTTTGGGTCCAGCAGCAACACATCGAATATGCCCTACCTAGAGATAATCGAGCGGCTGCCCCAGCTGCACGACTGCTTCACAGAGATGCGCGAGCTCGATCTTAAAGTCCAAAGTGAGTCTCTCCAAACACCATCAGGTTGCAGCGTCTAATCTCCCACTCACTCTATCCACTGACAACATGGACTCGCTGGACACGGAGGCGCACCTCTCCTTTAAGCAGTGCAACCAGGACGAGCTGCAGCGTGGACACGGAGTCCCACAGCCTGCGCGGTGAGTACTTCAAGGTGATAGAGGACGCCGATGAGAAGACAGACAGCGCGACGCAGATCCCTGAGCTGGTCGAGCGCTATTTGCGGCGCCTGGACATCGAGTTATTCAACTTAAAGTGAGAACTGGAGGCGGAAAAAAACAGCATCACCTCGAGTGTCACTCCTTGGCGCTAAACGGCGTGAGTGTTAGCGTAACTGTGCCACGGCCACATACAATCTCCAGGAGCTTGGCGAAGGAGCCTTCGCTTCCAGTTCCATTGCCACAGCAGCCAATCAAGCGATAGTGACCACCCAACAGGTGCAGCAGGAACGCAGAACGGTCAGTCTGAAGGCCAGCTATGAAGCTATCCATGGAGCCAGGTGGGCCAGAGCGGCCTACATCAGCCCGGCGGGGCGGCGGCAGTGGCGGCTGGAACAGCTTTGGCCACCAACGCGCCGCTGGAGCCACTAGCAGCTCGCACCACACCAGCCACGGTCATGAACATGGACATGGCCACGGGAAAGAACACAGCAGCCACAGCCGGCACGGCAATCACCACCAGGAGAAGCTAAACACGGCCCTGCTGCTGCCACATGACTGACTATGCAAACACGGCACCTTCAAGTCCGTCGGACACTTCATCGCCTCGACCTCCTTGATGAGCGTGGATTCGGTGGATATGCTCTCTACGGCGGCGGCTGCGGCCTTGACTAATCTCTCGCCCTGTGCTTGGCCCACGGCTCTCCATGACGGTAGAAGGAGCCACAGGCTACGAATCCCAGCCCCAAGAACGGGCAACGTGTCCGATAAAGTCAAACAATTAAATAATAACTTGGAGTTTATCATATATTAACTTAAATTGATCGTGACTGCATTAAAAACTTTAATTTGAATGAAACATTTAAATTAATTCTTTAGTGCTGGGAAACGCAAAAACTTTAACAATTGATAACTTTATACTTCGTGAGCCAGTTAAGTGTAACCAGCTCGGGTAAATGTAAACAAATCTTAAAGCTTCAGCAGTCTGACAGCTGTAAACTATCGATAATTTTTCAGGTCGTGATAAAATCAAGTGTGACCAACATCTATTACGGTATATACCGAATATTCGGCATTTTGAAGGTAAAACTTTGCAGGCACACTGCTGCTAATTTAGTGAAAGTCATTTCGCAAGAATGTTGTTTTAAATCGCCGCTGATTTTGTTTTTTTGGCCTGGCATTAACATATCTAACATCCTCTACCTGGAGATGATCGAGCACTTGTCCTAAGAGCTGCCCGAGCTCGATCTTGCAGTGCAAGGTGAGTCCCGCCAAACAAAATCAGGTTGCAGCGTCTAATACCTCATCCACTCTATTCACTGACAGCACTGGACAAGAAGGCGCACGTCTTCTTTTAGTAGTGCATGCGAGTCGAGCTGCAGCACGAGGCCATGGACACGGAGTTCCACAGCCTGGGCGGTGAGTACTTCAAGGTGATGGAGGACGCCACCTTCTCGTGGCCGTCGCGACGCAAATCCATGAGCTGGTCAAACGCTGCGGCGCCTGACAGTGACCTATTCAAATTGAAGTGCGAACTAGAGGCAGACAACACCGGCATCACCGAGATCATTGTGCGTCACTTCCAGGATCTGAACGAAAACTCCACGGCAGTCACTGCTCTGCTGCTGGGCATGAACCAAAAGGAGAATTAGTAGCGGCGCCAACTCGGCCGACAGCCTGGTCAAGAGCTCGGCACAAGCTCGGTAGGGTATCGGCTGCCCAAATCAGTGCCAGCCAGCGACACCGGAAGCTGGAAAAGCGACGCAAGACCGTCTGCATGGTGCATCTTTAAGAAAAGCGCGCCAATCTCAACCACTCACTACCCGTTTTCGCATCCAGCTCGGCGGCCGAATCAATTTACCATTTCGTTCGCCGCTAGCGTCACAACCGAACAAGCCCAGGCGGCCAACCATGTCGGCAGCAGAGTCACCACGCATCTCACCCTGCCCGTGGGCATCAATCAGACATACACAGACAATCTGTGGCCTCCACTGCACCGATTGCAACTGCAGCCACAGGAAATGTAGATGGTGGATACCCCACCGCCGGCGGCAAAGCCACGGTCACCTACAACCTGCAGCAGCTTGGTGGAGGAGCCAGTCAAGCGATAGTGGCCACCAAACAGATGCAGCATGGACGCAGAATGACCAGTCTGAAGGCCACCTATGAAGCCATGTATGGACCGGCTGGTACCACGGCCGAATTCTTCCGCCTGCAACCATAGTAGTCTACAGGTGCCACCAGCGGCGCAGCCGCAGCCAGAAGTAGCTCGCACCGCTCCCACCAATCCCAGACGCACCACACCAGCCACGGCTCGCTCTCCATGACGGCGGCAGGAACAGTTGGTTTGACGCGCAAACTTGCCAACATGGCTGGAGGCGTACAGCAGCCAGTCAATCGATAGTGGCCACCAAACATATGCAACATGGACGCAGAGCGACCGGTGTGAAGGGCATCTATGAAGCCATCCATGGACCGGCTGGTACCACGGCCGAATTCTGCTTCTGCCTGCAACCAGAGTAGTCCACAGGAGCCACCAGCGGTGGAGCCGGGGCCACAAGCAGCTCGCACCACTCTCACCAATCCCAGACGCACCACACCAGCCACGGCTCGCTCTCCATGACGGCGGCAGGATCCGTTGGTTTGATGCGCAACCCCGCCAACGTGGCTGGAGGCATACAGCAGCCAGGCCATCGATAGTGGCCACCAAACAGATGCAGCATGGACACAGAACGACCAGTTTGAAGGGCATGTATGAAGCTGCTGCTACCACGGCCCAATTCTGGTTCCGCCTGCAACCAGCAGCCAGTCAATCGATAGTGGCCACCAAATATATGCAACATGGACGCAGAACGACCAGTCTGAAGGCCATCTATGAAGTCATCCATGGACCGGCTGGTACCGGGCAACGTGTATCTGCCAGACAATAAGTGAATGAAACGATAGTGAACAAATTAAATATTAGCATGGGGTTTATCATATATTAACTTAAATTGATCGTGATTGCATTTAAAACTTTAATTTAAATAGAACAATTAATTTAATTTTTTTTTTAATTACAGCAGTGCTGGAAAACGCAAAAACTTGAACAATCGATAACTTTACAGTTCGTGAGCTGGTTAAGTGTGACCAGCTTATGTAAATGTGAAAATGCCTTAAAGCTTCAACAGTCTGGCAGCTGTAAACTATCGATAATTTTTCAGGTCGTGATAAAATCAAGTGTGACCAACATCTATTACGGTATATACCGAATATTCGGCATTTTGAAGGTAAAACTTTGCAGGCACACTGCTGCTAATTTAGTGAAAGTCATTTCGCAAGAATGTTGTTTTAAATCGCCGCTGATTTTGTTTTTTTGGCCTGGCATTAACATATCTAACATCCTCTACCTGGAGATGATCGAGCACTTGTCCCAAGAGCTGCCCGAGCTCGATCTTGCAGTGCAAGGTGAGTCCCGCCAAACAAAATCAGGTTGCAGCGTCTAATACCTCATCCACTCTATTCACTGACAGCACTGGACAAGAAGGCGCACGTCTTCTTTTAGTAGTGCATGCGAGTCGAGCTGCAGCACGAGGCCATGGACACGGAGTTCCACAGCCTGGGCGGTGAGTACTTCAAGGTGATGGAGGACGCCACCTTCTCGTGGCCGTCGCGACGCAAATCCATGAGCTGGTCAAACGCTGCGGCGCCTGACAGTGACCTATTCAAATTGAAGTGCGAACTAGAGGCAGACAACACCGGCATCACCGAGATCATTGTGCGTCACTTCCAGGATCTGAACGGTAACTCCACGGCAGTCACTGCTCTGCTGC